TCAGACTCTGTCCAGAAAATCGAAAAATATAATTTTCTAAGCTTAACTTCGTGTCTACAGTCGCTGAATTTTTTATATTTTTTCCTATAATTTAGATTCTTTTTAAGCTTTACAAATTCAGGGACTCGGATCGGCAGATTTTTAAAATTATTTGTGTGTATTATACGTTAAATCTTCTCTGTGTTTTTTCGTAATTCTTTTTTTAATTAATGAATGGAATCTTATTGGAATTAAATCCCATTAAAATTTATTTTTAAATATTATTACTATTGTTACCCCATGGCAGTGTGACCATAGTCATGATTAAATCATACTAAACTTAGTGTGTGTTAACTAAGTGTTAAAAAAACTATTTCCAAAACGTATTTATTGAGCACTAAAGCTCGTCAATAGCCGCTAAAAAAAGGAATAGCATCAGAAAACTATATATAATATTTAACACTATTTCCCACATACATGGGTTGACTGGAAGAGATCTCTTATAGAGATAAGTCCACCTTTGTCCACGTCACTTTCTATGTATTTTGTTTTTTATAACTTATTTGTGCAATAAAGAATATATATTATAATTACAGTAGGAATATTTATACAGATTCAGATTGTCTGTTTGTAATGTTAAAATAACAGCTTTTTACTAAACGCATATAGATGTATACACGGTACATATACCAAAACAACAATTTTACAATTTTTGTCTATCTGTCTGTCTGTTTGTTCCTAATCTCTCTAACGCTAATCTCTGAAATAGCTGGACCGATTTTGACGGAACTCTCACTGACAGATAGCTGATGTAATAAGGAGTAACTTGGGCTACTTTTATTTTAGAAAAAAAAAGGGTCCTACGAGAAAAAATTAAAACCAATAAAAAAATTAATAATATCCGATTAAAATAGGGAACATACCCTAGGGACGAACCCGAGCGAAGCGAGGGTGAGTCGCTAGTTTATTATAAATAAAACTATTTTCAACCATCTCTGTCTCCACCAATACATTTCAGCTTATCTCAAATTATACTACAATAGCTTCAGACTATCCCATATCACGTCACTTGAGATATCTTAACCCTTATTTAATGTCATGCTTAAATTACTGGCTTTTTGTGTGAAAAGTTCGCTGAGCTGAGTATTTTTTGCGTGAAATCAAAATAAATGTATTCGTATGTTACGTAATGGAGCAAGTATGTAAGTTAAATATATATATTTCGGACAACTTGTGTTACATTAATGGATGATTACTAGATTTTTTTTTTAATTTTTGTCTGTATGTTGTTGCATGCATTACATGCCAACAAAAAACACTGACATTTTATATAAAATCTCGATTACTTATAGATAATAAGACATAAGTCTTATTATCTATAATAATACATATAAATAAAAAGTATCAGTTTGTATACTTCTTAGATTTACGCGAATATTTGACATTTTAAATAAAACTACCTTTTCGGATTTTTTAGCGGATTTATTTTGATTTTTGGTTCTTGATTGATTGATTTTTTGAGATCATTTTGTAAATTTGTGGGTGGGCTTTCTATAACAAGTATATATCTGCGAAAAAATCCAAAAAGATAGTTTTGTTTAGCGTTCATTATATCAAATTGCATTTGACGGGATTTTCGTTAATATCAAAGTCAATCATCACTATGGATTTTTTATACTGGTATTAGTAAGGCCGAAGGGTAGTACGAATGTAAACAAAGTCACAAGAAAGCAATAGTATGTCATAATAATCCAAGTAAACTAACAAACTGTCACTGTCTGTTTGTATATCATTTGGATCTAATTGACATGCCTTTTGTAGTCTTTAAAAAACAGTGCCAGACAAACTTTAGTGTAGAATACACCTATCGAGTGATACTCGTAGCATTAGAGGGATCTGAGTTCGATTTCGGGGCTTTAAATTTTTTATACTTTACCAAAGTGAAAAAAAAATGTATAATACATAAGTACTTATCGTAAGTATCATTGTTATTGTCCTTACCAAATGGTCATAAAACAATAAATATAATACAAAAAAAATTGTGACATTCCATCTTCGTTGCCGGTACCCTTCAATTTATCATGATTACTAATATTACTATTCCTTACAATCTCTGCTAGTAAATTTTAATTTAATTCTCCAGTTATTTTTAGGACTAAAACGATTTTTTTGCAAACTGGTGGCATGTTTAGGTTTCAGTTAGTGAAAGTACCTACTACTTAATAACTTCGTAAAAACATATTATTTAGGTAAATGGATGGCTTCAACAAAACAAATTCAAAGTCTATACGTATATAAGTTATTCAGAAGAGTTTGTTTGTGTGTCACGAATGCCGCTTTGGAAATACCGGTTAGATTAAAAAAATCTGTTTGCCCTTTCATAGCTTATATATATCAAGGAGGGTTATATAAAGATTTTATATGAGAAAGCATAGACCATCTAGCACCAAGCTGCATCTAAGAGAGAAGCAGGTCATTTAAGTTATCTACGCAAGCAGCACGTTAGTCATAATTAGAATATAATGTTTCCATATTTACATATACACCCTGTATATTAGTAATCGAATGAGAGTAAAGAGAACGTGTCAATTTATTAGTCTAATTTCCATAATAATTGCAATATATCGTTTGATTTATGATATATCTGATACCGAATATAAAATGTCGGTCTACATATATATATATATATATATATATATATATATATATATATATATATATATATATATATATTAAGTAGCGACATTCCCTTACGGATCTTTAGATGTAACTAGCATTGCCCGCGGCTCCGCCCGCGTTCAGATGACCAAAAACCAAATTCTTAGGATTTACATATTAGTATACTGTTACATTGCAATTTTTGTATAATGTTTTGTTTTTCTTAGAAATGAGATATTTTCCCGCAGTAATAAGTATCCTATATGTTGACCCGGATAACCAGCTATCACCATACCGAATTTCATCAAAATCCCTCCCAACAGTTTTCCCGTGATGCGGTAACAGACAGACAGACTGACAAACAGGCAAACAAAAATTCAAAAAACTATAGATTCGGCCTCTGTATCGATAATAAAGTCTATTTCGATAAGATTTTCCAAAAAATATTTAATGTACAGATTCGGCTTAGTTACAATTTTATTATAGGTATGTATAGATTTAGCACACAGTCTATGACCTGGAGTATCACAAAGGCTACTATTAAGCACTAACAAACGCACCCGAGCGAAACCAGGATAGTCTATTAATGCTATAAAATTAACTTAAAATGTAGATTCATTAGCAGCAAATTGGAGACGGCGTGGTCATTTGTAATAAGAATGTAAAATAACTCTTACGCGCACTCGGAAAAGTAATGATGAAAGGGTCGTCCTAGATTAATGAAGATATAATTTAACAAAATGTCAACAGTGTAAAACGAGTAGTGTTGTTTGTGCCATTATACCTATGTACAACCTTCGAATTTTACCGGTTTTTTGTAGCTTTCGAACAGTGAAACATTTCTAACATTTCTGTTCTGAACACATGTTTATATACCGAATATATTTACCTATATATGCACAAGTTATCATACTTCACTCGGGTGCCTTATAGAATCTATGCTTTTTCACGGCGTCTAACATTTATCTTTTTTAAATGGCAAGCATTTTGGCAAACAATTGTACCAAACTTTATATTTTTTGAGCATCAAAGATATTAATTTTGAAACTAAAAGTTACGATTTTGATACAATTTTAATAGAAAGGTAGACCATAAATTTGATAGTATTGAATGTTTTTACCATTATCCATACAGAAATCCATAAGTTTGGTTCACACAGCACAAGGAATTAAACATAACCATTCCCTTTTGACACAACCTGAGGTTGGATAGAAAAAATCGTATGATAAAAGTCAAGATACGAGTACATGTATGTTAAATATGAACGACTGTTATTTTCACTTTAATAAAAAATTTAAACGGACTCTCTTTTAAAATATTATAACCATAACTCTAACAGCATTTTAAATAGGACGGCAGTGAAATGTTATATTTTTTACTCGTTGCCGAAAGTAAAAAATATTATTTGGATTATAATTTAAGTACTTGAAACATGCCTTAGTTTGTTTACGCAATTAAAGCGTGCAAAATGTCGCTATATATTCTTACCGTAACTTTAGCTAAGCTTTAATTTATTTACAGATTTCAAACTAAAAAAATGCTCATTTTTATGCTGTAATAAATAATATATTATTTCAGAAATAACTCATTATTTTAAGGTAATAAATAAACCATGATTTTAGAGTGACACCATCAATGAATTATTATTATTCTCGCTAGCAGATGCCCATGTTCACGTGAACGACCGATTGATCGACCAACTGGTCGACCGGATGGTCGTTCGTCTGGTCGACCACTCGGTCTGACTTTTACCTTTTTACACAACTTGATATTAACCAAGTTTCATAGAAAATTTCATCCCCTATTTTAACCCCTTAAAGAATGAATTTTCATAAAAAGTGATACTGTAAACTTTTTTCTTTAACCAAATGCTCATATATTTTTACATTTATAACGTCAAAAATGACGAAGTTTCATGCAAACTTTCATCCGCTATTTTAGCCCCTTAGAGGATGAATTTCCAAAAAATACTTCTTTCACTTGCGTCATTTAAGAAACATTTGTGCAAAATTTCAGCAAAAATTAGTTGTGCGTTGATTGATCAGTCAGTGAATCAGTCAGCTTCTTACTTTATATATATAGATAGATAGATAGTTAATAATAATTAAATATGTTGGGACATTAACACACAGCACCATCGATTTCCACGGTAAGCTACGAGGCTTGTGTTATGGATACCAGATAGTAGATATACTACTTACTTACTACTAGATTACTGGAGAACAAACGTTCGTGCTTACCACAAAAATGAATGCCCCCAGCGGGAATCGAACCCGCAACCGCTGGCACAGAAAATAGGGTCACTACAAACTGAACCAAGCACATGAGTTTCATGTAATAATTGAGGTTATTTCTAGGTCAATATGAACCGTGGTTCGAGAGAAGAACTCCTGGGCAGTTCGCAAGAGGCGATCAGGAACAGCCAGGTTGACATCGCGAGTTTTCAAGAAAAGCCTCTCACTAAGGAGGAAAAGAATTTCCTTCTTAACGCCGACAGAGGAGATTATAATACTGTTAAAAGGTAAACGAAACAGAATATTTCTTTGGTTTTTAGAGAAAATATAATACAAACTGACGTCCTCAAAAGGCTATATAGTTATTTATATAATTAATTAAAAAGATTTGTTAAAAATATTCATAATATTTGTGCGCTCTTGGACATGGAAATATTTTCATGAAAATATGAGAATATGTTGAAACAACAATCATCATACATTCGAAATTGAATACTCCTTTTTTTAGGTCAACCAAAAGCACGAGTCATAGTACTGTAATAATTAATTTTAAAGTTAAAACACTTATGCAATGTCATATAAAGAACCTTTACGTTTCACATAATAATGTTACCTCAAACTGAAACCATTATATAATAATATTATCTATCTATATAAATAAACATCAATGGCCAAATGTTTCTAAGCGAATTACTTCAGAAAGGCTGCTGCTATATGGTTAATTCTTTTTTCGTTGTGTTTGTGATTGTCAGGACAAGGTTTGTGTGAAAGAAATATGTAAAAAATTCCATGTTAATGTCATGTTTAAATCTCCATATAAAAAAGTGACTTGACAGAATGATTTGATTTTTCGCAAAGTTTTTCTATTCCATACTAACCGTTAAAACGCACCTAGGGACGAACCTGAGCAAAGCGAGGATGAGTCGCTAGTATACAAATATTAAAAACATTACAATTTTAGCAAATATAGTAAAAACTGTAGGACTTTAATATGAGTGTTAGTGCAGCTGTCATCACTTGAAATTATTTACGGCATATTTGACCAAACTGTTTATTTTTCTCAGCTATTATTAGGCTTATTTTGGTTTCTCCGAATTTGTTAATCACTGTTTATTCGAGGACGTCTCAGTAGGATTTTGATGAACATTTTTATAGGATTTATATAAATACTTTCTTAGATTTACGTGAATATTTGACATTTTAAATAAAACTATCTTTTGAATTCTTTCTTTGTAGATTTATTTTGATTTTTGGTTTTCGACGTTTCGAATGCTTTACAGCAATCATGGTCACGGGAGAGATCATTATATAGTTGTAACAATTAGTTTAAAAAATTAAAAATAGCACCAAAGTACCTTACAATATTTGTTAATTTTAATTTTAAACATTTTTATAATTTTAACAAGTTTTATAATTGAATATGGAATATTATTTATTTAATTTTATCTGTTATCATTATAATTATTCTATTTAGAAAACTTTATAAATTAGTAATATTATTGAGTGTTGCCATTCCTATATTTATAAACATTAAGAAAATGAAATAATAATTATTCAAGTCATATTATTGTTCTATGTGTAATTTAAAAAATTAAAAAGTTAAGAAACTACTTAAGAATAATAATTTTAGTTTGCTGTTATTTAAAATCAAAATATTAAACAATACTATTACTATATGTACCTATTAATAAATAAAAGTATTAATTTGAAATACTGTTATTTTAATCCGCACAGTAATAACTTACTACATCTAACTATTAATAACAAGCGTTAGTGTTATCAATAAAAAAAACGTTAACTTCATCATGTCGCTTTTTGGCTGTCGGTGTGCGCGCGCATTGTAAAAATTTTATCTCTCATAATTTTTTCCAAACGTCCCAAAAGAAGTATAACTTTCGAAATATAAAGTTCAAAAATGATTATCGTCGAATTTCGATCATTGGGCGAACACTAGTTTAATTGGTCCAATAACAAATTGAAACCAAACACGTTTCTTCTACGTACATTTATGCATGCCTGTAACATGGTTAGTGGTTAAAAGCGTGAGTGAAGCCATACACAATAACTAGTTATAAAAAGGGATTAATCAGTTCGATTTTGTTCAATAAATCTACAACTAATCTACTTTCTAAGAAACTTTTTATATGAAATCATCAAATTAAACAAAACTTTGTGAAGCCGAAACGTATAAGACTTGATAAATTGTGTTTTCAGCTGCAATGAACAAATATACTTATAATCATTTTATTAGTAAGTCCAGATAAGTTATTACAACTTACCTATAAACACTGAAATCGGTTACGGCATAAAAAGCAAACAGACGGACATCTTGAATTACATATATTGTGAAGTATGGATCAATTTGCTTAATAAATTGTATTGTATTGAGCGCTTATCAGAATTATATTAGAGGAAAATCCTATCGATAATTCGGCGGTCGTCGTTAAGCCCTCAAAAGAATCACTATAAGAGCTAATCCAGTTTATTGGACTAAAGCCTATGTACATAGGTCAAATCGTGGAAATTTCCTTTAATACAGTAGTAAGTAAATGTTATTTCATAACCTACATTGTATCCACCTGCATAACTATAATAACTCTATTTAATAGCTCCATTGAGATACTCCTTTCTAGATCCTTTGACGACACGTTTGGCTCAGTTTGTAGTGACCCTACTTGCTGTGCCAGCGGTTGCGGGTTCGAGTCCCGCTGGGGGCATTCATTGTGTGATGAGCACGAATGTGTGTACTCCAGTCATGAGTGTTTATATTTATAATATGTATGTATTTAAAAGTTATATATGTGTATTGTATCAACTATCTGGTATCCATAACACAAGCCTCGTAGCTTACAATGGAACTAGATGGTGATGTGAGATAATGTCCCTATATATATATATATATATATATATATATATATATATATATATATATATATATATATATATATATATATATATATATATAAACTATTTCTAAGAATAAATATTTATAAAGGTTTCTTGATATATTACTTTATGTAATAGAAACTTATATCAAACTAGTTTTTCCTCCGGCTTCGCTAGAGCTTAAACGGGGCTGGGGTCAAGAGTAGCCTATGTCCAATCCCAGGATGCAATCTGTCCTTGCTAAATTTAATCATTTGTTCAACGGTTTAAGCATGAAAAGATAACATACAGAGTTACTTTCACATTTATAATTTTTTTTAGTATAGTATAGATACATACATATGTATATAGGTATAGAAAAATAAGTAAGTACTTTAAAAAAACTTGAAATGATACCCTATTTTATTTTCATCTGTCATAAACGTCGAAATATTCTTTATTTCTTACTAAAATTATAGGATATTATGAATTTTAGTCCTTAATTTAAGAAATAATTTGTTCCCATCCCTTTCAACCCCCATTTCACCCCTTTCAAGTTTCATTTTTGCGATAAAACGTATCATTATTTAAATTGGTAAATCGCAATAACACTCGATATATTAGCAAATAATGCTTATTAAGTTTTGTAAAAATTCGCTATAAAACAAATGACATCATTTACTTCATATAATTAATTTTATTACCAAAAATTCGATTAAAATATTAGGTAACTCATTATGAGTCAACTATAAAAAGTCCATATAAAATTTCCACGTAAAATATATGTTTGCCTTTATTTTATAAAAAGCACGGCTTTCAAATGAAAATGAATTCAAAGCCTATTCATAATAGGAGTATTTTTTATATTCATACCTAATTTTCATTTCACTTACTTTAAAAATGCAGTTAGCTAAGTTTATTTTATAATACTACGAATATTATTTTATCTATACATAATATAATAAAACTGTAGAGGTCGAATATCTGTATATAGAAAAAACTGCTAAAAACCGAATCATGGGGATGTAAGAAGAGAAATACTACAACAAATCCAGATTTTTTCTTTTTTTTTTGTTTCTCTGTCTGTTGATCTGTTTGTACGGGCTAATCTCCGAAATTTTGCATGATGATAACTTATATCCACAGTTAACATTTTAGATAGTTTTCATCCCGGAAAATCAAAGAGTTGCCGTGGGATAGTCAAAAAACTATAGTCACTTATACAGCTTAGTACACAACAACTTATACACCTAATTTAGTAAAATTTGGCATGCTGATACCATATATTGCCGGTTAAACAACAGGTTACTTTTTAATCCGGAAAAATGTACGGTTCCCGTGGGATATATCTATTTGTGCTTTTTTAGAGGCGAACCGGAGCGAAGCGAGTGTGAGCAGCTAGTTACATAATAATTACTTATCTTCATAATAAATGCAATCAATCAATCAATCAAATGAACCAAAATCGATACTTAGTTATATTTTGTAAGAAAATATTTGAAAAATTATGTTAAATAATATAATTTTTTGTCTCTTTTATATAATGTTATGAATTTCATGAGATGATTTACTTTCTGTGAGCTAACTGAGCATTTTTTTAATGACTTGACTTTCAAGTCAATTTCATTCAGTTCAATTAGTGGGTCATCTGTACCATACTTGCTATATATGAGTTAAATAATTAAAAGTCATATTGTAAGTTAAATTGTCGTCTAACATCACTGTACAAATGTGACAAGAGCTAACAGCTGCTTTTGTCCACTAAGTTTTTTTTGGACTGCTGACAGTCTTTAATAATAGAGAGGAAAAGAATATTAGTTGCAATATACGAGTATCTAAGATATTCTCTATGCTTATACATAATATGTATATACTTTTCACTGTGTCTCTATATCTTTCTATTTTTATCCCGCTATTTAACTACTATTTCCTACATACACGTGTTGACTTGAAAAAGGTCCCCCGTGTAGTAAGAAGAGACCGTCCCCAGCAATGGCACGTTAAAAATAGCTAAACATCTTTGTCTACATAATTTTATATGTATGTTTTTATTATTTGTTTTTATTTGTAACTAGTAACTTACCATCGCTTCGCTCGGTTGCGTTCCTAGGTTTTAAATAGATATGAATAGTTATTGCAAGTTTACCTTATAAGAAAAACTTATGTTATTGCAGATTTTTCTGTAGGTTTTTTTAAGACCTACAAAATTCTAGTACATTGTTTTGATGTATCTTTTAACGTCTCAGCGTTAGTCATGTAATCTAAAAACGATTTCCGTGGTAATAAAAGATTCTTCTGTGGTAAAAGGTATCCTAAATGTTGACCCGAGTAATAAGTTCAATCACTGCACAAAATTTAGTTAAAATCGGTTCAGTATATTTTAGTTGAAACGCGCACATACTGTTTTATTATACGTATAGATAAAGAATATAATAATAATATATTATATGTTCATTTTTCATTCAATTTTTTGTTTACAGACTTATAGAAGAATATGCAACTAGACCGGAGATACTCGACATCAACTGCGTGGACCCTCTCAACCGGTCCGCGCTCATCGCCGCCATCGAAAACGAAAACATCGAACTAATTAAGCTTTTGCTGAAAGCTGGGATCAAAGTTAAAGTAAGTAAAACCTTGATAATATAATGTAAAATCGTATTACTATCAAAATGCCAAAGTTTGTACTTTGAAAATTTTTGTACGCAGGTAGGGTATGACCTTTTTTCAACGTTGGGAAATGCAATTAGGCATACCACCTGCTTAATTACAGGTTATGTGGAACTGACCGGCAAAGCCAGTACCCACTAAACCCAGTAGGTATTACCCACCAATGGAACCTCGTAATAAGTTTGAAAGCTTGTATGTTTTTTACTTCTTCACAGTGTAACAGCTCAGATTTAGGTGACATGAAAAATAGAGATAACATATATTCAAGATAGTCATAATAAACATTTTTAATAATGTACTACGCAAGCAAAGCCGCAGGAAATAACAGTTATTATCAGTTAATAATTAAGAATAGAAATTATAAAATTTCTACCATATTTGTTTTTAAAATTGGACCTAAAATGAATATTCTTCGAATTTTTAGAATCCATTCTAGTTTCTGGAGTTAGATCATCTCACCAAAAGGGATGCTGGATCACTGTAATTAGTTTTCCACATCAGAACTCCGCTGTAATAAGTCTCACACATTTGGAGTTGGTTTTTAATTTTTATTAAAACTTATTTAGGTTCATCAAACTATTAATAAAACGCTTAAAATCTTTCAAGATCCATTTAAATTGAGTGTTAATGAAAATACAAAAATTCTCAAATATTTTTAGTAATCTGCCAGATAAGCTCATTGGCTCGGTACCATCACAGAACACTTATCTGTATTTATTCTATACATATAATAAAATTGTAGACTAGAGACAGACAGACAGGCAAAAATTCTAAAAACTATATATTCGACCTCTGTATCGATAAAAATGTCTGTTTCAATAACATTTTCCAAAAAATATTTAATGTTCAGATTCAACTTAATTAGAATTTTATTAAATGTAAAGATTACTTGTATATGTATGTATGTAGAAAATTATAATGCTTTTTATCTACACCCATTTGTCTCGCATAGTTTTTTGTTATATATAAAAAATGACCAAAGTTTCCGTACAAAACTAGATTTAACTCTCAGATAAAATCATATTTACTATCTATTGAGATTTGAAATCATAAGACGTCGGTTATGGAAATATATGGCATAGTATTGATGCAAACTATCGCTAGAATGATTTCCCAAAGGACATAGATATGTTTCAATATAAGAATTCTTTCTTTTGTTTAGGCATAGATGGAGATAAACTTGCGTAGTGTAAAAGTTTATGTTGAGTTTTAAAGTAAGCACTCCTTACTCACTTACTTTGCCTGAGGTTTTTACTATAGTTAGAAAACTCTACGTATTTATAGGTCTTTTAAGTAAATTTTAAAAGGATTTTTATGGGTCTTAAGTAAAGAAATAAAATTAAATTTGTTATGAATATGAAAACTAGATTATACTTCAATATATAGTTATTTAATTCCTTTAACAAAAAGGTTTTGCTTGCTTGTTAGTTTCCACCTTAATGGTGGAACAGTAACTTTTATTTATTTATTATTTATTAATTTTTGGGAAACAAACAATGAGATAATTCTTAAAAATAATTACAAACTAAAACATCGACACACCAGCAAAGTTTCCACCTATAAATATGTCACAAGTAGAGTAAACATGATTAATTTAAACATTAAAACAATATAATGAAATTTTAACAAAAGTTACTGCAAAAAAACACTACAAAGGACAAAAATAACAAATTGAGATATATCCATGTACGTTTTTATAATTTATTTTAGACGTGGTTTTGTGCTGCACATGTCAGGGAAATCAATTTTTATATTATCTTAGTTCGAAACAATATAAAAAAAACCTTATCGGAATTTTTCTTGGATTTATTTTATAAATCTATTGTCGAATCATCAATAACCAAAAAAAAAAAAACAAATAAAAATAAATCCGCAAAGTCCGAAAAGATAGTTTTATTTTAAATATCAAATATTCGCGTAATTCTTAGTTTGGATATTCAATTTTCATATGACACAAATAATAAAATAAATAAAGCAATTTACTTAATAACAGCTATAAAATACTGGCCAATATATAATTTTGAAAATTTATTGAGAATATAAAGCCAAAATCGATTACTTAAAGCAAAACAAAATTAAGATTACTTAACAATAATAATTTAAAAGTAACCATTTCCCCAGAAATTTGCTTCGTCTGTGCATCAACCTAATTTGATGTCGTTGCATTTCGTGTCCTTGGATGGTGCATTAACGTCATATGGAAGACTGTTATTAGTAATAAAATTTTATATACTGAATGAGACGCGATCTAAAGTAAGTTTTTAAATCTGCCAATACACTATAGTTGAATACTAAGTAGTGTCGACGCTCCAAATAGAATTGATAGATGAAGCGTGGGATAAATCGGTACAACGGACCCCGACCTATCCTTTAACCGACTTGAAATTTCAAACCCACCCGCTATTTACTAAATCTAGCAAATTCTACTAAATTACTAAATTAAATTGAATTAATATAGTATAATTAAAAATTACTAACTAAATTGTAATCATATTGCAACCTATAGGAATATAACCATAAAACCTGAACGCGTCCTTTATATTTGTTTTATATATGGTGCGATTCGATTCTCTATCTGTTCTTGTTGTAACTAGTGTTGGATGTAAGATAATATTGGAATATTTAATACTTTATTAAATTTTGACGACACGTTTGGCTCAGTTTGTAGAGACCATACTTCCTTGGCTAGCGTTCGCGGGTTCGATTCCCGCTGAGGGCATTCGTTTGTGTGATGAGCGCGAATGTTTTTACTCCAGTCATGGGTGTTTAATTTTTATAATATGTATGTACTTAAAGTTATATATGTATAGTGTATCAACAATCTGGTATCCATAACACAGGCCTCGTAGCTTACCATAGAACTAAATGGTGCTATGTTAATGTCCCAACATATTTATTTAAATTACTATTCAAGCAAACTCTACCTCTTTATAATATTAGTATAGGTACATACATATATGTATAAAAATAGTTAGATTTATATGTATGTAGGCGTTCAAATACACGTAAAACTCATTAATAAACCTAACTCCACAATAAAATACAGTTCTACGAGCCATATGGGTTAGATTTTAACTAAAAATGTGACTTTAAAACCGTAATTTATGCGTTCCACCACCAACATTTTTCCAACCTTAAACCTTGTGACTAGCACAGCGCATCAAAGCATCGATGCATGTTTAATTTGATACCCGACGTGAAATTAAGGGTAGTTTCACAAATTATTATGAAAAAATTACATGACATGTAATATAATAGATTAATGTTTAAATATATGTATAATAGTAAAAAATTAAAATAATATATATTGTTATAATACTTTATACTACACTAAGGACATAAATTCTGACATGAGCAACAAAGAATTAGATATATAAATTCAGCACATTTTTAATGCTGTTTTTTTTTGTGCCTATGACCATGTTTGCCTATGACTCGCTAGCTTCGATCAATTGCTTGGGAAACCGAGTGAAGCGAGTTCGAATCCCAGGTCACGCATCTCTGATATTTTCAAGTGCGAATCATTTCTAACATGATTACCACTTTCTTTACGGTGAAGGAGAATATTTTGAGGATACCTGCATGTCTGAGAGAACCTAGCAAGTTTTCGGAAGACATGTGAATTCCGCCAACCCGCACTTGGCCAGCGTAGTGGACTATGGCCTGATCCCCCTCGTATTGAAGGAGGCCAGTGCCCAGCAGTGGGACGTTAAAAAGGGCATACATACATATTCCATCTAATGTGAAACACCGCCATATGTATACCTGTGCTTTTAAAGAGGTTTTATTAGAGCCTGCAGCTGGCTATAATTGCGTTAGTACACGCCGGAGTCAGTTTAACCATATTTTCTTATAACATGTGATGTGCCACACGTTTTAATTACATTTGAGGAGTAGATATCGTTTTTATATTTTTAAACATACTAAAATTATAAAATACTACGAATTCCTCCCGATTTTACTTATGTTTTTTGTAATAATTAATATTTTTATCTATTTAATTATTTATTTTAAACTGGAATAATTTAAATTTGGTTTTGTATACTTTTGTACACAATACAGCATTATCAATATACTTATTATTTTACTATATATTAGAAATCCTTAAATGTACACACAATTTACAACCGATACAAATATTTATCAAAAACAATACTAAAAACTTGGGCTCTGACTAGTAGGCTAGATGAAAGAGTTTTGTAAATAAGCCCGCGTAAATAAAAAAAATGTGATAAATTAAAAATTCAAAGGGAATGGCATGGGTATAATTAAAAGTAATTAATAAATTATATAAAATATCACAAGATACGGATAAGCAAAATAAATAATAATAATGTCCTCCTGACCGACTCCGGCCACGGCGGCCAATCTCATTGAGACTAACTAACTGCGCAGGAGATATTATAGTGCACAAGTGTACGCGCAGACACAAGTGCACTCTCTAGCCCTGTCACTCTCATACTCTGGTGGGACGATCACTCAACACCACCAGTGAGAGTGTCGGCGCGGTAACGACGCTTTACGTGCTCTCCGAGGCATGGGGGTGAATCTCCAACTTCCCAACTCCGGGCTATTACTGAGGCTTACTATACAGAAAGACTTAATAACTAAACTTGTTGATTTCCCTTGAATATTTTATTAGTGTTCGCTAGTGGTAGAAATTTGACCATAAATCAATATTGAAAATTTATAAATTTATTGTTAGCACATAAGCTCGTCAATAACTATTAAACAAAAAAAAATGAAAATTGGTTGACAAACAAAGGAGAAAATGATATATTTATATAGTAAACATATAGTTTTACATAGAGATACTCTATGTAATATATAGATATCTGGTGCAGTACAAGTTTGTGCCTATGCTTTTTTCAAATAGAGGTAACGAATTTCATCTACGGATATTAAGCATCTTTCCAAGATATACCTATATTACAAATATTAACAATACATATTATAGTTTAATTTTCTATAAAAACTACATTGAGACAAAAAATGCAATTTGATTCTATCAAATAATGCAAATAATAATAAAAAAATAATACCATCAATATTACAACTAAAAAGTGACTAAAATAATAAATACGTGAACTAAAGAAGAAACTTTACTTAACTTTTAGTTTAAATGTTTTATTCCAGTAGAAAACAGTAAATTGTCAAGAAAATAATTTGGGAACAGTTATAGCAATGGGAGCGGAAACGATATTGAACCATAAATCATACCCGCGTTATAGTTTCCTGCAATTCGTTTGGGATCCAGATTTGTTTGGTATTCGAAAATGTTTTTTGTAAACAGGCTACGATAACGCGTAGTGGGTGTTTGACTTTTTTTATATGTTGGGAAATGTATTTACGCATCCCACCTGTATATACACAGGTTGTGGGACTCAACGGCTAGAAATTGCGTATGCCTGAATTATTCCGTTTAACATACTAAAAAAACTAGCGCCTCACTCTCACTTCGCTCAGGTTCGTCTATAGAAAAACAAAAACAAATCTATCCCACGGGAACCGTATATTTTCCCGGTATAAAAAGTCGTCTATGTGTTATTCTGATGTATGAGCTATATTATTGTAAAGTTTCATCAAAATCCATTCAGTAGTTTTTGCGTGAAAGAGTAACAAACATACTCGTACATCCATACATCTATACTCACAAACTTATGTAATTCTCCTCTATTTGTCAACCGATTTATTTTGTTTAATAGCTATTCACAAGCTTTAGTGTTTACGATAAAAATTTGAAACATTTTTTTTAATTTTTTTTCCTCAAACTTTCAAAAATGGCTATGGTCGAATCACTTATATATAAATAGACTACGCGAGCAATACTGAGGGAAAAGCTAGTAACAAATAATAATTTCACCAAAATTTTCGAGATTAGAATTATGTCAAATTAAGTATGCGCATATATAACTATGCGATACCCAATTAATTAAACGTTTTAATTTAGAAAACTTGTTGAAAAAAATAGTGTATAATTTTATGGGCTTACCGAAACTACTGTAATTCGTTGACTTGTAAATGAAACTTGTTAAAGAGAATTCGTTGAAGTAATTTTATATTTTCCAATAAAGACAAATATCTATCAAAGGGAAATCGAGCCCTTGATTTTTTATTATTATTTTTGTCTAAGTTCTCAAAAGTCCTGGTACTCCAACTGCCTTTTTTACTGCACGTCGCTATCTATCAATGTACAAAATTTCATCCAAATCGGACCAGCCGTTTTAACATGAAGGCATAACAAACTGTGTATTTGACATACAAGCTTTAGCATTTATAATAGTAATTCGATATATAAATTACCTTAATTAATTTTAATAATAATTAATAATTACGGGAAGCACCCGAGCGAAACGAGGGCAAGTCGTTAGCGACGTATTATAATTCTGTTACTATACGAACATATGACACATCTGTATACAAGATTACATAAGCGATAGTAAACTTACTATATATATATATAAACGGCATTGACATAGCTTTTAGTGGAATTGATAAAATCTAGGTTTCTGTATTACCTAGGCCCTATAGTCTAATAAAATTAATAATGAAACCTACATATCACTAAAGCATCGATCGTATTACCTCATATTATCTAATTTATAATCTATACAGATAAATAAAATTGAAGTGTCTGTTTTGTAATGTCAAAATAACAGATTTTTACTAAATGCATATGGATCTATACATATCCATACGGAACATATACCAAAACAACATTTTTTACAATTTTTGTCTGTCTGTTTGTTCCGGCTAATCTCTGAAATGGCTGGACCGATTTTGACTGGACTTTCACTGGCAGATAGCTTATGTAATAAGGAGTAACTTAGGCAACTTTTATTTTAGAAAAAAAATAGGGTCCCACGAAAAAAAGTTAAAACCAATGAAAAATTTAATTGTATCCGATTCAAATAATGGAGTTGTATACCTACCCTAGGGATGAACCCGAGCGAAGCGAGGGTGAGTCGCTAGTTTTTTAATAAAAAATGTATGTTACTTGAATGGAAATGGTAAAATACTTTAAAACATGTTTAAAATTACTAGAAACCTTATTATATGTTATTCTGATAACTCCTTCCAATCAGCAATTATATATTCCTTGGCCCTCTTCTTGGCTCTTCAAGGACTAAATAAATTCCAGTAACGCCTTCAAAGTTGTCAAAAACCAAAAACTTTCCTTCTTTTCAAGTTCAAAAGTGCAATAAAAAGAATGTGTTACTAACATTGTTTTCAGAAAAATTAGAATTGCTTATGTTTGTCATGTATGTGTGTCTAAAACTCCAAAAAATCATCTAAAAAGGCAGTTTCATACAAACTTTCATCCCCTATTTTACCCCCTATAAGAATGAATTTCGAAAAATGCTAAAATACGTATTTATTTAATTTTATTGAAGAGCATTAATACAAAGTTTCAAGTAATTCTGATTATAAATATTTCTTGGATTGTATTGTAACGTGTTTTCCCGTGGGAATGAGATAATCTCCCGTGGTAAAAAGAAGCCTATGTCACTCTCCAGATCTACAACTATCTCCACACAAAAAATCACATGAATCCGTCTCTCCGTTTCGACGTGAAAGAAGGACAAACAAAGAAACAAACAAACGAACGAACGAACAAACACACTTTCACATTTATAATATTTTTATTTATTATGTATATGTACGTGTGATGGAATTTAAATCATGTAATTGGATGATTATAGGGGTCATGTTATTGGATTATTGTAAGGGGTAGTGTAAGTTTCTTATAATATAGAATTTTATTAATTTCACCATTTTAAACCTTTAAGACAACAAACAAAGAAAGAAAATGATTTGTATATTTATTAGCTTTATATGTAACACTATATTTAACTATTAATAATACCAATATAGTAAAAAAATATTTTAAATTACTATAAACTTAAAAGAACACAGTTCTAACATATCAAATTTCCAAAACAAAATTCAAAAATTCTGGAAATTATTATTGTTTCTCATATTTGGACCTGGATGCAGAAATACTGATTTATCGAAATAAATAATTATTAAAATATAACATATTGTTCACAGGATGCGCTATTGCATGCCATTAAGGAAGAGTACGTGGAGGCCGTAGAACTGTTACTGCAGTGGGAAGAGGAGACCCATGTCCCCGGCGAGCCTTATGTAAGATATAACGTATTTCAAAATATTACGATTTACTTCTGATCTCAGTAACTATTTATTTTAACCTACTTTATAAATAAAAGGTTAATATTTATCAGTGTATGCGTGTGTATAATGTATATCATAGTATTAGGGGTTCTAAACAAACTATTCATATTACCTAATAGATCTATAGATCGAGATAGAGCATCTACTAAGTTCACTTTTGTTTTTAACCGATTTCAAAAAATGATTATTATGTTTAACTTGTGTATGTTGTTACGTATATTTAGGTACTGATTTCTGGGAGACAGCTTCATCGACCTGTCCCGGCTTTAAATTATACCCTTTCCATTTATAATACTGCAAAAGATTTCAAAAAGGACAATTTTTTACCAACAGCTTATCATCGCTAAATATTAATAAATTACAGCCTCCTTAGATAATCCCTCTATTTATTGATGCCGTATGAAAATAAAACCATACGAAAATCCGTACGGGAGTTTCTGAGATTAGTCCGAACAAATACACACGCAACATGGCGGGGGCTTTATAATATGTAGTGATAATGCCATAATCCGATATTGTTTGATACAATGCCAGATAAATTAACAGCAAGTAAAAAAATATTGTAAAAATCATTTTTAAAAAGAAGCTTTTATTTAAATTCTCTAAAAAGAAAAAAATAAACTTTAAATTTAATCAAACCCACCAATTACGCAAATGAGTCAATATTGTTGGTAAGGTAACGTTAAACCATGCCGCTAATTCCTGGGTAGTTGGGCTCGGATCGGCTTCCACCATCTCTTTCAATTCATTGTTATTCACCTGTGTGAGCGGTCTTCCACGCGGTTCGTTCTTCAAATCAAAGTTTCCATCACCAAAGCGTACGCTAAAATATAATAAAAAAGCTACATTACACAACTTACATGATAAAAAAGCTAGTCGCAAGATTTATCTATTTTATAAAAAAAATATTATTTTTTAACATTTTGTTTCTTGTGTATCTTATTAACTTAGATATCATCTATTTGTTATATCGCTTAAGCTTTTAAGATAGTTAAGTCAACTTAATCGAATCTGACTTAAAATCATTTTTTGAAAGAAAATAAAAACATTTACTATGAACATAGGACCTTGGAATATTTTAGCACTCGCGCCTCGAACACATTTTCGTTGATATCCCATGTGCCCTGCAGTTGTGATGGACAGACGCTGAAGTGCTCGCAAAATCTTTCAAATTTAGTAACTTTTCTAAGAATAAAACATAACAACATAAAAGCAAAATAAGGAAAAAGTCGTTGCAAGCAGTGAAGCAGGTTCAAATCCCGTGTCTCGCACTTTTTGCTAACACGGTGATGAATAATATCGTGAGAACCTGCATGGTAGGCTATGGCCTTATGGCTATTACCCTAACAGCGGAGGATATAACATATAGTAATTTTATAAGATTGGCAGACTACTGTACCAATCTGTAGGTGTGATCTGTACTGGGCTACTAAGCCCAGTGGTAATCCGCTTGCTTGGTAAACCAAATGAAACGCGTTCAAATCCGCAGTCTTGCACCTCTGATATTCTCTTTAACGAATCATTTCCAAGGTATTTACCACTTGTATTTACCACTGCGCGAATATCGCGAGGAAACTTGCATGCTCTCATGAGAGAACTTAGCAAGTTTTCGAAAGATGTTTGAAGTCCGCCACTTCGCACTTGTCCAGCGTGGTGGTGGACGTTGGCCCGTGACCAGTAGTGGAACGATAAAAAGAACTGAATATTTATAAAATATTAAAGTCTAAGAACAGAAATAAATATAGCTATTGTTATTCGTACTTAAAATAACGACGAATAATTTTTTTTATTCGACTAATTTTGAAAAAAAAAACGATTTTTTCTATTCGTCCTATTAGAGAACGAGTAGAAACTCCGATTAAATATTGTATTTAAGTGGCAAAAATCGTGATGCCATCAATCAGTCAAACTATTTTGTTCCCATGTATGTACATATATCTTCCCTTGTCTAAGCCCCTTTTTCCCAAGCATATTTCTAGCTTTCTCCATTTTTCCAACATTTCTATTTCCATCAATATGTTTACAGAGCTGGGAATCCGTAGACCCAGCAGCGGCAACGTTCACATCGGATATAACGCCGCTCATCCTGGCAGCGCACGTCAACCACTACGAGATACTCAAGTTGTTGCTAGATCGCGGCGCTACACTACCCGTGCCCCACGACGTCAAGTAGGTACAGGACTTCGATATTTGCGATAAGAGTATGTATACATTACATATTATTTATTGTGGATTTTGTATATCTATATTCTATATGCTTATACGTATATAACTTTCGATCGCTACCAAACTTCACATGATTGCCCGCTGAGATATGAAGACTACCTGAAAATTTCATCAAAATCGCTCCAGCCGTTTTGGAATTCATAGGGAGTATTTTCCATACACACGTCGATTTTTTTTATTTATAGAAGATACATTTATAAAATGACTGAGCTTGCCTGTTTGTTTGTAATTTATTATACATTCTTGAACGATCCGTGATTGCTATGGAACTTTGATAAATTTTTAACTTACATATAATAAAAATCTAACTAAGTCGAATCTGTAGGTACATTAAATATTTTTTGGAAAATCTTATTGAATTAATAATAATTATTATTGATACGATATCGGAGGCCAAATCTATAGTTTTTTAGAATTCTTGTCTGTCTGTCTGTGACCACATCATTTTGGTATGATGATAGCTGGTTATCCGGGTCAACATAATAATAGGATACTTTTTACTATGGAAAAATATCTCATCTCTGAGAAATCTATACTAAACGTTAAAACGTAACTAGGGATGAACCCGAGCGCGGCGAGGGTGAGTTGCTAGTGACTAAATTCGGGCAATATTTCAGGTAAATAGAAATGAAAACCATATTATCTAATATAAATTTGAAAACAGATGCGGCTGTGATGAATGCGTGAAATCATCTTCCGAAGACTCCCTCCGGCACTCCCAAGCGCGTATAAATGCTTATCGCGCTTTGAGTTCGCCGTCGCTTATTGCGTTATCGTCTGCGGACCCTTTACTTACTGCCTTCGAACTGTCCTGGGAACTGGGCAGGCTTAGCCGCATGGAGACCGAGTTTAGAATAGAATATAAGGTACAAATAATACTTGACATCTTTTAGAATATAAAATACACATTTCTTCAAGATTTGTTCACATTTTTTCTTGTCGAGCGACAATAAAAAAAAACCTATTATTTGATAAATATAAATTATTTCAATGCTGTATATAACTTGTAATACATATTATGTTTGTGTTAGAAGAAGACAAATACCCAGCTGGGTTTCTTTCACCAGTTCTTCTCAGAACTGACGCATTTCCTTTCCGAACTTGCTGTAAACTTTTGGATTATTATATCAATTAAAGGAAGGCTTAGAAAATGAGAGTGTAAAATCCAATGCAAATATATATACCTATTCTTTAAATAAAAACTAATTCTAACATTGACTTAAAGAAAATATAGAAACATTATAAAGATACAAATAAGATATTTTACTTTTTAGGTTATATTGAAGTTGTTCCTCCTTCTCTTCTCTAATTGTCGACTGAAAATAAGCTTTTGGAAACAGTTTTTTATATAGATAGATAAATAATATTCATATATGTTTTCCTCAATGGTCAAATTTTGGCCACTGAGCAAACACAAGTTTATATCATTTACTTCCAACACAGACCCTGCGTCAGCAATGTCAAGAATTTGCTACTGCTTTACTGGACCACACGAGGACTTCACAAGAGTTAGAAATCATGTTGAACTATAACCCATGGGATATGGACAGTTGGGAGCCTGGAGAACGGCAGACATTAGGACGACTAAAATTAGCTATCAAGTATAAGCAGAAAATGGTATGATTTCATTTACTAATTTTTATATAATAGTTTTTGCTATTTAGCTCTATCAATTCATGTTAAGATAATCAAACATCTATATGAGAAGAAAATTCATATAATAAAATTCTAACTAAGCCGAATCTGTACATTAAATATTTTTTGGGAAATCTTATTGAAATAGACATTATTATTGATACAGAGGCCGAATCTATAGTTTTTAGAATTTTTGTCTGTCTGTCTGTCTGTTACCGCATCAGGGAAAAACCACTGGAGGGATTTTGATGAAGTTTGGTATGACGATAGCTGCGGGAAAATATCTCATCTCTGAGAAATACTAAACGTTATAAACGTAAGTAGGGACGAACCCGAGCGGTGCGAGGGTGAGTCGCTAGTATATTATATGAATTTAATTGCTAGATAAGTGCACAATGATCCTTAACATCTTAAATGCAATACATATTGTAATACAGTTACAAAAAATTATCTATCGTACCTTTCCTATTTAACCAGAGTTTATTTTAATTTTTAATTAACTTTCCTTTTATACAAACCTTAAATCAATTGGTTATAGTGTTGAAAATATAATAAAATGTAAGTTTTCGTGAAAAAAACATAATAGAAGATTTAAAATGTACTATCATTCTTATTAAAAAAAAACTTATAATAACATTGAACTTTTACGTAGTTTTTTTTAAGTATTCATTACGTGCGCTATTAAATATATTTTTATTTCGAAATATTATCTTATAACAACATTTTAAATTGAAAAATAATTTAAAAATGTAAATAATGAAAAAGTCCAAAGTACTAAAAATACGTTGAAAAGTTGAAATGTATTTTAAATAATAACGTCGGGAACCAAAAATCTAAATAAATCCGCGAAATAATCCGAAAAGATAGTTTTATTTAAAATGTCAAATATTCGCGTAAATCTAAGAAAGTATTAAGTTGAAATGTAGACAAAATTAACAAGATATTGTCGTAACGCCCTCGTAAAAAGGCAAGTGAAAAATAATTTATAAAATTTATAAATAATCACACTCTTATATGAACATTATTAAAGATAACCTTTGCAAGATGGGTGCTTCGAAACCCACAACAACTATAACTTTATATTTAACTTAAAAGCGTTTCTTTTCAAATGGGAAACTTTGTAGCAAATTAGTACTTATATCCAATATATGAATAAAATTTACTTATAAATTTTTCTCAATGGTATTTTATAGATAATATAAATTTTCTGCCTAAAGCCATTTATGCGCTAAATTCAATATGCTTGTAAAATATTATTTATCATACATACTTGATATAGAGAAAAGTTTATAACTTGTGAAGTTTTCACTCATGAAAAATGTGACTGACAATTAGCTTTAGCGTACTAGCGTCTCACCCTCGCTTCGCTCGGATTCGCCTCTTCGTTAGTTTTTTAACTATCCCACGGGAACTCTTAAATTTTCCGGGATGAAAAGTATGTAAGATGTTGCCCGAGGATATAAGGTACCACCATGCAAAATTTCATTTAAATCAGTCCAATAGATTCGGAGATTAGCCCGTACAAACAGACAAACAGACAGAGAAACAATTTTTTTTTTAAAATCTAGATTTGTTCTATTTGTCTTCTTACACCCCCCTGACTCGGTTTTTAGCATTTTTTCTATGTACAGACATTCGATCTCTACAGTTTTATTATAGTATAGATTAAAAAAACTTCCTCTAACTCACTCACGGACTATTATGAAATTTCAAAAAATATACTTACAAACTTGAAATTCGTCGGGCAAATTTTTCATAAAGAGTAAGGTGTCCTCTACGAAAGGAGTTTTGGAATTTTTGGTTTTGGAATAACATCAAGGGATTAGAAGTTTTTATGGTACTAATAATCTACGAGTATAATTTTTGAAGTAGCAGTGATCAAAATTGAAAATAATCTTTCTGGTCAAACCTCCTCTTGAGGTAATAAATAATTGGTTCTAGGTTGTCTGATTGCACTCATCTCTAGAACTGCGAATTCAATTTGAAAAATCCTTTTTAAATTTTAGAGCCTTGTGGAAGACTGTTTAATATAATATCTCTACAATTCTTAGCAGCAAAGCAATTATATATACGAGTACATAAAAAAGCAAGTACCTAAGGGTATTAATATACTTTAAGTCATTTGATATTGTAATTATTATGCTCTAAAATATAACGATGCGTTTAATTAATGTTAATTTTGTTTGTTTATTTATTTTACAACATTCATAGTGTGCAATTAAGTGTCCTGTTTAATTATAATGGCATCTTCATTAACAGTAGATTAGCAGTTTACTTCTGAGAATGATATTTTAACACATTTTTTTTAATTTTTAATCTTGAATTAACAATTGATCTACTTATACATATTTCTGTTTAAAAAAATATTAATTTGATTCAACGGTCCGTATAAATAGTGACGTAATCAGATCACGTAATGTAGCGACGTAAAGGGACAAACATTAAAATAGTAGGAGATCCCGATTTATGTTGTAGACCACTCACTCTTTTTTTGCCAGACGTTTAGTTTTTAAACAATAAAACATTAACAAACACAACTCGGAGGAGTTGTCTCCAAAAATATACCGCAGGCTATTTTGAATCGCCTATATTTGAATGTTTTTTAACCGACTTCCAAAAAGGAAGGGGTTCTCAATTCGTCGGAATCTTTTTTTTTAAGTACAAGAAATCCTGTCCTGTGAGAAATTAGTATCGAAAGTTGAAGTCTTGTAGAAAATGCCATCATACAGTTGATGGCTTTATTTTATTCCAATTGAAGAACAAAAAGACATTAAAATGATTTTATATAATTAGTTTCTTTAATTTCTCTCACATTTAAATATTAAAAATTTAACAAAACCTTTGATAAACCTAGTCGTGTATTTTGATATAGTTTTTAGAGTTTGAGTATGAAAAATATTTTATTTTTAGTAAGTTTTATTTATATGGCCTAGATTAAAAATATGTCACGAGGTAAAGAAAATAACGACACAACGTAATCTCATTTAACAAACTAAGGATTCAGTAAATACGTGGAATCTTGTAGAAGTACTATTTTCTATTATACCTGTTTTAAACCAATTTCATCCAAAAATAAAGAATAAATCGATTTATTTTAATGCACAACAATAAATAAAATATGTAGAATATATTTCAAATTAGCGAGTCTAGATAGCTAACAGTAGCCTATGCATTAGTTCTCTAGGTCATAGTCTATCTGAGTAAATTCATCCAAATTTGTCCAACCGTTTCAACATGAACGAGTACAATACACACATACACACACAAAAACAGACACATACATATACATACCTACTTTTACAATAGTATCTATTGTATGTATTCAGCCCTTTTTATTATCCCACTACTGGGCACGGCCGGTTCAATTCAAGGGGGTTGACGGACTTCACATGACTTTCAAAAACCTGCTAGATTCCCTCAGACATGCAGGTTTCCTCAAGATGTTTTCTTTGATCCACGATGTTGGAAATGATTGGCACATGAAAATATCAGTGCTGCGAGACTCGGGATTTAAACCACTGACCTAACAATGAGTTCATTGTATATCTTCTAATATATAAATATCTCATGTCACGGTGTTTGTGGTCGCACTCCTCCGAAGCGGCTCGACCGATTTTAATGATATTTTTTTTTTGTATATTTTGGTAAGTATGAGAATGGTCGTAAAGTATTTTTCACCCTCCAACTCCCACCTATATATATTAAGTAATAAAAACGAACCCGAACGGAGCGAGGGTGAGTCGCTAGTAGTATTATAATAAGTACAAACTTCATACATGTCACCTCGCCGGCGAATAACCTTTGATAATAACACTTTGCAAAAGAACAAGTAAAACGAGAAGTTCAAAGCTTGTTATTCATCCGATTAAACTTATATGTTTATATATATATATATATACCTGAAATGAGTTTTTTTTGCAGTTTGTAGCACATCCTAATGTACAGCAGTTACTAGGTACAATTTGGTACGAAGGCTTGCCTGGTTTCAAGAGAAAAGGAATGGTCGGACAATGTGTACAGGTTAGTTATATACATTATTTCTACACAATTTATCATTTTGACTAACTTCAAAACTGAAGTGATATTTAATTCTAATATACTCGTATGTATGTTACACGATGTCTTTACCAAGTGTGGACCAATTTTTTTTTCGGATAGGCTATAAACCCCAAATGGTAGTATAAATAAGAAAAACACCTCTTAATGTATCCCGTACGGTGAATGTTTTCAGCTAAAAAATCTATTTATAAAAAACTTCGTGAGAAGAATAGAAATTTTCAACGATACGATTTTTTTTTCAAAATAAATATCATGGTAAAGGCATTCTCAGCAAGGGGCTTCGTTTTTTAGGGTTCCGTACTCTAAGAACTCTAAGGGTCCCAACGGAACCCTATTACTTTGCCCTAACTGTTTGTCCGTCCGTCCGTCTGTCAGATGGCTGTAACTTATGAACCGTAATAGGTAGAGAGTTGAAATTTTCACAGCCTAAATCAACAAATAATGAAAATAAATAAATAAAAATACAATAAACATTTTTTAACATTCGTAATCGATCATCGAATTTAATATACTACATACATAGAGTAAAAGTCATATTAATAAAAAGTACATGTACGATGGAACGGAACCCTTCGTTTGCAAATTCGACTCGCACTTGTTGAACAATATCATAACTATGCTCTATATCAGAAAAAAAGTTATATTTACATTACATATGTATATAATAAGTAGGATTTGAACACGGCGTTTCATTACTAACTAGTGATCTTCCCTCGGTTCTCTCGAGTCACTTTTTAGCAAAGTTTTATTACTACCAGTATATGTGATACTCTACTAAAGGAATAAACATACACATAAACATTTGCATTTATAGAGTGTGGTTATTATTTAGAAATTCACAATTGAATACGAATTCCTGTTATTGTTAGACGATTACTAATAAATTATTCTACAGCTTAGATTGAATAATGGTCAATAAATCAAACAATAGGTGCTATATGCTGAATAATCGGTATTTTAGTCTTAGGACTATTTCGTCCTCCACCAAAATTATATGACCCTTGTTATATTCGATGAAAAGGCTAACTAAATCCTCTTATCGTCTAGTTTTAAAAAGTGGCGAATAAGAGCTTATCTTTACTATATCTATATCTATACATTTAATAAAATTCTAACAGAGTCGAATCTGTACATAAATATTTTTTGGAGAATCTTATTGAAATAGCCATTATCATCGATACAAGGCCGAATCTATAGTTTTTAGAATTTTTGTCTTTCTGTCTGTCTGAGAACGCATCACGAGAAAACCACTGGACAGACTATAATGAAATTTGGTATGATGATAATAACCTATGAAGAAAATATCTCATCTTTGAGAAATTTATACTAAAGGTTAAAACATAACTAGGGACGAATCCGAGTGGAGCGAGGGTGAATCGATAGTTTATAATATAGTAAAGACATTACCATTATTTACTATGTGTCCAGGTTCACATGTTCATTGATAAATAGCATTTTTGAAATAATAATACCATCTTAAGTTAAGAATTGATTATTGACAGCTTTAAAAAAAATCAGTTGAAACTTTTTTGATTCGCGAATTGTGTAATATTCATAATTTTTTATTACATTAATAAAATTGAAATACCATAAGAGTTGCCGTACATTAATAAAAATAATTCTTAAAAATTATAGACCGAAATTCAAATAGGCGGATTATTTCCATTTGGAGTTATTGTGAAATCGGTGCTAGTATAAGATTTAAGCAGTACTTAAATCAATTTAGGCAACGTGAAAACCAACGAGCAGTCGATATCGTTACAATAAATACAATTCATAACAAATATAACTCATTATTTTACAAATAGGTCGCGAAAATGGGTGCGATGTTTCCAGTTTACTGCACTATCTACATGCTCGCACCCGACTCAGAATATGGTCAATTCATGAAAAAACCCTTTGTCAAATTCATCAGTCACAGTTCCTCATACATGATGTTCCTTAGTAAGTACTAAGTATCGTTTGTTAAATTATACCCAAATAATGTAATAATTTATGCTTAAAATTAATTTAGTTAAAATTTTAAACTATTGTTTTATATATTAAATATAAAAAGATTTAAAACATTTTTCCACCATTTAAAAAAAAATATAGTTTTTAAATTTGAAATATTTGACTTTAATGTAGATACAGAACTGCTACTAAATTAAAACTATTTTATTAAAAGCTTTAACCATTGAAAATTTTTTTTTATGTGTGAACTCATCCTATCACATGTAAAAACTATAACTCAATTTAATCACAGTTCATTGAATTATAAAAACAGTTTGTGTATTAAATTATACCAAAAATATCTTCAAAAGAAAAAAAAGAGTTAACTCGAATATACTCCATATAATTGTTGAAGGAAACTACAAAGAACTTTGCTCATTACTATAAATATTCACTAATAAATCTCACGATATGCCAAATTACTAAAATAAATTTTCGTGTTAACTTCATTATTTTTGAATGCCTATTAATCACAGCAAGTAATGTTCTACAGATTTTATTAATAAATATAAAGATTGGTGATCTAAAAATGAATCTATTCGACTTGTTCGAGTTAGCTCTAAAAAAATTTAAAGATTGGAATTTTAGTTCGACATTTATATAGACTTTGATATTCAGTGCCTTATTTTTTTTTTATTTAGTGTTACTGTCTCTGGCATCTCAAAGAGCTGAATACTTAGTCTTGGAATGGTCTGGTATATCATGGCTGCAAGAGCTGGTTGAATTTTGGAAAGCACGCGAGAGAGGCTCATTACCTGGTCTGATCGAATCTACTGTCATCCTCTTCATAGCAAGTAAATTTGGATTTTGGCATGTTTCATACAATATTTTAATTTTTGTAATCTTTAAGTCTTTTAGTATTAAAACAACTTACTGAAACAACTTTTTTTGTAATATGATGATTAAAATTACTTTTTTTATTCAGGTTTAGTTTGGGGAGAAATACGATCACTTTGGGAAAATGGTCTCATGGAATACATAAGCGATTTGTGGAATATAGTGGATTTCATCACCAATGTGTTTTACATAGCATGGATAAGTTTACGATTCTCTTCCTGGTATATTGTGCAGGTATATTTTGACCCATAAACATATTAAATTCACTAACATCTTTTTGTTTTGGAAATATAAGTTATTACTGAGACTTTCTAAATTTTTAGTGATACTTTTTGTTTTACTAGCGAGACTATCATAGTGGCAAAGATCCTTGGTACCCACGAGAACGTTGGGACTCATTCGATCCGATGCTGCTTTCGGAAGGCGCCTTTGCAGCTGGCATGATCTTCTCCTTCCTCAAGCTGGTCCACATCTTCTCCATCAACCCCTACCTTGGACCGCTGCAAGTGTCTCTCGGCAGAATGATTATCGATATCATTAAATTCTTCTTCGTCTACATGTTGGTGCTATTTGCCTTTGCATGCGGTATGATAAGTTTTAACCATCGTAAAGCTTTCATTAATCATTTTAATTTTGTTTACCTTAAATAACTATTCTACATTTGAAAATTTAATTAATAATCTACTTCGCTTAATAATTAATGCATTTACGTTACACATGGCTCGTAATGATGTAGTAAAAACATGTTTCTCTCAGGTCTTAACCAGCTGATGTGGTACTATGCTGAGTTGGAGAAGAATAAATGCTATCACCATCCATCTGGTGCACCTGATTTTGATACTCAAGAACGAGCTTGTAGTATTTGGAGACGATTTTCAAAGTAAAGATTTATATAAATATGTAATATTTTATTAAGTATAGATTTACATATACATATAAATAGCATTGTTCTTGAAACTAATTATATACTATGATATTCATTATATATACATATAATAAATATTTTCTACTTCAACAGCTTATTCGAAACATCTCAATCACTTTTCTGGGCGTCATTCGGTCTCGTCGATCTCACCACCTTCGAACTGACTGGTATTAAGAGTTTCACTAGATTTTGGGCCTTGTTAACCTTTGGATCGTACTCCGTGATCAATATTATTGTACTCCTAAACATGCTCATTGCTATGATGTCTAATTCCTACCAGATAATTTCGGTGAGTACATTATGTCGTTCTATATTTTTAAAATGTATAATATTTTCGCGGAAAAAGATAGAAATAAGATGTCTCATAATTTTTACTTAGTTTATGCCAAGTTAATGCATTTAATAAAATTACAAGAAGATTTTCTAAACTAATACATATAATAAAATTCTAAGTCGAATCTGTACATTAAACATGTTTTTGGAAAATGTTATTGAAATAGTCATTATTATCGATACAAAGGCCGAATCTATAGTTTTTAGAATTTTTGTCTGTCTCTTTGTCTGGAAACGCACCACGAGAAAGCTACTGGGCAGATTTTGATGGAATTTTGTATGATAAGATATGGTATATAGCTGGTTATCCAGATCAACATATAGAATACTTTTTACTGCGGCAAAATATCTCGTCTCTAAGAAATCTATACTAAGCGTTAAAACGGAACTAGGGACGAACCCGAGCGGAGCGAAGGTGAATCGCTAGTAGTCTATATAAGTATGTCTTAAACGAATCTCTGACCCACTATCACCAGTATAGGAACTGACTACCGTTGTAGAAACTATACAAATAAATGAAATATGTATATAATGGCAGCAACTCTTACAATACTCTTTAAGAAAGAACCTGTTACATTTTAGGAAAGAGCTGATGTAGAATGGAAGTTCGCTCGCAGCAACCTGTGGATGTCCTACTTCGAAGATGGCGACACTGTGCCTCCACCTTTCAATATAATCCCTACACCAAAACACGTGAACGGTTGGGTGCAGAGGATCCTTAATAAGAGACAAAGGGGATCCATTATTGTTAGTATTATATTGACACAGTATTTTTTGTATAGAGGTCTAAGCTTTCTTCGTCACTATTATACTATTTTTATTTTAAAAATAGGTTTTTTACAATATTTTACACTTTTTTCGAGGTATACAATATATACCAATTATGTTAGTATTTTGTGAACTAGCTAACTAAATATTTATTTAATTTCGATTGTTTAATATATTTTAAAACTAATCTTAAAATTCAGAACAAATCCCGAGAGAAAGCTCGTCACCAACACGAAGCTGTGATGCGAATCCTAGTAAGGAGATACGTCACAGCTGAACAGCGTGACCGAGACGATGTGGGGGTCACTGAAGACGACGTCATGGAGATCAGACAGGACATATCCACTCTGCGCTTCGAGCTGATAGACATCTTCTCGAATAACGGCATGAAGACACCGAGGATCAACCTTCAAGATACTACAAGTTAGTATATTAATCTTAAAAAAATGTCTTATCTTTCTTACTAATATATAAAATTCCAGTGTACGTATGTTCTTAATTCTTTTCGATTAACGCCTTGTCCGATTATGCTTAAATTTTTATGTTATGGGTTATTTATGACGTAGCCTTCGTGGTTCTAAGCTATTGGACCCGGTAGGCCGTAGATAAATATGAAGAGTTATTTAGTAAAATAATATTAACCTTTTGTAGTATCTGGCAAGAAGGGCAAGGTAATGGAAAGAAGAATTCTTAAGGACTTCCAAATAGGCATAGTGGAGGGTATCATAAAGGACGTGATATCGAAGGAGAGCAAGCCTAAGGACGTATTCAGTCAGATCGCCAAGGCGATTGTAAGGCGAGGCAGTGAAAGTGACAAGTAAGAAAAAATTTACAATTTCTTATATCAAAATATGAATGATCTTGAAATAACTAAAAATTAAAGACTTTTAACTAATGATTGATGACTTTTAACTAAGGACTTAAACTAACAATTGACGCAATACATTCGAAAGCGGGAAAGCGAAAGAGGTATTGCTTATAACAAAATATAGTGTAGTATAGAAGCAAAAGGAAGAAATTGGGCAACATCGTTATTTTTATGTTATTCTAACGATTAAAAACATTAGTTTAAAATTAAAGCAACAATATATTACACATATTTATTTCCGTTATTTTGCACATTCTTTTCCTCGATTGAAATTAATTTGTAAACTAATGTTTCACAGGGAATTAAATATCTATTTTTTTTTACAGGAAAAAGGATTGGAATGCGCAAATACGCAGAAGTACGATACGGAAGGATCCTATTGGTTCGACAGCCGAAGCTGAGACAAAGAAGAGCAGGCAATCTCTTAGGGCTCATATTCTGGATAACGTGCAAGCTAGAACCATCGATCCGCAGAAACTATTACGTAAGACTACCTTAGTGTAGTAAATTTTACTATAAGCTTATATATTTTGAGAAGTTTAATTATATATCTTTGACGCGACCAGAAATCTCCATGACACATTCTTTATTAACTAATATTTATATCACGCTGTTATCTTAAAAATAACTCTAAATACGACCTAAGTATATACAGATTATATAATTTATTTTACCTTACGAATCACGGGTTCGATCCCGCTTGAGACAAATATTTATAATTGCCTAATATAAATATTGTTTTTTTTTTGCGGTAGGTCGATTAAACCGGGATTTCCCATTTTTGACGGACGTTGAGTGTACAGTATCAGTTAATTAACAACAACAACAAAATTAAAACAATTTTAAGACAACATTATGAATATTTTTTTATGTTTACCCAATTAGCTTTAATATTTTCTAGAATACAATCCTAACCTATCTGCTGTGACGCCGACGGCAAGAGTTGCGTACGCCAAGTTCATGAGGAGCAAGATAAAATCTGATTTCACTGACAAAGAGAATGATAAACTAGAAGAAGCAGCTGAGCTAAAAGAGTCTACAGTTAAGGACGGTAAGAACATTTTTATTGGTAAAGTTGAATATCACGTACAAATTGGTAATAACAAAACAATGATTTTAGATCAATAAGATGAGCCATTTTTTGTAAAACCAGTCAGATTTTTATTTCATTTATATTTTAATATTTCAATATTTTAAAAACATATTATAAGGTCCTTAAAAGCTTGAAATATATTCTTTGAAATAGTTATAAATGGCACTGTTCCTAAATTATATGTAGTAAAAATAAGGAACCTCTTCCTCTACCCTCAAATCGGGTATTCCCTCTCCACACTAATAATAAACAGAAAGACTTCATAACTAAACTTAGTCAGACCCGGATACCCGGAACCTCCGGATATGCAACAGAACATGCTAATCACTACACCACCGAGACAGTTAGTCTCTATACTACCTAATATATATCTATCATTTAAATGTAATCTGAACCCAGGAAGGAATTATACAGCTTGACATCCTAAAATTCTTATCTATACTCATTAAAAAACTTAAAAATGTATGTAGAGTATATCGACAATTTTATTTACCTTTAGGATTTCTATTAACAATATCAATTGTAGAATATCTTGAAGCTATGATATCTGGCTGGGGTCAACATAATACTGACAGTCACTTGCAAAAAATTATCGCTCTCTAATAATATAAAACATGCAAATATTTGAATTTACTTATATGATTTGATATAATAAATATAAATATATGAAATTTGAGTATTACATTTAATCAGAAATTGAGTATTACATTTAATCTTACTTAATATTATAAATGTGAAAGTTTAGATTGATGTTTGGATGTTTATTACTCAATCACGCCAGAACGGCTGAACGGATCTGGATGATATTTGGCACAGAAATTATAGTCTGGAATAGCAGATAGGCTGGCTACTTTTTATTCCGCCATATGTACAGTTCCCGTGGGAAAGATTTGTTTCTGTTTTTCGCGTACCCGAACGAAGAGAAGGTGAGCCGCTAGTTAGTTAATAAAGAACAGAAAAGACCGAAATCTAAACGTTATAAAATATTTATTCCTTGAGTAGTTTACGTAGAAAATCCATGCTAAATTTAGGTGCATAAATTTGTAGGTAAAGTATATATGATTTAAAGTAAGCAGACTAGGAAATTAAATTGTAAGTCGGAAATTCATAGTTTTCTTCGATCGCGAGATGCAATTTTCTGTACAAATACAGTCATTTACATAAACGTCCGAGCGTTCTGTATCCATACAAAATGTATGAAAGTGGTGCTTCAAGAAATTAATTTTGTGTCTAATATTTAAATGTATGTTTTTATTAAAAGGGCGATAAAATATGTGATGCTTTACATTCTATTATAATTTGTCTTTCTTATGCATATAAAATAATTTATTTGTTTTTTAGTTCGTCAAGCATTCAAACCCAAAACACCTATATCAGTGAAAACAGAAGATGAGAATGTCAAAGCAAATGAAATTAAAGTTGAAGCGGATATAGAAAATAAAGGTTTTATTGGATTTTTTTAATAAACATTAGTTATTGCATAAATTTATTTTCAGTCTACGCGCGTTTTAACGTTGATTTACAAAATGTTATTGAAATTACAGGTTCGGCCGCTAGCTCTGAACAACCAACACTAAAACCGACCTCTTCAGGACCATCTCCACCAAGTACTCCAGCATCTACTACAAAATCTGATAAAGAAACCACACCTCCAAAGACACCTGACACAAAGGAACACGTTATCCAAATAGAACCAGAGTCACCATCAAGTAGCCTCTATATAACTAAGGAAGAGGATAAAAATTTGCAGAAACCAATATCGCCAACACCAAGTGGACCTTCAGAACAGATTCTTTCCGCAGCCACTCTAGAAGCTGATCAAAAAGAAGAAAAATCTAAATCAGTGAAAATAGATGTAGAAGAGCCAAAGAAAGAAGAAGAATCTAAGCCCAAAGATTCAAAACCCAAAGAGCCCAAGGAAACAAAACCTAAAGAACCAAAACCCCCTAAAGATAGCGCTGGACCTTCAAGACCACCTCCTTCTACGGCTCCTCCAAAGCCTGCATTGCCAACTGATAAGGGAAAATCTAAAGTTACGGGCAAAATTGTTTCAGGATGGCTGTAAAACACTTCTATATAACTTTAGACTTCTTCTTTATGTTACATTTGTCCATTCTTTGTTATTAGTCTAGTTCACAAGTGCCTTTTTGTAAAAAAACCTGACCTTTGGTTTCATTCCATTTGAAATGATATCTGGAAAAAATGTGATCCTGGAAAACTGGGGCCAACAAAAATTGCAAAAGTAATAAAGAATTACGTAAAAAAAAGAATGGATTCGTTTTTTTGCAAATATTTCAAAAACCATTTGTAATATCCAAAATTTTAAAAAGATCCTTAAAGAAAAGGAAATTTCCTAAATAAGTCTTACCTCCCGGAACCTTACCAATAATATTTATAATTTTAATTTAGAGGTGAAAATTAGGCTAAAAACAGGTAGTGGTCTTGCACGTGCGTCGATCGAACACAACATACCTTTTTATGGTTTTTTTTTCTATTTTTTATATAATTTAAAAAATATTATACATTTGGACTTCTTTGTTTTTAGTATTTCTTAATACTCGTATTAAAAAAAAAATTTTGCAAAAATTCATTTGCTTATAACAAATTGTTTGTTTAGTAAACAAATAAAATTAAATAAATTCACAATATGAAATAACGTGATAAGCAATGTTTTTTTAAAGTTCATTTTAATATTTAGCAATAAAAAATGTTAATTAGCAAGTACGTTTTAGCAATAATTTCTCTTTTATAACAAACGATTTTTTTTCAACGATTAGTTTTCCAAAAAAAAATTATTTAATGTTAATTAACAAAGCATTTTTATAACAATTATTTAAACATTGAAAGTAAAAAAATTGAATAAATATTTTTATGTAGCTTTTAGCGATAAAAACAACAAAATAATAAGGATAATTGAAACAAAAATTCTGATTGCTTTATTAAGTTTTTGAAAAGTGAAAAATCAAAATTTCTTAATTTTTGCTTTCCTAAATCCTTTCAAGAATAGCTCCAAGAAGTAAAAAAAAAACAATGTTTTTATTTATATATAGAAAAAATAATCAGGGTTTTTATGCTAACTTTCAACATTAACCATTTAATAAAAGCAGAGTTAATTAATAAATTGGGACATTTTTTTTTTGTTGACGGATTATTGTATATTCATGTATTTAGATACCATTTTTTTAATATTTAATATTCATTGTTTATCGTTTATTTTTAATCAATCTTGTGATTCAGACGACGCGCGCGCATAGCTACCCGTTAAAAACTTCCCATTTTAGCGATTTTTTTACCTCTAAATTAAAATTATAAATATTTTTGATACAGTTCCGAGAGGTCGAACTTGTTTTAGGAAATTTTGGATATCTCAAATAGTCTTTGAAATACCTTCAATAAACCAAACCATCCTGTTTTGTACTTAATTGTTCATAGGTTTTGCAATGTGTGCCGACCGCAATTTTCCAGTTTTACGTTTTTTTTGAAAGTCATTTCGAATCGAATGAGACCAAAATTATAATTTTCGGTGATTCAGGTCAGGTTTTTCACAAAAAGGCACTTGTGAACTAGACCATACGTACCAATAAGTATTACTGACTTCCATAATAGTTGAGTGCCTTAAATGAAATTGATTTTATTTTTAAATCATAATATACATGTGGATTCTAATCACGTTTTTATTCGAACATATTATTTTATTCGAACATATTATTTCCCAAAATTAAATATGTTAGTTTACCAAAGAAATATAGCATAACGCGTTCGCTTAAGTATATAAATAAAACATTCTTTATTACAATCTATATATAAAATGTCTCTTAATTAATTGATTGATGACATATTAGTGAGATGATAAGTATACATAGCAATAATTATTGTTACATTTTGTAATAGTTTAATTTTAGATTGTAAAACATTAGTAATTTAGCTTAGCAAAAAACAGAATATCTAAGTAGATTAAATAGGTTTAAGACTGGCTTTAGGTATTTCAAGTTTTTGCATTATATTTAGGTGGCCTGGTGTTATCGTCTGGATGAGAGCAAATACTCTGTTAGAATCTCTAATTCAACTAAAATTGATGTTAAGTCATTTAACAAAGCAAAGTTACGGTGTGAATCTATAGTTTAATTAATAATAATTGTTGTCATTGAAAACTTTTTTTCATATTTTTAGTTGTTGGTTATGTCTTTTTAATTAAGATATTGATTAATTTCATCCCGTTAACGTCACTTAAGTTAATTCGTTAAGACCGGCTTTTAACGAAAGTTTAAAACGAAACAAATTGATTATGACTCTATTTGTAACAAAAGCTAAAGAAAAACTTGAAAATATAGAAAAAAAATATTCAGTTTATATTAATTTTAATCCTGTCTTGCCTGTAATTAGCTATTTATTGCAAAGACTTATTTTATAGTTATTTGTTGTATTATTTTTCAATTTTGTGTGGATAACATAAGAATGCCTTTTTTATAAGATTTTCACTCTTTAAACGTGTTAGTCAAAACAATTTCATTGCTAGAAATAAAAAACTTTTGATACACTAGTAAAATAAATGTATGTATGTCAATTTAGAATTCACAGCCGAACTGTTATCGATAGAATTAGAGAGTATAATACTTATGTTGTAGTACTGTGCCCCATAGTATTAGATAGCTAAGGTCGAAAAAGAAAAAACCAAAAAGATTTTTGTAATCTTTTTATAGCCCGCCAACCCGCACTTGGCCAGGGTGGTGGACTATGGCCAGATTCCCCTCGCAGTAAGAGGCCCAGCAGTGGGACGTTAAAAAAAGGGCTGAATCTACAACAATCTTTTTTATTCTCCACATTACAACTTGTAGTTCTAAGTATTTTTCATTTCTAGCTATAAAATTAAATCGTTGAACGGTTTATTTTTACTTATAATAATTGTTTTAGAGTTAATCTGTTAGACATAAATAAAATCTGTTTTTCAAATGTTTATTTCTTTATTTGTTACCTTAAAAAAAGTATAATCTATAAAAATGAAATACTGTTAACGAACAGTTGGTAAGCGATTCACTTGAGAATGGATCGATTTGATTTTCGTAAGAGTCTGTATATTCTATAAGATTTTTAGGGGGGAAATGGAAGAGTTATCAATATTATGTGGGAAAATCGGAAAGACTGAAAGTGCTTTCCTACAGATCACAAATATATTTTTTTAAATGATATCTTTATTGAAAATGTACAAGCGAGACAAAATCTGTCGGGTCAGCTAGTTTAAAATATTTTAATATGCATGAACCCCCACGTTTACTTCCATCAAGAAAATATTAAAATGTAATAGTGGTGTATTTATATTATAGATTGACAAAGAATGTACAAGCTTAGAAGCTTTTACTGGTGATGAGAGAAAGACATATCCATGTAATATATTACATGCACTAATATCGCCTTCATTTTTTCAGCTACATATATATGTACTAGCATTGCCCGCGGCTCCGCCCACGTTTAGATGACCAAAAACCAAATTCTTAGGTTTTACATTTATACTTACTCTTACAATGCAGTTTTTGTATTTTTTCTCAGAAATGAGATATTTTTCCGCGGTAAAAAGTATCCTATATGTTGACCCGGATAACCAGCTATCACTATACCAAATTTCATCAAAGTCCTTCCAGTGGTTTTTCTGTGATGCGGTAACAGACAGACAAAAATTCTAAAAACTATAGATTCGGCCTCTGTATCGATAATAATGTCTATTTCAATAAGATATTCCAAAAAATATCTAATGTACAGATTCGGCTTAGTTACAATTTTATTATATGTATAAATGTATAGGTATGGAATGTGCTCACTATTTTTGAATTTTTGATCTTCTCTCTTGAGGACTAAAGCGGGCAGGGGGAAGAGTGACTAGAATGGACGGAACACGTGCGAATTTAGGTATATCCTCCGTCTTATAAAAAGAAATTGAAAATGTAAAGTGTATACTTTATAGAAAACGTATAGTTCTGTTATTATTAAAAAACTGATGAACTTCCTTGAAATATTTACGGATAGTTTGAAATATTTCGAATAATGTAAATAAATGTAATGTAAATACAAAATATTCAGGAATTAGAAATATTCATTTTGGATTTTTTCTATCGAGGAAACTACAAGTAATCGTGTTTCTAAAGTGTACGATTTATAGAATAAATCCTTAAATATTCTACATATTAATTGCATATATGTTTTTAATATTTTTATATATTGTGTTTTATTTAATATTGTTTTAGTAATAACAATACAGCAAGGGATCAAACGAGCGCTATTATTTCGTAATTACGTTTCGCTGCCTCGGTGTGCCCTTAAGTAACATCTCTGCGGTAGAGACAGTTCCATTGTATAATAATTATTTTTTTTTACAATTAAATATGTTATTGAATTATTGATAGTACTCGCAATGTACTATAAGAAAAAAGCAAAGTTCAAACGTACCTTATCTTATGAATTCGTAATAGACATAATATTAGTGAGTAGCACTGTAAGCTTAATAGTCGGTTTTGTATTTTTATACTACTTCGTTGGGGTCATAGTTCAAAACCATGTAAAAAAAATCTCCATCTCACTAATTTCGACCACTGCGACCAATTTCGCATAAATTATTGTAGTATACAATTATGCGAAATACAATACGCCAACTTCCCAACTCAGGGCTCTTATTGAGAATTTCTTGACAGAAAACCCCAATAAATACACTAGGCCCTAGGCTAGGGATTTAAACCCAGGATCTTCGGTCTCCAGCTATACATGCTAGCCACTTGACCAAATATGTAGTCTCAAAAATTATTGGTTTAGTTCACTTAACTTAATAACTTCAAGAAATAATATTCGATAGGCAGGAGGATAAAACTCATTTCAATTCAATTATCTTGTTAACGACTTTAGCATGACGAGTTGAGCACGATTTCTTCACCAATGTCACGCACATAGAATGGAGAAGCCACGAAGGAAATTGGTCGGTGATAATATGTAAATAGACTGAGGGTGCTATATTTTTTTAAATTACAGGTCACGAAATTTTAAAAGTAAATTATATTTTTCTAAGCAACCTATAAATATTTCGGGTGAAATCTGTATGGACGACAAATAATTTGATTACAGCAAGGAATCATATTGGGCGGAGGGTTTTATTGCCTACTTACTTATAACTACATTATTTTTAAAAATTAAGCTTTACCTAATACCCTCATTCAGCTATTTAGCATCGAAAATTAAGCAGACAGTCGGACAAAATTACTTTCATATATTTAATATTAATATTCAATATTTTAAAAGTTCATTAAATAAATTAAGTATATATGATCAAAGATAATTATATCATGATTTGGAATTAAAAAAAACACAATAACTGTTATTAGATATATATTGGCATGAAATAGAAAAAGCACTATATTAAATACATTAATAATAAATAATTAAAATTTATTGCAAACATCACATAGTTCTTATTAACCGTCTTCAAAAAACGGGTTATCTGTTTGGGCGGTATTTATTTAAAAAAAATCATTTATTCTTAGCGACGCGTTAAAAAAGAACCCCGTACGAGATTCAAACCCGTAACCTTATTTATTTTTAAAAAATACGTTCAATAATAATTAAAAAAAGATATACAAAGTCTACAAGCATATAAAACTAAACAATGACTTAGAAAAATGAAGCGTCGTATATCATAAAGAGTATCGGGGTAGAATTCGAAGCCATTGGCGATAGATTTGTATCCAATTTGATACCATTTCTAGACCATTATTTTTTATATTATTATACTACATAAGAATTGTTTATGACTAAGATAGATGATATTATCTAAAACTAATATTCATAGATATGCGCCAAAGCCAAAGAGTCTATCAAACATTCATCTCCCATGTTGAAACTACTCCATTTGCCATTTTATTCACTTAAATAAAAGAACAAAATAAGCTAACATGTAATAAAAATTATGTAAGTGATTATGACAGTTTAAAAGTTCATATTAAAAACTTTAATAATAAATAAAAAAATACTTTTAATATTTATCTTGAAACATTATTGCAAATATAACACAGATTTTAGATAATATTTACTCGTAAGTAGAGCTATTACTTCATAAACAACATCTACTGACATCTATATTGAAAAAAATTATCACAAGCGCATAGTAATCATACTAAATATAATAATTATTATAGAATTTTTACATATTATATTCTGTAACAGGACGGACTGACAAGGTCACTTAAATATTACTAAAGGATACTTAGATCACATTAGTAATAAGAAAAAAAGCAGGCAGTCTTCTGCCCGCTTTTTTTCTTATTACTTTTTTATCATTACAATTATATCTTATGACTAAATTCATTTTATTTTATAGAGATAAAAATAATTAGATAAATATTTATTTAAAATTAAATACAATAAACTAGTTATAGATCTATTAAAAATATTAACATAAATGTTCATAATTATAGCATATTCTTTACTGTTTACACAGTAGGTACGGCAGCGGCAGCAGTCATTATTATTTAAAAAAAATTACATAATATGCATTACAAAACTGATCTACATTCGATTTTTTAAAACGAATAATAAGAATAAATTATTTTAGTACAATATAACGAAGCTAAAATTAAACAGAAGTAATAATAGTAATTTACAATAATAATAATTGAGTTTGATATGAAAGAAATCTATAAATACATATAATAAAATTCCGAGTCGAGTCTATGCATCTTTTTAAAAGTCATTATTATCAAAACAGAGGTCGCATCTATAGATTTTAGAATTTTTGTCTGTCTGTCTGTATGTCTGTCTGGGAACGCATCGCGAAAGAACCACTGGACAAATTTTGATGAAATTTGGTATGATGATAGCTGATAATCCGGATCAACATATAGAATACTTTTTACTGCGGGAAAATATCTCATCTCTGAGAAATCTATACTAACCCAACCCGAACCCAAGCGGAGCGAGGCTGAGTCGCTAGTAAGAAATGAGAACTAAATTTCATTGAACATAGAATTAAATTACAATTCTATTACAAGGTACATAATATATTATAATAAATCACTCAATGTTTACTAAGTCTAAAACTTTCAGTTATTTTAGCATCAGACATTTTGCGGGCTAATTAATCACATCTGTTATAGTTATTTATATATATGTATGTAGCTTATAGCCATCCGGTCTTAGGCTGACGTTTGATAGTGTTGACGTCTTCAATCTTCTTTCCCGGGGGAAGAGCTACTGGAGATTCCGGGGGAATGAGAAGTTCCGTACTGACTGATGTTAAAAGTTTAGATGAATTTGCGTTTGTACTCTAAAAACGTGTAAAAATGTAATAATTATTATTGTATTATAATACTAGGCTATTGGCCGAGATTTCGCTTATTTTATACTATGTATGATATTATTTGATAATAAAAGAGAAACGTATTAAATGGTGTCTTAATTAGATATATTTTAAAAAAAGTTTTATTTATATAAAAATGGATAAAACACAAATTCTAAGCGAATTCTTTTCATAAAAGCAGCCATACAATAAATATATTTTTTTCTATGCAATTATTTATAATAATAAGATTAATTCCTACTAAAACAAGTGTTGTCCAGAATTGAATGATTGTCGAGTCAGAATTTGAGAGTTCTATATACAACATACCGGCCTGAGCCTCAGCAAGTCGGTTTGGAATACATATTTAATCATACTATACTACTATATTTAGATATATATATTTTGAGCTAAGTACATTTACCCAATTTCTTACAAAATGATAAAGACATTACTAACGTTTCAGCTAACCCAAGATCTGTCTTTACGACACCATTCTTAACGCAGCGGTTAGTAAAAAACCGATAAAATGCTAATTCTAGAATAAAACAGCAAAACCGCTAAACATAAGCAAATTCTATGACAGTAGATCGGACTACAATTGGACGTAGTTATGCAAAATGGATTCAGCCTACGAAAACCGTTTTATGAGTTACCGTCATAAATGGCACCTACACACCTACCTATATATAGAAAGTAGATAAAATACGCAACATTTAAGAGTAATTTCCAAAAAAAGTACGATCTTGTTATTTTGATATACCAATTTTACTAAAACTAAGTTTTTGTTAACTAAGTTGGATCTATTTTGCATAACTACGTCCAATTATAAATGTCATAGTTTGTAAATGTATATGTACGTTCATATGTTACTTCTTCATTTTGAAACGACTAAACTTTTTTTGATAAAATTTAGTATACACATAGACCTGTAGTAATAACAGGCTGTTAGGCAATTTTCTAATAACTTTGAACAGCTTACGTCTTAAGTTTATCTTCATGTATATTAATAATGTTAAGAAAAAAATGTTTATTTGTACCCGACTGCGGCAAAGCCTAAAGGAGGGTTATGTGTTTGACCTGTATGTATATATGCATGCACGTATGCATGTACGCATGTACATCCTCATATGTATGTTTCGTCCTTGCCGCGACATGTGCCTACATATGCTAATGTTATGTACATTATGTACATAATTACATACATATATATGTCTCCGACTGTATAATATTCTATTCGTTTGCCAACTTTTTTTTCATCCTTTTATGCAGTTGGGTTTTTATTTTATTTTTATATTTTTATATTTTTTTAATAAATATATAAGTTAACTAGTACTTTGTATAATAAATAAACAACTAAAGTTTTACCTGAATGGGTCCTGGCTTAGGAGACGGTGACCTCGATCTAGGTGCTGGCACTGGTTGTTTAAAACTAGATCCCGCTTCTAGCGATGGCTAAGAATAAACAAGTATAAAATTTATTAAATATTGTTATTTTTAAACCTTTCTTGAAAACCCCTTTTCCTCAATCGAGGTCGGGATGAGCATAGTAATTCCTTGTTACTTTAGGATGTAGCCGATATAAAATACGTAACAGAGCAATTAAAAAAAATTGTCCCGTGTGGAAATCGAACCCGCTACCTTAAGCGTAGCTTAAGCTTTCTCTATATATGAGTCTTGCGTTTGACTTTTTAAATTTTTTATATAGGTATTTATTATATATTATTACAATAATTTTCAAATTATTCATCTCATTGCTTGTTTGTACAAAATCGATTGTCATAGCAGAATTCAGTCAGAGACATATTAGTTTTAAATGTTTTACCTTGTATTTAGTATACGGTGGTGGTGGGAGAGCATCTCTAGTTGGCTTTATATCCAATGCGACAGGACGAGCAACCACGATCGCGTCTAACGACTTATCTTGAGATCTGCTATCTGTCGTCTAATTTGTAGATAAAATATATAATTTACTCGTTAAATGAAAGTATTTATACAAATAAAAGTTGAATTTACAATATTTTTAATCGAAACTAATAAGTTTATAAGTTTGCTTGCTAAAATAATAAAAAAATCAGTTCTTTTATATTTTATTTTATTATTCCTTTACACTCTTTTATAATCAATTTCTTTCTTTTATATTTTTTATAGTCTATTTCTCATCAAAATATCAAATCTTTCTGTCTATTTATAATATATATTTATACTCTATTTATCATTAAAAATATCAAATCTTTAAGTATATTTCAATATCTATAATCGCTACTCCGATACAATGTAATTCTATCAAATTAGGGATCACGTTAAATAGGTGCGGAACAAATGACCACTTGTCTAAATAACTTTAATAGAAGTTATGCCTACTACAATATTGAACTTACATTCTTTTCCGGTACAGGTGGCACTGGAGGCTTTTTCTTCACAACCCTCGGTGGAGATACCCCACCAGGAACCCGCTTGGCTTTAAGAGGGCTTGGTTCTAAAGTACCACATGTTATATGAGATCCTTGGAAAACATACCCAATGTGTCTAATGGGAATCCCAATAACCTATCTGTGGTTTTATGGTTAGAAAAACTCTAGTAAGAAAAACCACGGAAAGATAGATTATTGGGATCCACCGTAAGTCGTATGTCTACTACGCTTAAAATTGCGAGCTCAATTTGAATACGAGGTAAATATTTATTTCGACAAAAAACTTACTCGAATATGTGACATTTTAAATAAAACAATCAAAACTTCCATTTTAAATAAAACTAACTTTGTTAAATACCGAAAAGACTTTATTTCGAACAGAATTTATTTCGGCAGATCTAATTTTTCTGTATTATATAGCTCTAACATTTTTAACATGTAACGCCTATGATAATATATTTTATTTATATAAAACAATTTTTGACCGACTTCAAAAAGGAGTAATAAATATACTCTTTTAATGAATAGGTTCATAAGCTTCATATAAATTAAAAAAGACCCACTTCTACATGATGGATGTTTGTTACTCAATCACGCCAGAACGACTGAACGGATCTGGATAAAATTCGGCACGGAGATAGATTATAATCGGGAATAGCATATAGGTTACTTTTTATCCCAGAAAAATGTACGGTAAAAACAAAATATAGTATATATAGATTACATATAGATAGAGGGATAGATTTTTATGTTTTTCAAGAGGGACAACGCTATCTCCCAGAACCCGTAGGTGTGTATTTCTAAATTATCAAAGATTTGATACCTGGTTGAAATCTTTCACTTCCATTCGGGCTATTCGGTCTATCGACTGGACTCAGGCTACGAGCTAGGATCATGGCAGTTGTTGTTGTAATCTGCATTATAGGAAAAATATAATTACCAATAATAAATGCCTTTCGTAATTAATATATATTTCGTACTTAATGGTGATTCTACAATATATTGTATACGTATTTCTGAATAAATACTCGTAAAATTAGTTTTTTATAAAAAATATAAGTAAAAATGTAAATAAAAGGATTTTTTATTTATCTTTAACTTGTAAGCGATTGTTATTTTATAATAATAATATTTTGTAAAATACTTATTTCACAAATTTTTAAAGGTTATCTGTACGATGAATCTATTTTAGTAACACTTAGAAAAAGCAAATATCAGAAAGATTAAGTTAATAAAGAAGTTTTTACCAATAACTTAAATATTTACCTTTGATGCTCTCGGAATAGGTGATATTGGTCTGCTTTGTATTCCATTGGGCGTTAGCAGTCTGACTGTTGGTACTGATGCACTGGGATCTATATGATACATTACACATAACCATCGATCGAAGACGTACTAGATACACAATCCCATACAAAAGTTCTCCTAAAACTGTCACCAACTATGTTTAGGTAATTATTCTAGTTGAAATAAATATTCAACAAATGTAAATTGAACCTAAAATGCAATGCTTAAGGTTGTTTTCAAAAAAAATTAAATTAAAAGCACGCTCAAATGTTCAAATGAGCGCTCATTCAGTGAGGACATTTTTTGTCGCTGATTGTGTATCTAGTACTTTTTTGATCGTTGCACATAACACTTGAAAATTGGCTGTTATACAAAAGATTTCGACTTATGCCTTCAAAACATGCCATTTAAGCAAATATTTCTAAGCCCATGTCCCATAGAAGAAAGATGATTGGTTTGTTTTAAATATATAAATTTATGCAATAATTAAACTCCAAATTTTATGGGACGTCCATTAACTAAAAATAATATTTAGGTCAAACCATATTAAGATGGGATGAACTCACAGATCCAACTAAACGTATATTTAGTGTAGATCATGAACGGTTTTTATTAACCGAAATAAAAGTATGAAATAAAATAATTTTCATCATCAAAAAGTTTATATACGAGTAGCATCAAAATAAAAACGGTTTAGTACAATTTTAAACTACTTTTCAGAATTTATTGTGTTCCAATTCACTTTGCTAGTGTGTGATCACATTGTGTTCATCTTATTACTATGTTTTTAAAGAAAAACTCCCGATAAATCTATACATATAATAAAATTTTGTGTCGAAACTGTATATTAAACATTTTTTGGTAAATCTTATTGAAATAGACATTATTATCGATATAGAGGCCGAATTTATAGTTATTAGAATTTTTGTCTATCTGTCTGTATGGGAACGCATCACGAGAAAACTACTGGACAGATTTTGATGATGTGGTATCATAATAGCTGGTTATCCGGCCGAGTCAACAAATATACCTTACGAGGGTGAGTCGCAAATTTTTTATAAGATTCTTCATATAATTTTTAATTAAATTAAAATATCATTTTACTATTCTGGTAATAAAATTGTGAAAGAATCTAAAATTTAATAAAATTACAATTCTTTAAATTAAAATTGTGAAAGCTACGTTGAATATCTCCTAAGAACTTTCTTTCTCACAAGTTATAGAAGCGGAATCATTTTTTTTTTGAGCCAAGTTCCTAAAGTCTTTTCAACCTTTTTTTTACAAAGAAGGAAGTTCTCAATTCGGCTGTATTTTTGTTACCGCAAAACTCCGTCATTTAATAAACGATTTGGACATTTTTTTTTGAAAGTGTATACTTCCAGCCAGCCGATACAAATTAAATTACACCGACTTCGAAAATAGCTGATTGTATCTATAGGGGATGAAAACTACCATTCAGTTAATTTCTTACTTTTTAGTGTTTTTTTTTGAAGTCGGGTTTTTTGTTTTAAACAATATTGTGACAAAACATCAATGCAATAAAGTACTATACAAACCTCACGAAAACTTAAAAGCAATTCGCTCAAAGGCACGAGATAATTTTGATATAGGAAAAGATAAAAAATCTACTTAATATAAATTATGTTCGTTTCAAGCTCAACCTACCTGCTTCTCTAAAAGGAGACTTTGGCACGCTGATACCGGAGCAGTTCTGCTCATTAATCTCAGTTGATATATCCTTGATCAGTTCCAGGATCGATTGTCCTGGCGCTTGGGGCATGTCCACGGGGGTAGTAGCCCTTGAAACTATACAGGAAAAGCAGTGTTTTTGAATGTTTGTCTATTAAATTAATCTATTAATTATTAATATTAATTACTAATTGTAGTATATTATAATAATAAATTTAGTATTTTTTTAATCTTTTGCTTAATTATGCTAGCATTAAAAAAAATAAAGCTTAGGCTAGCTAGTTTTCCGTAGACATAAAAGTAATACAAACACGCACACGAAGCCGCAGACAGTAACTATTTTTATATTATACTGGTTTCGCTTACATGTATTGTAACTATTCAAACCGCTTGAGTTTTGATATTATACAAGTAAAAATATGGGTTAGCCATTTAAACGCACAGGCGAACTTGATCGGAAATAATCTATACATATAACAACATTCTAACCGAATCGAATCTCTACATTAGTTTTTGGAAAATCTTATTGAAATACTCATTATTATCGATACAGAGGCCGAAACTATAATTTTTAGAATTTTGTCTGTCTGTCTGGGAACGCATCACGAGAAAACCACTGTATAGATTATGATGAAATTTGGTATGATTATAGCTTTATATACATATATAGGTTATCCGGGTCAACATATAGGATACTTTCTCTGCGTCAAAATATCTCATCTCTGAGAAATCTACACTAAACGTTTTAACGTCACTATTTATTTTTATATATAGGAAAGTTTGTATATGTCTATATCATATATGTATATGTCTGTTACTCCTTCACTGATGACTTCAATAATTGGACAGATTTTGATAAAATTTAGTACACAGATAAACTATGAAATGGACTTTTTAGGATCTAAATCGCTAGTTAGATATAAATGTACCTACCAGGCATAGGTGCATGCAACGCCAGTTTCTTTGCCTGCTCAATAGCTCGTTGCAAATTTCGTTGGTTAGTAAACGACTGGCGCGTGCGACACCGACCGATTTGAGATCTACGTACAACATTACTGATCACTATATATTTAAATAGAATATTATTTAAAAAAAAAACAATGTTTTATGTGAAGGAAGTATTTTTTTATACATATCTTGCTTGCACACACGAACACACACACGAACGTGGGCGGACGCAAAGTCAAATATACATATATTTTTTACATGTCATTAAGTTAGAAATTTTAGATTAAACTTCTTTTAAACAAACTATTTCAAACATCAATACTTACGATATGCCAGTCGCAGCGAGGGTTTGATCCCATTTAGACCCTGAAGCTGCAGCCGCAGCCATCTTGGCAATCCTCCTAAACCTAGCGAGACTGTCCTCGTGCACTGGCTTCCCATCCTCCTCCACAGATACGGGTATCACTTGGAAATCCTTCATCAGACGACGTTCCCAAATCTTCATGCGTTTTGCTAGCACAGCTATATGAGAAACAGAAGGTTAGTATAAACAAAATAGAGTCTAGAGTCGGTTTACTTTCCAAATACATTATAATAAAAATACTTTTATACCTGATTGTCGCTAATTTCCCAAAAAATAACTGAATTTTACGATAATCTTGAAATGAATTAAAAATTTTTTTTGTAATTTCTTTTATATAGAAAAAGAAAACTAAAGCAGATAACTTACTCTTCTCCTTCCTATCAGTGAATGATACATCCATTCCGTTCTTCTCAAATACATCTAGAAGTTCGTATCTTAACGCTGAGACATCCCCTTTTAGTTCGTTGATGTCATCTTCTGTTACAGGGTCCTCGACCATTCGTCTGTGCATAGCTGATACATATCGCCACACGAGAGCTCGCATCACCGCAGTGTATCGGACATCATCGATTGCTTTTTGTTCCTATACAAAAAATAAAATTTGTTTGGAATAACATCTTTGTTCGCAAGTTTTGTTGCTTATATAAGTAAGATGTTAATTTCACAGATATTAAACGTAACCCCCTCTTTATTTGACTTTTACCTAGGCTTAGTCGTTAATATGTACGGTGGCAGATCGAGAGGCCCTAGATTCGCGTCCCAGATCGGGTCATGTATTGTTATTGGATTTTTCTGTTAAGTTGTCTCTGTCTGTCAGACTTTAAAAGCAAGTGAGAGTAACAGGAATATATGTATATCACAGAATATAGAATATAGTGTCCACGCCCGTACTTGTGGACGCATATCTCGTGCGACGTGCTAAAACCGGTTAGGTCAATATTAGAAGGACAAACATAACTTAAAATAAATCCTAGTAAATATATATTTATTAATGCCTTTATTGACCCATATATCATTTTGAAAATATAATGTTTAAACTATACAGACTATCCCATATTTTGTTTAAATAACTTATAATGCTTAATAATTTCAGTAAGACGTGATGATCGTATATCATACACGTCTAGACAAGTAACACGGTTTCATAACATTTTAATAACCATAGTTAAACTCCATCGGGAGTTTAAAATTTATTGTTTACTACTTTGACTTTATAATTAAAATTATTTTGTGATGCTGTGGTACATATACAAAAAAAAACTTCGATTTAATTAGTTCGAGTAGTAGATTAAAAAATTTATTGGCCCACTTAATTAATATTTTTAATGTTTTTTTTTTCATTCTGCACGTAACTCGACATACAAATTCAACATTTGTTACAATTTCTCGTTTAGACCTAAGAAAAAATAGACAATACCTTACCTAATAAATATATTATATGTACCTTCATCTTATTTGGTTCATTCTTCTTTCTTAAACCAAACAGTTTCATCACGATTTTCGGAGTAGGAAAGATATTAAATGGAGGAGGCAAAGTGGCACTCTCTTCAAAATAACTCATCCACAGACGAGTGCGAGCAAACTTCCACTCCACGTCTGAATGTTCCTACATATGAAAGTCAATGAACATTATCCTTCAATAAAAAAAAACTATTTTTTATAAATAGAAAATTAAGACAAATATTTTTTTAGTTAGCAAAAAACTTATTCAGGAGTAGGCCTCAAAAAAGTTAGCAATTTGCATGAAATAGTAGTAGCACTTGTCTAAGATTTAAAGTATTACGGCTATAATTTTATGTTACTATAAAAGCCGTTTTAGAAACGAAAATTTTAGCATTCATTAAAATATGTTTAATCTAAACATAAATTTTAATCTAAACATAAAGGACTGCCTATAAACAAGTATGACATGGCAATGACCTGATAAAAAAATAGTTATTAATCTATGCTAATTAGGTTAAATGAAGCCAACAAAAGTTCTATGAAGTATATGACAAAACCACAGCAGACTATTTGCAATGTATGTAAGGTTAAATTATTATTATTTGGGACCTACGTAAGAAAATTAGTACATTTAAAAAATATAAACTAGAAGTATTTCAACATTATGGAATAAATAGCATATCTTGATATTATAGGAAGCGAAAATCCTTAATGATTAGATTAACTTTGGTCACTAGTATTAAACTAGGGCCTAACATAGGCAAATCAAAAATTCAACGACACTCTCTATCCCTTTGCATCAAAAAAAGAAAAAACATATTACAATATATCGGAAAGGAGAAACTATCAACAAAATCTTCATATTTAGAAAATTAATATAGTCTAGATAAAACAATTCTCTGGGCCATATTTTATATCTATCTAATTCTTATCTAAAAATATAAGTAAAAATATTTAAAAACTAGGTTCACAACACTTACATCAATCATAGCATATGAATTGGACATCATAGCAATGAGGAGATTCAGTAGGACGATCACATTAATCACTGAGTACGATCCGAACATTAGGAGTCCCCAGAAGCGAGTGTAGCTTTTGATGCCAGCCAGCTCGAAATTTTCTAAACCAACCATGCCAAAAGACGCCCAGAAGAGAGACTGAGATGCTTCAAATACGCTGGTGATATAAAAATAACAACATAATTAATAATATTATCTTATATTTAGATATGAACTAGTTACTTATTGACTTCTTACCTTTGTTATATTATTTTCATACATTAAAAGTTTGCTCTAAATTAGTCTAGCCCTACAAATCTATGATTAATCCAATATACCTACATATTTTAAAATTAAAAAACAATTATTTAACTTAATAGTATGACTAATAATAAAAATCGAATTTAAATAATGTTTTTAATTTAAATAAAAAGGGGAAATTGCTCTATCATGTTAAAATATCATATAAAAAAACCAATTTATCGATATACGAAAATGAGTAAGATGTTAGTTTAAATAACTACTGGTGCGATGTAGTCCAAAAAAGCAAGAATGCTAATAAGCATGGAAGTCCATAGTAGTTCTTAACGTCATACAGTCAACTTCGTCTATTTTCAAAGTATTCATTTTGACGTTTATATCCTCTTCTAATTGAATTTGAGTTTGAAGGAGATAACGTAAAGATGCTGACGCCTCGTGAAGCATCTGTTGTAATTGTTCAGTACTGTGACGTAGCATTTCACATTCGTAGTACAAAGCCTGTCCTGGCGGGTCTTTGACCAGTTCTGCTCCAGTTCTTTGAGCTCGTCTTCCAAGCCTAGTATGAGCTAATGCTACATTCCCTTCTTTGGCTGACAATGCCTTTTGCAAATCTAAAATATTATTTTGCATCTCAACAATTTTCTGAGTAGTTTCTCTATGCATATCCTCAAGTTTAGCTTTAGTCCGTTTTGTATCCTCAATACGTTCTTTGAATTCATGGTTACATTTATTATAAGCTCCCCAAAGATCATCTATGACTTGTTTCAGTAAAGTATCGATGAATACTTTAATAGGACGAGAGCTAGTTACTTCTCTTGCTGCTTGTTGAATATTTTTAGCCGAATAAGCATTGTACTCTTCAGCAGATATATTAGCAGGATCAAGACTTGTATAACCTTCATAAACTGATAAGCATAAGTCAGTTGGTTTTAGAGAAAGTGAGCCTTTATCTATATCTATAGCCGCCTGCTTGTATTGTAAATCTCGATCGAGAAGATAACGAGTTGATCTAAGACGACGCATTTGTTCATTTAGTTGTTCCAAAGCACGTTTAAGAAGACTTTGTCCTCCAAGAATAGTAGTTATTTCTTGTTGAAGAGCATTTTCTACTTCATCTACTACTAAATCAATTCCGATTCGACCATCTCTCAGCATGAGGCACTTACGACAAATAGTCAATGCGTTTGTTTGGAGTGAAGCAAGACAGTCTTGTAATCGAGTCTTATATACACTCAACGCCTCAAGTTCAAGGCAGATTTCTTTCCTTTGCAATTGTAATTCTTTTTTATTAAACTCAATATCTCCGATTCTCTCTTCAATTCGTCTATCTGATGTCGCTTTCATGATACAAGCTCTTTCAGCCGTTTCTTCGCGAACTCGTTGGCACTCCCCCAAAATTCTATCAGCAAGTTGTTGCTGATCTTCGGTATTTCGGCAGCGCTGGTCATTGTTTAGCTTCCATTCAGATAAGGTAAACTTGGCAGCTCTCGGAGGCATGCATACTAAAGCCTGTTCGGAAAACCTCGTGGTAGCCACCGGGGCCCCAATTACATGTCGAACCCCAAACTGTGTATCTGCCATGTTATATAATAATAATTTTAACAATAATTTATTTCACACAAGAAAAAACATTCAAAACTAAATCTGTCGACACTGGATTGAATAAAGGAAAATGTCAAAATGTTTGTTGCTTAGAAACTGATTATACATTTCGATCAAACATACGTTATATGGTTTCTAATCAGTCTTTGAAACCAAGAAAAGTACTATATTCTTATTTTAACATTCTCTACGATCAGAATATTTTCATAATATGTTAAACTACAATTTTTACTACGTAGGTAGCATGATTTTATTCGAAATGTTATTAAATAAATAAAAACTATAAACTTAATATAATAAAGTACCTATATAAATAAGTATATACATATAATAAAATTATAAGGAAGCCGAATCTGTACATTAGTTATTTTTCAGAAAATCTTATCGAAATAAGCATTATTATCGATACAGAGGCCGAATCTATAGTTTTTAGAATTTATGTCTGTCTGTCTGTCTGTCACCGCATCACAGAAAAACAACTGGAGGGATTTTGATGAAATTTGGTATGGCGATAGTTGGTTATCCGGGTCAACATAAAGGATACTTTTTCCGCGGGAAGATTCTCATTTCGGAAAAAAAATACAAAAACTGCAATGTAAGAGTATATTAAAATGTAAAACCTAAGAATGTGGTTTTCGGTGACCTGAACGCGGGCGGAGCCGCGGGCTATGCTAGTATATGATATTATTAACGCAATAAAATAGCGATTTACTAGGTATATTTATTCCAAAAACAATTTTAAATATGTCTAGCTTTCCGTACACATTTTAAAATTCCATTGCTCTAAGTACAGTTACAAAGACTATATAAAGCAAAAGCAAAATTTCTTCATTCAATGAGCAAATTAATCTCAAAAAATCAGTCAAATATGTTTTCATTTAGTTAGAATATATAATAATTAGATTAAGATGTCAATTTATATTGCAATATCTTTAGAAGTTATACAAAAGATACCATTTACGGTCTCCACTTCCAGCTCATTGGAATGTATATATTATATTTTCTAGCGATATTTAGCTTACTTTTCTTTTATAAACCTCTAACTCACTTTCCAAAGCTACGCCATTTTGTGCAAGAGTCGCCCGCGTTTTTCCAATCGGGAAGGCCGCCGGGTAACACATAGCACTTACGCTTTTCCAAATCAGCAAAGTACCAAAGTAATTGGTTCAGACCTATTCATATTTAAACAATGTAAAAACCTATGCTAGATTGGAAGAAAAAGCTTAAAGGATGTCAAAGGATATCAAAAGAGTAATGGGTATTTCTCCTTACATAACTAATTTAAAAAAGTAAGTTTTGGTTAGTGTTAAAACTAATATTTGAATACTCACCACAAGCAAAAGCGAATAACACCAAGCTGTAAATGAAGAAGAACTTGACGATGTCGATAACCATACGCCCGAGAGAGATCTGCAGCGGACCCAAGTGAGGGTTGATGGAGAACAGGTGAACAAGTTTAAGGGCACTGAAAGAAAATATAAATCTATTACTAATGTTGCTATCGCGTCCACTCGTGTGATAGATTTATATTTATATACAAGTCAAGTTTTGATTAAGAATGTAAGTTAACATTTAATGGCGATACCCATTCTCTAAAATCTGTTGAGCCGTTAAATCGTAAAGTAGTAACAAAAACACTCATTATCATGCATTTACAATGTTTTTTGCGGTCTTGCTATGTGAATCAACCATGGGAACCGTACAGATTGTCAGTGGACAAGGCACTATACGACTTCTGTTCACTATAACCACAGACTAACCCTACGTCGTGATAATGGGACACAACAGCCCCAATAGGTAACACCCTAACTTAGCAACTTTTGTAAGTAATGCCACTAGTATTTTTCCTTGTATAAGAAAACTCTAGCTAAATACTTACCTAAATATATTAGCAGCCGCGAATAATCCTTCAGCTATTAACTGAGGGTCGAAGGTGTCCCAATTTTCTCGTGGAATAAATCTGGTCGCAGGATCTCTCCGGATTTCAGCTGTTTGTTGTAAATAAGCAGCAAATCGCAAAAAAGCGACAGCTACGTATAGAGAATTTCGGAGGAAGTCGATGAAGTTCCACATGTTACGTAGATAACAGCGTATGCCTTGGACGTAAATCTCTTGAGTTTCTTGCCAGATGAAGCCTAAATTTGAAAGATTCTTTTTGCATTTTTAAATTTATTCAATATTACAGATATGGAAAGTATTGTTTATTTCAATATTTAATTGAACCTGTAATTTTTATCCACTATTTATTAATAATTCTGCTTAAGAAATAGCGTGGTTATATGTTTATGAATATTATGTACTTTAATAAAGTAAAAGGGGTATTTCATCCAGTTTTTACATCACACCTACACACACATCATGCACCCGTGACTTCACCATTTCACGTGACATATATTAGTCGTTTTGTATCTTAATCATAATATTAGAAGTTACATCCTAATATATCCAACCATTTCGACCAAAAAAATATTTAAAAAACTTAAATTAGTTGTTGGGTTTTCAAACATTTTTTCTTAATTGAATCTATTTATTAATTACATATATAATAAATACTTTACGAATATTTACCCAAAACATAGACAACGATCAACAGTTCTAAATAAGTAGGTCCATTGCCTCGCTGTTTTAGCATCTCTTTCTCCAAGTCCTTGATCATCCAGTCAGGTCCGAATAGCTGGACTACTTGTACTTCCGCTCTTTGTGATACCAGTATCAAAATTACTAAAAATATTATAATTGCTAATTTCTTTAATTTTAACATTCTTATCTACACCTATTAAATTATAAAATACTTTCCTAATACTTTTCGTTAAACTATAGTAGCTAACTTGCGAATATGTGCTGCAATATTATTTTACACAATTAAGGCTACTTGCAGTAAATTCTGAAGTGTCTGGGCGACCGAGCTTCGCTTGGCATTTTTTTCTAAAATCGTGTTTTTTTCAGAAAAGTTCCTTTTTCCAGAAAAGACAACAATATAGAAAAACTTAAAAAGCCAAACCTTATCTAAATACAAAATTTGATCCAAATAGTTATAGCCGTTTCCGAGATACACGAAATTTTATATATATCATTGATAGGTACGAGTTTTTATATCGATGCTGCAAATATATTATATATGTATTTTTGTTACAGTATCTAAATCTTTTCCGGTTCAGTCACGGGATCTCTGCCGTGACTGTGTCTGTGACGTGACCATGTTTGCTAAAACGTACATCTTAGAAATTATATATCAAAAATAGTTAGTCCTGATTAATCGCTCGTTTATATCGTCCTGACTTTCAAAACTCTTACTTAGACTTGAGCCCGTTAACCAAATACAAGTTTAAATATGTCAAACTAGTGATCTAAATTGAGTAATCTAATAGACATAAAATTTATTAACACCTCCAAGTAAATTTCTTATATATTAATTAAATTTCTAAGAAATCTATTGTTAACTGTAACGCCGGCGTGCGATAAATATTGTTATGCAATTATAATTCTGTTGGAATTTTGATATAAAATGTTTCATATACAAGTGTAATATGTCTTTTATAATTTACATTTAACCAAACCGTGAACCGATGATAAGTCATCAGGAAAATCAGATGATCATAAAAAAATTTTCGGCGTTGTTCTTTTGACCGAAAACATGTTTAGTTAAATAAAACTATTAATTATAAACATGAATAGCAATGGTATGTACTATCATCGCAGAGTTTGAACAGTTTTAGTGAACTATGTAGATAGAATTTTTTATGATTTTTCACAAAATATCTGGCTGGCTGATATTTTTTTTAGTGTCTGAAAAGTCTCACAAACCTATTTGAAGGATGTGATAAGGGGTAAAGTTTCTCTATTATCGAAGAAACTTTTGGTATGCGGGCTCAAAAACTGCTTGAAGTATTGGGCATGCCAGTTTTTTTTAAATAATCGCTATATATTCATCAATCGTAACTGTAAATTTAATAATTTTCTTCTATAATTGTAACCACTCTTTAATCACTAAAAACAAATTATATCTCCGACTAAAGTAAAAATAAATAATACGTAATGAAATATAAATAAAACTTTAGTAATACTTACGCAAAAAGAACAAGTAGCTAGCTGCGTGTATCAAGAACTTCATGAAAGGTTTCCTCATCAGCTTCCCGGTAGAACAGTTTGGGGCTACCATGTACATGATACAATAAAATGGGAAAAGCAAAGCTACTCTTAGTATAATCAGTATTTTCTTTAGAGCATTCTTTCTACGAAACCCAGGAACACCTTCGTACCATATTGTTGCTAATAATTGCTGAATATTTGGATGAGCGACAAACTGTTGGGTTAAAGAATAAACATAGTAAGTAAATAATAGAATTATTGTTTATTATGTACATATAATATTTAAATGCAAACTATTCTTATGTGTGTGACACACGATGCTGTGAATGTGTTTGTACCCCTTCGCCTTCACGTTGAAAAGGTTGGAAGCGCTGGTAATAAATAAATATAGATCTTCTAATAGAACATATTATGTCTTTCTAGAACTGACCTCACTAAAAAAAGTTTTTCAATTAATTTAAAATAACTAAGACAAGTTATAACTAATTTAGAACAACAATTTATATTGTTCGTATTAGCAATCTACACTTTCAGAGTCCAAGCCCATGAGTTCCATCGACATGGAAGACATACGTGTCATTGCCCAGTAATACCCTAAAAATCGTACCTTTTTCTGTTTAAGGTCGATAGCCATTTCTAACCTGGCCAACTGCATATGCTCTCCTTCTTCAAATGGTGGTTCTTCAGGGTCATGATTTAGAATGATAGCCAATTCTTGTGAACTCCTAGATTGATCTAACAAATCTACGGCAAACTTTTGTGCTTGACGACGGAGTTCTAGATATTCTTGTTTACTTTCCTACAAAAAATATAGTTACGTTACCAATTTCCACCAATTTTAGTCTGAATAGGTACTACTGAGGAGTTGAGTGACAAGTTAGAAAAAGGTATAAAATAAGATTAAATTAATTTGGCAAATTCAAAATAAAGAAAAAAATATCACACAATTTCGCAGAAAATAACTGAAATACCAAAAAATCGTTTTATATATAATTTTATCATAAAATAAAACTATTAATTAAACTCGGAACACGAACTCTGATTTTTTTTATTAAAACCATTAGTTTGATCAACGTCAATAACTAAAAAAAAACAATACCTGTTCAGCAAATGCCAAGGTTCTTAATTCCCATGATAGCTGAAAAGCAGTTAGTATAGGGTCTGTCGCTGATAAAGCAATTAGGGATGGTGAGGCCAGAGCTTTGTACGCGTTGAGTCGAGCTCTTGAGTGCCGAAGAGAATCCTCTGATGACTCTCTGATACACTCGTCGCAGCCGCATCTTCAAATAAAGATTATAACTTTACCCAATGATGTAATAATAAAGTCTTACCTTTTACTGCTTAAGATCAATAGGTAGTTCTAATCTGGCCAACTTCATATGCTCTGATTTCTCAAATGTAGGCACTTCAGTGTCATGATTAGAATGTTAGCCACGTTTGCCATTTTAGCCATATCTTTATTGCGATGATTGCATTTACGTCATAAAAAAAACATTCCCAAGACTATTTATTTATCAGTAACAATTCTAATTACTGTATGGATATTTCTATATACTTTTATAAATATTATACATAAGCTAAATAGAGAGATTGTCGATCAAAGAACCGCTTTCCAATAACAAATAAACAAAGTTTAGGTTAGTTATTGTTAATAATGTTAATCTTTGATCAAGAGTCAGTTTTTGTTCATACTGCAAATACTCAACGTATTCAAGTGAAATTCAGAATGAAGAGTATACCCTGCTTATAATCTAAACTTTTGTAGGTTATTTATCTATGAACCTACCAAGTGAGCAAATCCTCTGGTAGAATCTGGTTTGAAATAAATGATTGCTTAATATTATAACGTAACAGTTATTTATTTCAAAATAATACATTAAAATTTTCTTTTATTTATATATTTTACCTTATATCATGAGGATCTGGTAATGTAGCTCCTCGATCAAGCAGAATTTTTATTATTTCATAGTTATTTTTATGCGCTGCCAACATTAGAGGCGTAATGTCTGGAGTAAACGTCGCTGTGTTTGGATCAACTTTTTGCCAACTCTTTAAAGAGAATAAAATATGACGAAGAAATTTGTTAAATAAATAAACATAAATACATATTTGACTAACAAAATACTTTAAAAATTTCAATATTACATATTCCCTCATGAGCATTTTTACCCCAAATCAGAACGATCTCCCGACCTGTTATATTTCAAGATACAGACAAACACTTATAAATATAATTCACTTTTTTTTGTAATCTAACATTGAATACAAAATATTTACTAAATTACATTATCTACCAAATAACGTTTCATTTATTTCCAAAACACTTTTAAAATGAATACTCATATTGATCGTATTAAAGTAATAGGCGTAGCTTAGTGGTAACGCGCTCGCTTGAGAAACCAAGTGAAGCCGGTTTAAATCCCGGATCTAGTCTGATATTTTTACGTGCGAATCTTTCCAACATGATTACCACTTGTCTAACTGTATGTTTGAAAGAATCTAGTAAATTTTCGAAAGACATCTGCAGTCCGACAACCAGCAGTTGACTAAGAAATAGTAGTATATATACAAGTTTAAATACCAAAATAACTTACGTAAGGTTGTGGATGCTTATAAATCAGTTCTTCGTGCTCTAACAGAAGGTCTACAGCCTCTACGAATTCAGCATTAATGGCTTGCAATAGTGCGTCATTAGTCGCTACCCCCATCACTACTAAAAGTTCCACCATTTCAAGATTCTCTCCTTCAATGGCCATGGTCAAAGCGCTTCGGCCGAGGGCATCCACACAGTTGATATCTATATGCTTTTTCCTATGAGCCAGTTGAAGTATCCTAAAATATTAAATTACAAATTTCATATCCATTTTATTATATTTCTCGCATTTACGTACTACTTTTAGGTTAGGTCGTGAGATCATGAGCAAATTAAATTTATTATAAGAAATTTTGTTTTTATCGAGACTATCATAGAATATATTATCAAGATTTTATACATCTGATTTTTTTAATGATTGATTTGAAATTTTAATCGTAGTACAATATTTTCACTGTAAATATTAATATTGTTAAGCATTTTAAAAATTAAAAATTTATAAGCCCCCCACGCAAATTATTTGTCATTTAACGATTACACTGGCACGCGTGAAGCACTTAATTGAGTAATCATACGCCAAAATGCCTTACATCATTTTGGAAAAGAGCTGATACTCTTACACTGCTGGACCGATATTAACCAAACATAGCTAATACCACCGCGAGGAAACTGGCCTTCAAATGAAAAAAAACCTGCATCGAAATCGGTCCATCTGTTTGAGAGCTACGATGCCGCAGACAGACATACACACACAGAGAGACAGACAGACTGACATCGGCGTCAAACTTATAACACCCCTCTTTTTGCGTCGCTGGCTAAAAAAAATAAGGTGTAATGACATCGTTTCAAGTACTTGGTATTGATTTTAAGTCTTAGATTTGATTTTGACAAATACCGATTATTGATTTTAAGTCTTAGATTTGATTTTGACAAATACCGATTATACATATATTTTGTTCAATGCTAAAATTACTAAACGGCATCGCTATATTTTATTTTACCAGAGATATTTGACATATATAATACTATGAAGCTACTTCCAAACTATGTGTGGTTCGTTTCATCAATTATTGTACGGTTATTGATTTTGACAGTTAAAACTATATATAACAGTAAACCTAGATATAACTAGAATACTATTTATTTAGTATCTCTCAGTGTAATGAAACAAGCACGAAACTGTTAATTAATAGATATTGAATGTTGTGTGGTCACTATAACACAGGCAATGACCGGAATCCGATTAGATCATTTGATTAATTATATTATCAATATATTTACTCCACACAGAAATTTACATATAATGACCTGCTTTACGCGAACTGTGTTGAATCTGGTCAAATAGATCGGTTACTGTAAAACTATATATTACCATTATTTAACTTTAAACTATTTCTTATATAACTACATAATTCACGATATACTCGGTCTAGACATCATGTTTTTCAGAAAAGTCCAGATACACATGGCTTATGAAAATTTCGGGCATAATAAATAGGCAATAAGGCAGTGGTAGCTCAGTGGTAACGCGCTCGCTTGGGAAACCGAGTGAAGCGGGTTCAAATTTCCGGTCTCGCACCTCTGATATTTTCATGTGCGAATCGTTTCAACATGATTATCATTATTTGTCTTACGGTGAAGGAAAACATCGTGAGGATACCTGCATGTCTGAGAGAACCTAGCAAGTTTTCAAAAGACATGTGCCATATTTAATAGTATAGACAAAATAATTTAAATAAATTATAATTAATTTTAAACAATAATTAAAAATAAATAAAACACATACCGCTTAACATTAGCCATGTCACCTCTTTCGACGGCTAAAAGATATTTCTTTTCTTCCAGCGTCAAAGCCTTTGGTAGTATCGGCAGACTGATCGACTGTCGCTGCATTATGCCGGGGTCTCCCTATATATAAATATAATTAAAAAAATATTTTAAATGATTCACGAACTCTTATAGGATTTAAATAAAAAGCCTAAGATACCCCTAACAGTGAAACAACAGCATATAAAAAAAAATAAAAAACACGAATCTGTTACTCTAGAATATGTATTATGTTCATATTTTCCTAGAAGTTATATATTTAATTATATATTACCATCATGAAGTATTGTTACATAATAGGGAATATGCGTGTGATTTATATAAAGATGAAATATATTTTTTTATAATCATCATTGCTTTTGAATTAAACCTAAATTAATATTTTTAATGTAATTAAAAAGTGCAAATATAGCTGGGAAATTCAATGTAGCTGAAACACACGCCATTGGTCAGACCGAATATGACGTCAAAATATCGACGACACGTTTGGCTCAGTGTGTAGTGACCCTACTTGCTGTGCCAGCGGTCGCGGGTTCGAGTCCCGCCGGGGGCATTCATTGTGTGATGACCACGAATGTTTGTACTCCAGTCATGGGTGTTTATATTTATAATATGTATGTATTTAAAGTTTATATATGTATAGTGTATCAACTATCTGGTATCCATAACACAAGCCTCGTAGCTTACCATGGAACTAGATAGTGCTGTGTATTAATGTCCCAACATATTTATTTATAACAAAGCGATTAGCGATTTTGTCGCTACATACTAAAGTCGTCATTTTTCTATGTATTATACCCTGACGTCACGCCAATTGTAGGAGTTTAAAATATCCGTATCGGTATGATATATATATATATTTTTTAATTATACAAAATTTTTGTTTATTGAAGCTGATATTTATTGTATAAAAAATAAAAAAGATTACGCATATTCCCTATTATCTCAGAAGCTCTAATACGATAATTGAGACTAGAATAAATCTATACATATAATAAAATTGTAACTAAGTCGAATCTGTACATTAAATATTTTTTAGAAAATCTAATTGAAATAGACATTATTATCGATACAGAGTCCGAACCTATAGTTTTTAGAGTTTTTGTCTATCTGTCTGTCTGTTACCGCATCGCGGAAAAACCACTGGAGGGATTTTGATGAAATTTGGTATGATGGTAGCTGGTGGTGGTTATCCGGGTCAACATATAAGATACTTTTTACCGCGGGAAAATATCTCATTTTTGACAAAAAATATAAAACTGCAATTTAAGAGTTATACTATTATGTAAAACCTAAGAATTTGGTCTTTGGTCATCTGAACGCGGGCGAAGCCGCGGGCAATGGTAGTTAAGAAATAAATCCAACCCTTCTTGAAGCCTAGTAGTAGTTATGAATCCCTCACCCTCGTGTTCAATGACCGTGAAGTCACGTGAAGTTGTGTAAAGTCACAAGAGGTTGCACGCGCGATTTAAGCCCGTTGAACATAATGATTATTTGAATGGCAAACTTTATTCTTTTGTCTGTGTTATTCGCATACCAAGGTTTCATTAGAAAAATAATTTTTAATCAAATTAGTATTTTTTTCTTTATCATAACTTTGGTTAAATAAATTGGAGATTTATTGAATATATGGACTGTATTTTATTTAGACGCTTGTGAGATTTTTGACAGGTTTGTTGATGTTGGTGTCACAATACGGGGAACTCATAAAAGTGATATACTCATACAGTGGTTCAAACTTCTATAAACTTGTTAGACCTTTGTCTACCGACATAACCGCATAGCGTTTTTATTAGTACCTAGTTAGTAAATTAAACCAAAACAAACTTGAATTTTGATTTTTATTGACTTTCTCACCCTCGCTTCGCTTGGGTTCCCCTCTAGAAAAACATAAACATATCCCATAAATAAACATAATATCATATCCCACGGGGACCGTACATTTTTCCGGGATAAAAAGTAGCCTATGTGCTATTCTAGACTATAATCTATATCTGTGCCAAATTTCGTTCAGTCGTCGTCCAGATTGGATCAGCCGTTCTAGCGGGATTGAGTAACAAACATCCAAACATCTAAACTTTCATATTTTTAATATTAGAAAGATTAATAATTTAATTACAAACAGTACTTACGATTTCTAAGTCCTTTTTGTCATCCATTTTGATATTTATTGCTGTAGATTAAAGATGGAGTTGTGCGTCCCCGCAGGCGAAATCTGAGATGAACAAAAATATTATATTTATAAATAAACTAACGATTTACATATTATACATTATCGTCATTTTTGACCAGAAATATAATTTTACCTTTGAAATAGCTGACTTTCAAACAAACTTGCATCCAAACCCTTTTGAGACATTTTGTGATTAATAAGTAAGATAAGCGTAAACGAATATATATATATAGATTTTAATTTTATACAACCTGACTGACCTATTTTCGTCTCTTGCGTGCAATTTTTAACTTATCCTTGACTTTCCATTTGGACATGAATTTTTATGAATTATTTTGATCAAATATTTCATAGAGCAATATAAAAATATATTATAAAAATAAAAATCCGACTGCATAAAAGCTAACTAAAAAGATGAAAACAAGTTGACGAAGGAATATAGTATTATGCAGTTGGAGACATACAGTATACACGTTTCATCCTTGCCGCGAGATGTACCTACATAATATGTTAATATGCTTAATTTCCTATAGACAACCAAATAAAATCTAAAATAATTATTTATTTATTTTTTATTTATTATTATAAATATAAAATAACAAAAAATAAGTACTTATTGCACTCAATATATAGGTAGGTATACATATTTATATTGTCAGCTATATATTTTAATTGAATCAAAATTTATGACTTCCGAAAATATTCAGCAACATTCATAGATTTATGGACTCTGGCGAAAAAACATTCCACGTAACTCTAAACTAACTAAGATTCCTCATTGTTATCTCTTTATTCGGTACATATTTGTACCTATTATTTATACTATCCATTTTTTTTAAATAGTAGGAAATAAATTGCATATCGTTATAATCCTTTTTTTAATTGATGAAATCAAACGAGAAAATGTCGAGGTTTACAATTTATCAAATTTAGTTAAAAATCTGTTAAAATTATTGCAATATGCAGATCAACCAACCAAACAATTAACATTAGACGGGATGGGAATGCTGCTACAAGTATTGATACCATATAATAATTGCTTTAGTTTTACCAAAAAAATATAAGTTGACTGTTTCTAGTCCTGCAGACCCTCGTGATCTTTAGATCCTATTCTTAGAATTGATTTGATATGATCATAGCTGTGATTGTTGCCGGGGTGTTGTATTTAATCCAAAATAAATTCAATATATTTTTTCTCTACACATTTCATGTTTAATTTTGTTTGGCTAATGGCTAATATCATTTAAAGAAACATACATAAATAGAACAAACGGAAGCCACATTTAAATAATAATATTCGGTTTATTCCGATCATAGACGTCATAATTGGATTGACAATAAACATCCGAAATGCCTACTCGGCTTCGATCAACAATACTACTGTTGATCGAAGCTACTCGGATATTATCGTACTTCAACTTAGCATTTAATGTGTCCTATTTTGTATTGATAAATGTTACTGAAAATTGAATATTTATAAAATACTATACGACTTCGTCCCTAGGTACGTTTTAAATTAAAATGGATATACCTAGTATGTTATCCTTAAGAGATAGACCATTAACGAATTAGCCACTAATTCGTTCATAGACATATGCCATCGCGGACTTTTCTATAGACATATAATATAAGATATACAATTCCACAATACATTATTTTGTTATATCTCAAAGGGACAGCGTTTTCGTTGAAAGCTCCCAGACGGCTTATTTTTTTTTCGACACCTCCAAGAAATATAGTTATATTTTAGCCAATGTATACAAAAACTTAACAAATTATATACTAAAACCTTCCTCGAGAACCACTATATCCATTGGTGAAAAGAGCATGAAAATTGGTGCAGTAGTTTTTGAGTTTATCGTGAACAGATAGACGCGGCGGAGGACTTTGTTTTATAATATGTAGTGACTAGTCTAGGCTCGCGGCTTCATTCGCGTGTTAAGCAAGGCGGGAATAAATAATAACCTGTGTTTATTTTCATGATACAACACTCACAATCAATCTATGTCATTTTCCAATTTCATCGAAATCTGTTTAGTAGTTTAACCGTGAAAAGGTAAACAGGAAGACAGACAGTTTATATAGACAATTTCTTTCATATACACATAATTTCTTTCATAACAAAATTACAAAAAGATGTTCTTAGAATTGTTTACATTCAAAATATATTGTAACATAAATAAATATCTGATATCAACTGTTTTATGTTCCGGAAAACGTAGCCAACTCTTCGAATCGGACACAAAAAAATTACGTCAACTTTTTCTAGTAGAAAGAGTAACTAAAAACAACGAACCTATAATAAAATTGTAACTAAGCCGAATCTGTAGGTACATTAGATATTTTTTGGAAAATCTTGTTAAAATAAAAATTATTATCGATACAGAGGCCGAATCTATAGTTTTTAGATTTTTTGTGTCTGTCTGTGTATCTGTCTGTCTGTCTGTATGTCTGTCTGTCTGTTACCGCATCACAGAAAAACCACGGGAGGCTATCCGGGTCAGCATGTATACTTTTTACTGCGGGAAAATATTTCATTTTTGAGAAAAAATACAAAAACTGCAATGTAAGAGTATACTAATATGTAAAACCTAAGAATTTGGTTTTTGGTCATCTGAACGCGGGTGGAGCCGCGGGTAATGCTAATATTAATTTATTGAATGTGTAGGTAAGCACCTCTGTAGACAGAGACACAAAATGTTCTTGATTTAGAAATCAAGAAAATTTTGAGTACATATTGTAATGTTCCTTTTTATCTTTACTTTCAGAGCAATTTCATATCTTTACGGTTTTACAGTAAAACTTCTATAGGCAGGTTTGCTCATGTAAGGCGTCATCGACATGGTCACGTGACGTGTTAACGGTAACACTCAGATTGCCGATAGATGGCAAAAAGCAGATAAATGTAAACAGTTTTAATTTACAAATTTGATTATCCAAAAATAACAGCTGTTTGTTTATAGTTTTAAGTATTCACTTTTCTCGGCAGTCCTCATGATTGCTTTTTTTCACACAAATACGTTTTTTAATTCGCTTGGCTGATTTATTTCGAAATGTTTCATAATTTATTCACTTGATGCGGTTTACCGAGGTTCGAACTTTCGTTATTCCATAATAATAAGATGAACCATGCTAAAAATATCATTCAATTGTTTTTATAATCAAAATGAGACGTAGTAAGCTTTGTCTAAAGCTCAGACCTATCAAATAGGCACTAAATTCGAACTCATACTAAAAATTCTAAATCTATGGTATAAGCAAGTATAAACTAATATTAAAATAAAAGTACCTGGGTGACCGAGCTTTGCTACACGGATACCTGTGAATATAATCAATCTTGCGCCTTGGCCGTTTGACCACAATGCTTATGCCAGAGGATGCGAAATTAGTTATTACTTCCGTAAACCATCTCAAAATTTACAACTACGAAGGACCTCAGTTTTAAAAGCTTGTTAATTTTTGATCTAATTCGTTTTGGAAATGCTATTTCAGCGCCTATTCATTGGACCCGTCGTTAGGTATATTAAATTTTTTTTATATTATACCTACTCTCGTTAAGCAAAATTTAAATTGAATTTATTGTTGAATCTGTATGTTATATATAGCTTTAACCTTTTGATTTATTATTTTCATGTATTTCATAATTTTATTTCATTACGTATATTAAATTAGAATCGCATAATTTAAAAAAAATGCAAAATTTACAATACAAAATAAACGTTTTTTTTTTTAATTATACTAAATTGAATAACCTAGCCTATAACATTAGTAGTAACTACTAGATACTGCCTATTAGATCTAAAAATATTAAAGTATTAATACTTAACAAAATATATACGAATCTATTTTAATATTAATATGAATTATTTTAGTATGAATATCTGATAATGAAAAGGGTTCACTTTAAATGCTAATTCGTGTCTGTCATAGCCTATTTTCTCTGAATTTTCTGGACGAGCTTATTCGAAATTATAGAAACAAATTCCGATTTTGAAGATCAATTTTAGATGGCAGATTAACAAGAATGTATTTCAAAAAGTTTGCTTTAAAACTGTCAAAAAAATAAACAATAGAAATGATTAGATACTTATATGACAATCGTACTCACTCAACGCTGTGGCTGACGCGACAGACTCCTGCCTTTACACACCACCCCTCACATATATACTCTTACTAATCGTATTAGGAGCATTCAACGTACAATAAACGTGATGCTGGAAATTCACGTGTTGATTTTGAGCTATTTTAGGATCACGTATTCGATCTCCCGCCGGGGTTATGTTAGTTATTATGCTATTTCTATAATTGCAATAGACCAAATTTGACTAAACGTCGTATAAAATGAAAATTTAAGGTTATACTAGTCGTTGAATAGTTAGAAAGTACAAACTTAATGTAGTGATTTCTGATGTAAAACCAGATAAGTTATTGAGTTTCATAATAAAAATACTTATACTAAACTTGTGCCGTAACAAGAGAACATACCTACAAAAATGTTGTCGACTTTTCTAAGTAAAAACAACACGGTAAACCTTAAAGAAGTGAAAGCATCCATAAAATTGAAAACTTTCCTTTTAACATATTATATAAAAAATCACGGGAAGTGTATAATATATAAAGATTTTAAGTTTATAACGCTTTCATATTAAAAAAAACACACTTGAGTATAAAACATACCTCATCTTCCTTTTCATATTTTTGAAGTCGTTTAAAAATAGGTTCTCTCAAGTAACGTAACCGAAATTGGCATTATATTTTATACTAAATATAATCAAATGTACTTCAGTAAAATTTTAATCGGTTTTAATAAAAATCGGTCAATCCGTTTCGGAATAGTGCGACCATAAACACCGTGACACGAGATATTTCTATATAGGTATTAGGTACATACCTATATTATAGATTTACGATTCTGAAGATATGCATAAGAATAGGAATGAATTTAATCATTAGATTTGAAATAGCACTTCAAAAGTAATAAAATGGTTTATTAAAGTAGTTCTAAACTGTATATTGATTAAATTTCTTTATAGTTGTTACTACCTAGTTAGCAACCTGCCCTCATTTCTCCGAAGCCCAATCTACTCATCTCTTCTTCAACATTTTTTTATATAGATATGTATTTCTACCCAACCACTAACCACTGTTATTTTAAAATAATTTGTTTATAATAGGTCATGACTAAACTAATAAATAATAATATAAAATCGTATAAAATATTATTTATTCTATTTATATTATATACTCTTAAAAACATTTTTTTCTATTTCCTAAGGACATGGGTAAAATAAAAACAATGTAAAAATGTAAAACTTTATTCCAACATCTTTTATATAAGGACACACCAGACTACTCCACTAAAACTTGACTAGTGCTATGGATATGTTCACACGTGTCTAGAATTATGTACCTACTCACAAAAACCTTCAGACTAGACCGTAGAAGTTAGTCGTATGTAAAATTGTAAAAACATTTACTTTTAAGTTTTATTAATACAACATGTTAACTTTTTTAAGTTCTTAACAAAAAATCAGGATGAAGGTTTTACTTAAAACGTACAGCCATTTTATTTCATTTAAAAATTAAAAATAAATTTGAATAACCAGCTTATTTAATCTGTGTAAGATTTAATTATGTTTTATTATAATATTAATATTCGGCATTACGAAAACTTTACAAATACGACTTCATTCTACGACAATTACTAATAACTTCATACAAACTATATATTAGTTATAATTAATGTCTAGTAAATAATTATACATATAACATATTACATTATGTCATAACCTTTATTATCTATTTTCTTTGCATTGAATTAAAAAGTAATATTTATTTAATTTTAATACTCGTATATTTTAAAATATAATAAAGCGAGTAACAGTTCAATAATAAGTATAGTATAAAATGATTTTATAATTTGCAAGCTAAAATGAAATCTATATTTTAATATAGAATAATATCCTGACTGTTATATATTTAGCTTTGGTACAGTGTACTTTAATAAAATACAATAGACTAATTAACATAGTTTTATTAATGTACCACGCGACTCGGAGACATGACTATACATGAATTATACAGATCAAAAATTAGAGACGCTATTGACATAGACTATGCAAGTGTCACAGAGTATAATACTTAAGATACACTACACTGACAAATTTCGGCCACGGCGGCCAATCTCACTGTAGACTGAGATCCCTATGTGGTGGTACCCTGGTGAACGGCCGTTGGGGGTGACAACCCTCCTGGGTCGTGCTTCTTAATATGTTTTGTTGTTTAAAAAATATATTTCGCATGGAAAAAGAGTGAGGGGCCCACCACATAGATCTCTGGGATCTCTTACTACTGAGACTAGCGATCTGCGTAGGAGATATTAGTGCACAAGTATGTTCGCAAACACAAGTACACTCTATTTATTCCATTCACTCTCTTACTAGGTGGGTTGACATTTCGACACGACCCGTGAGAGATCAGGCGCAGGACCGACGGTTTTACATACTCTAAATATACGGTAATATAATAGATTTAAAATATATTAGTCCATTTACAACCGTTATATTTTTATTAATCAGATATCAAAAGCTACTAATATTGTTGTTACTGAGGTAAATAAACTGTAACCTTGTTCTACACTATATCTATTAAAGCTTTTAACCAGGGCTCGGAAACGCGCTTAATTTTTAAACTGGTTTTGGTCATTGACCTCAAAACTGAAAAGCTTTTCGGTTACGTTCTTTAACCGGTCAAAACCCTGAAAAGGTTTTTGACGAATTTAGGTTTGTTATTGAATGTTCGAAATTACCCGGTTAAAATGAGTTATTGCTATCGCTGTGAGTTATCTTCGCTAATGATGAATTGCGTAGTAGAAGGATACATGCACACACGTGATATGTCTCTTACTTATGAATGGTTAGTTATGAATGAATTAACCAGTTTATTTTGATATCAATACCTAAGGCTAATCTATCTCTTTATTTAACCGTTCCTTTTTTATTAACCGGTTAAAGAACAGGCGATGAATTAATGACATTGTCGAAATTAGCTGTTTTTTAAACTGGTTTTAATACTCGACTTATTTTGGCCGACAGTTAATTGGCGTTCATAAACAGTATAAAGATGACACATGGAAGCATACCTAAGCATATATTACGTTTCATCTATATACTAATTGCAAGGTCGAAACACATCGAAAATTTGATAACTTAGTTAAAAAAAATCCAAATGAGATGTAGAACAAGGTCACTATGACGACACTATTTTAAAATTTGACACATTTCTTTAAAATGGTGGCATAATTTAGTTATTTCTATATAAGTAATCTTGCCAGACCTATATATTACTTATAGACAAGGCATTAAAGAGCAAAGAACTTTGGTAACATAAACCCAGCAGCATACTGACTTTTTTACTTAATAGAGATGTATAAAAAGACTGTTCTGGATACGGACTGAGGCTTTTTCTGTCCAAACTGATGGTAGACTCATGACGTTCGATAAAAAACGTAATAATTTAATTCTAAATAAAAACTTTTCACTTTGATCTACATTAAAAAGCCAATAAACCCTAACATTAAAAAATAGTATATTCATATCGCTTTATAACTCTCAAATAATAATCATTTATTCAATCACAATTTTCATATACTTATCGAAGCTCGGCACTTTATAGTTGGTTAGTAATACCTCTAAGTTTGCGTGTAACAAGTCACGGTTAGAGATGTTACACGTAGTTTATGAAATACCTACTAATATTGTAAATGCGAAAGTTTGTGAGGATGTATGGATGTCTGGATGTAGATGTATGAATGTTTGGAACTCGTTCACGCAAAAACTGAATAGATTTTGATGAAACTTTACAATAATAGCTCATACATCAGAATAACACATAGGCCATTTTTATCCCCGAAAAATGTACGGTTCCCGTGGGATAGATTTGGTTTTAATTTTTTCGAACCCGAGCGAAGCAAGGTGAGCCGCTAGTTGTATATAAATTATAAATGATGCTAACGCTAATTTTTAGTTTACATAAAAAATACCGTTTTGACACATTTAAATAGCTACTATACATATTATAACTCTATTAAAATAAAATACTATCTAATAAATATTATACAAATAATATTAAAAATTGTTGAAATTTTTGTTCTATATTGTTTTAGAAAGCTTAAAAAGCTTCATTAGAAATCTAGTAGATTTTTATATTATTATGACATATAAATGCAGTAGGTAATATATTTATGTATGTTTTAACATTTTTGAAAAATGCATAATTGTCACCTAATTAATATCTATGCACACTTTGCAAATAATAAGTACGGACGGTTATAGCAAAAATGTTGTCTTACAACATTAGGTAGTACTTATTTAAGATTCAATTCCGATTCATAAAACAATTTTATACATACGAGTATAGTAGCATTTCACATATTTTCTAATGAATTTTAACATAATTTTACAATACATATTTTGAAATAAAATTATTCTACAAAATATTTGTCTTATTTTAGCCCGTGAATTAAATTTCGTAATAAAAATTAGTAAATAAATCATACTATATAAATATAAATAAATAAATATGTTGGGACAATAACACACAGCACTATCTAGTTCCATGGTAAGCTACGAGGCTTGTGTTATGGATACCAGATAGTTATAATACTACACATATATAACTTTAAATACATACATATCATAAATATAAATACCCATGTCTGGAGTACTAACATTCATGCTCATCACACAAATGAATGCCCCCAGCGGGACCCGAACCCGCGACCGCTGGCTACAGCAAGTAGCGTTACTACAAACTGAGCCAAACGTGTCGTCAAAATATGTTTATGTACTTCGTTGTATATAACGTGCAACGGAATTTTTAATCTATGGTCGATATTGTATAATGTGCTACTATTTTTTTAATCTATGGGCGCTATCATGCTATGCAAGTTATACGTCAAAGTTGGCAACTTGCAAGTTGTATTTGTCATCCATGCTTGCAAGTATCGAATGCAAGCGTCACGCGCAATAATATCGAACGATAGTTGAAAGCAAGTTTTTTTATGGCTTAAATACGTATTTGCATTAAAAGGTCACAGAAATAAAGGATTTTTAACTTAAAATAGTCCATTGGAGAAGCAATAAACAATATTTACTTTATAACCCGATAGCGTCGTTTTAGTTACATTGACCTTAGTCGATTTCGTAACACACTCGATGTTCCTACAAGTTAAACTACTTGTAGCAATCCCCTCCTTATCGAAGAACCGAAATTAAATAGAAATTATCTCGAAATATTATTCTAGAATTGTATGGTCGCTGTGAAAAGTGCGTAAGACTGTTATACGAGTTCTGACAAACAATTATTGCGACATTACTCGATTGTTGAGTTGAGTTGGAGATTGTTATCATATAAAATTGCTTTCAATGATTCATTTGTATGAACGTGAGCATTTGTTTCGAGTTGCGTCAAGTATTAACGTATTGAAAGCAAAAGTGTAATTCAAAATTAAATATAATATAATCTTAGCAGTAGCATTTTTAAGAAAATATATAGGTACTTGGTATAAATAAGAATAAAACGAGTAAAAATGTACTTAAATTCCAATCTTCGGATACAATATCATTTATTGAAATTTATCGAAAACATGAATGTTTATGGGATACCGAAAACGTAGATTACAAGTGTCGGGAAGCTCGGAACTTTGCACTTAGAATGTTCGCAGAAGAGTTTGGCGTTGATGGGTTTGGGCCTAAGAAGATAAAAATAAGAATTAAAAGTTTAAGAACACAGTACCGTAGAGAGGAATTAAATTAAAGCATCCATAGGTGCAGAGTCCGACACCTGCAGTGTTTACAAACCCAAACCTGCTTGGTATAACTTAATGGATTCCTTTTTGTTGAAAACGCCTGAAGATAGGGAAACAACGTCATATTTGGTATGCATCCTATGATTTATATGATAAAATTACTATTTGACACTAGGCACTTGGGCATAAAAAAACCAAAAAGATGTAGAGTTGTCTATTTCCCATATTATAAAATTGAGGGAATATTTTCTTTTCAATTTATGCTAGAATGTATAGGGCACTTGAAATTAACGTCTACATACATGGGCGTACCCAGGTAGGGGGGGAGAGGGGGAGGGGGGGGTCGCGTATGTCTACGTACCTACTGCTTATAAAAAAATTGCGCTGCGCGCCCGGTCAACTTGTGTTCATACAACACGCTAGAACAACAAGCGAGCGGTGAGCTACACCACGCCATGTAATATGTAATATTACCGTGGCTACACGCTCGCCAGCCACTCGCTGCCGCGCTAACGACTTACGAAGATTATCGAATCTAGTCTAGCGCTTGTGTACTGGCCTGCGAGCTTGTATTTGACATGTTATTGTTTTGATAGAGCCAAACAATTGTTGCAACAAAGTGGTGAAAAAATTACTGGCATTAGATAATTTTAATACCTAAATCTAAATTAGATGTGCTGGTCATTGCGCCTTGGGTCCTTTCCGCGATAAGCAATAGCATTCCCAAAAAAGCAAAAAAGTTGTGTATACTTATGTACGCACGTAAAAAGTTATACTTCTTAGTTTTTTTTAGAGCATTTAAATAAAAGCTTCTTTTTTAAAATGTTTTAACTGTTTTTTAATGTTTCTTACTTTTTTTCGTATTCTTCTCAGCAAACCCTTTCATTTGACATCCATATCAAGGGGGTGCAAAATAAACAGGCCGCCATATTAAATTTTATAATGACGTCACGAGAGTCAAACGTGTGTGCCAAATTTCAGCTCAATCGGACAATGTCAATCGTGACAATCGGAAGTGGATCAAATTTAACTTGTAAAGCTTGATTACAGACAGACACCGAGACAGATGAAACTAAATAAAATCTTGTAATATTTTTTGTATTTATCGATGTAAAACACGTGTTGGTATATAGAAATAAAATATTAAAAAACTTCACATTGTAGCCAATAACGACTAACTTCACACTGTAGTCAATAAACACTAACTTCATACTGTGATTTAAATCTGTCATCCTAAAAAAATCACTCTCATCATCTATTTTTCATAACGCGCCAAAAGAAGTATAACTTCAAAAATGCTATAAGGTGTAGGGTGAGTTTTTAAGTGTAAAAAACGGTTCATCCGGCAAAACCACAAGTCCTATGGAAAAAGTTAAATGGCAAAGTTATAGGTAATAAAAATTAAAATCCATGAAATTGTGAACAAAATCCGCGTAGGTACCTAGGAATGCACCCGAGCGAATCGAGGATAAGTCGTTTGTCTACCTACATGGTAATACCCATATGGTATTTAAAAGCTGCTATAAGACTGATGCACTTAGGTCTATGGGGCAAAAACCACCATAGTCCACACATATCCATCCTGGATAGAGCAATAGAATACGAACCACTTATTGCTGTCCCGTGTGACAGAACAAACAATAAATATATATTTAATAAAAGATACAAAATAACTATGAGAGAAGAGGAACAAGACCACTCACCTGCCAATGAGCTACGTATTTATACTGATGGCTCTAAGACACGAAAAGGCTCAGGAGCTGGTGTATTTCCCCTTGATCTCAACATCAAAACACAAATACCATTAGGCATACACAGCTCGATTTTCCAATGCGAATGTGTAGCCATAACGGAAGCCGCAAGAACCGTGCACAGTCGTGGAGTAAACAACTACAATATAAAAATACTCTCCGATAGTGCAGCAGTTCTGCAGGCGCTAAATAACAATAAAACCAACAACAAACTAATAATTGAATGTCACAATGCCCTGGACTTGATATCAACAACAAATCAAGTCACCCTTCAATGGATCAGGGCACACAGTGGCTCACTTGGCAACGATGCAGCTGATGAACTTGCAAAGAGGGGGTCAAAACTAGAAGTGACTGGCCCATACCCGCTTCTCCCCATACCCTTTGCACAGACTCGCACCTAGATCCGCCAGAGATCCACGACGTTACAAAACAACAGATGGTCGCAAACTGCAGACTGCAGACAATCTAGATCAGCTCTGCCTGCAGTGAACCCACGACTAACAAAACGTTTACTAAACCTCAATAGAATCTTAAAATAATGATAGGTACGATAACGGGCCACTGTCCCTTGAACAAACACTTATATAACATCGGCGCAAATCCGTTCGGTAATTTTCTAATTTATCGGGTTCAGACAGATAGACAGACGTGACGGGGGGACTTTATTTTATATTATGTAGTGAGTAATGTTCTAAATATCCGAAGCTAATGGTATTTATTATTAACAGGAACCCAACTTCTCTTCTAACTCTGCTCAAGATAATTTAAATTGCTTGACTTCAACATCTACAGCTGACCATCACAGTCATCCAGACCCTAATGAAAATCCAAGTACTCAAAACAATGAGAGTGTAAAGATTGAAGTGGACCATCTTGAAAATCTAAGTACCCAAGATCACGAACACGAAACGAGTAATAGTAGTACGGAGAATTCATCTTCTGCAGATAACAATGAGGTATATATTCTTCCTTGCAAGTTGCACCTCATTCGCGCGCACAACTATTAAAAATTTAAGTCGTGAAAACCTCTAGTCTAGAGATGTTTTGGTATAACAACTGTATATCATTTAAAATTATCTACAAATTTAATACTCGGTCGGTTCCGGAAAATAAGATCCGGTACGAGCAATTAACTACTTCAATTTACCTGTTTATACCCTGAATGTCAGGTAATGTGGATTTGAAGAAGGCCGCCAACCGTATGATGGCATTTTCTACAAGTGTTTTACTTTCGATTGATACTAAGTTGTCACAGGTAGTTCTTTATACCTTAAAAAAGAAATTCAAAAATAACCTGGTCCAAATTGGTGAAAATCCTCGGAGTTGTGTTTATTAATGTTTTATTGTTAAGAAGATATATTTCGCCTGGAAAAAGAGTGAGGGGTCCACCACATAGATCGAGATCTTCTACTAAATTCCCCATGTTGAAAAATTTAATAAAAATGTTTATCAATCATAGCAAATACATATAATACAATCATCAGTACACATAAACCTATATATATGTACATCTAGTCTTATCATTACTCCACCTTTCGTACGCACTATACGTAGGTACGTGTAAAATTTTTTTAAAGAGTGCGTGTATCAATGCGTACACGCGCATGAACTGAAACTTCTGTTGGTTATCGGTACGTTTTATAAAATTAAATTTAAATAATAATTAGGATAGAAGTGATACTAACAAAATATTTTTTTATCGATTTAAAAAGGAAAACATTTTTTTATTATTCATATAGTACCTACTGATGGTGTTAAGATAAAATTTAATTTTCAATCAAATGTTGTAATGATTCAATAAGTTATATACTATATAGTTATATTAAAATAAATAATAATACAGGGATGCAAATTTTTTAGTAAAAAAAATATATTCATAATGTAGGTACGTATACAAAATTATTTCAAGTCAATAATTTTTTAACAACTATATTCATTTATATTATTCCATCGCTCATTTAAAAACAAATGAAAAGTTATATAAATATCCATTTTTATTTAATTTATTCTTTGAAATATTCATATTATAATAGTTTAAATAATTTTTAATCGACTATTTATTCACTTCCGTAACAACCGATTCCGTTACAAAAATCGTAACGCCAATCCTTTTTTCCCCTCTAATGACCTAAAGAAGTTTCACTTCCACATTTGTTTTCAGAACGAAAATTCACTAATGGGACCAGATAATAATACATTTCAATATAATATAGAAAATTCAGAAGACGTTGAAGATATAAAATATTTTACAACACCCGTCGAAATACCTAGTGCATCTCCAGAATTCCGAACAATAAAAAGACCGTCCATTTCTAACTACGCACACCCATCTTATGATACACTGGACGTTGAAAAAAGAGCTAAATTAGAGAATAGAGACGATGATTTGGATTGTTTTGGTAAATATGTGACGTCGTCGTTGCGAACTTTAAATACCAAAAATTGTATACTTGCCCAAGATGAAATACAAAGTGTTTTATCGAGATATAAAATACGAAATTTATACAAGCGTCGAAATTCTACGCATCGTAAGGAGTCATGTTCTTCTGATAGTGATGGACAGTGATAAAAAATTACAAGCTTGTTTGTACTCTTATTTTTTGTACATGTTAACATAAACATTGGCATAAACCATAAACTTAGGCTAACATGGACTTACATTATTTTTACGGTATATTTACCATGTTTTTCACTTTTATCTGAGTGACCATGTTATTTTCAAGGATACCCCATACTTCATACATCGAAAACTTGAGAAAGAAACTCAAAGACTATAAATATCCAGATACGCCTTTTAAATTTTTTAGACAGTTATTAAGAAAAAATGAACGTATTATCCCAAACCATTACACTATAAGTTTACACAGAGACTATGTGAAAATGACAAAGTTATACAAACATCGCCTGATAGCAAAGATGGTGTGAGAATACAACAGAACTCTCGTTATAATAATAAATTTTATATAAAACTTTAAATAGTATAATTTAACTTACCTTTACAAAACGTATGGCGGCGTAAATTGTATCATGATGTGATAAACGAAAGAGGTACTATTGAAATATTTAGTATACATATAATAAAATTTTAACTAAGCCGAATCTGTACATCAAATATTTTTTGGAAAATCTTATTTAAATAGTCATTATTCTCGATACAGAGGCCGAATCATTAGTTTTTAGAATTTTTGTCTGGCTGTATGTGACCGCATCACAAAAAACCACTCGAGGGATATGGATGAGATTTGGTATGATGATAGCCGGTTATCCGAGTCAACATATAGGATATTTTTACTGCAGAAAAATATCTTATCTCTGAGAAATCTATACTAAACTTTAAAACATAACGAGGGGCGAACCCGAGCAGAGTAAGGGATCGCTGGTTTTCTATAAAACCACACGCACACTTAAAAGAAAATGCTAGCCGTAAGTTCGGTAGGTACATTTTTATCTTTGTAATATCCAAAAGATGACAGAAGTTTAAGTGTTTGCTTCGTAAACCTTTTGCTCGTTTCCTAATCGACCTCTCTATATACAATTTAGAATATTTAATTTACTATTTTCATATATTATAATGATAAAATTTCTTGTTTAAATAAAAAACGTGGTGGATATTAACAGAAATTAAAAAAAATATTTAAAATTAACAGACTAATTAAAAAACATTTTATGAAAATTAATATTAGATATTTGCAGTGTAACACTGTTTTCCAATTACAGTGCATAATGCCGCACTTTGGCGCACAAACACGAACAACGCGAAAAGATACATCTTATATATTCTGTAACTGAGTTAGATGGTCACGCCAAAGCAATACTTTTCAATGTGCTCGATTATGCGGAGCGTTGCTGTAGATGAAACATTCGAAGTTGAGCATTATGCCGCACAATGGGCCTCAGTGCTGTAATTGGAAAACGCCCTAAGGAAAAAAAACAGCCAATGTTGCCAGCTACAAAAATTCTGGTACGACAATTGAAATAAATGGTCATTCACGTTCACACTATACTTATACATACATTTAAAGGTGCTTTGTGCACATTAGGTTCTAATTATTGCCTACAAACAAAGCAAATATAAATTATTCGCTAATAACTAGCGGCTTTTCTTTTAAGCTTGTCACCTAGATGATATTAAGATCAAAGATGTTGAATATTTTACATTATGTAAATGTAAAGTTAATTATTTTTATTTTATTTTTATATATATTTTAAAACATTAAATATTTTCGCTATACAGCTTTTGATATCATAGAATATTTAAACAAATTTAAAAAATACCAAATAAATTTAACACAGCACTATTAAATTTGTACTTCACATTAACAAATACAAATGCAATTTTTTTTTTTTATTTACACATTTGAAACACAATATTGCACAGATAAAAATTACAAATAAAAAACGATTAACGTCTTAAAAATAAAGCGCATCCAAATATCAATAAATAATACAATTAAAAACTAAATATTGTTTTGTTAATTATCTTTTAAGGCTGTATATATCTTAATTTAGAACCAAATTGTTCTTTATAAATAAAAATTATAAATTTATAAATAATTATTTTCAGAATTAATATTCTCAGGTCTTAACTACAGCAATTAACAAAAGGAGTTCAAATATTTTTGTATGGAAGCTAGTTTTAACTGGCTGCTGTCATTTTTTTTCAAAATACCGGCACAATAAAGTTGGTGTATATATAGGTATATATTAATAAAGGACACTTTAAAAAAAGCAAGAAATACTAGAAGTTTGATGCCTTAATTAAAGTGTCACGTTTCAGAGATATATATAATGGGAACTGTAGCAAGCATTGTAATAATTCTAACCCCTTCATGTTATAAACTTTAACTTACAATATTTATTATCCAATGACTTGAATATGTACAAACATATTAATAATTTATGTACAACATTTACACACTTACAAAACTTCACTTCAAATCTTCTTCCTCGTCTTCAACGTAAAGCAAATCCTCCATTTTGGTCATAAATTTGTTGTTTAACATTTGTTCTTCTGGAACTGGTTTCTGGAAAAACATTTTTATTTAAATATTTGCAATAAAATTTAAATATCGAAAATATCAATAGTAAAAATATGGTTTTTTATAGCTCCTTAATTTAACTTTTTACTTACCTGTGCTTTCTTTTACATATTCATTATTTATTAGAAATATAGTAATTAGAAATTTATAATCATTAAGTAAAAATTACCCCACTGCATGCAAATTGTTGGAAATAAAAACTAGAATCCAGAAAAGCCCATACCCAAACACAAATCGGATATAAATTATGAATACTATTACTGTGCAGTGCGAATCAATTATATAGATTTAAATTGGCAAGAATAAATAATAAAAATAATTTTTGATATAAATATGCAAAAAGAGTGATTTTAAAATTTTATGTAATTGTCCCAACTATCCATAAATATTATTAAAAATTAAAAAGGTATACCATAGACATTTCATATTTTTATTAAATTGTTAGTTTAGTAACACAGACTAAGGCATGAAGACATAAATCAATCACTTAAAAGAAAGTATTTACCACTAAAATAAAACATCATACAACAAAAAAACAACAATAATAATCAAAAAATACAACACTTAAGATAAATAAAATGTAATATTATAAATCTTTCTTATTATTAGGTATTTAAGTTGAACAAAACCAGACAAAAGCTATAAGATATTTCATAAAATATACCAATAAATAAAAAAAGAATCAATTTCTAGCATAAACAGTAAATTTGATGTCACTAAAAAATTAGATTGTTTGGTACATTTTATTATTAAAAATAATTAAATGGGAAAAAATATTTAATACATATAAGGGATTCGATTTTCAAGTGGGCACAAATGGTGGAATCCAATAATATATAAAGTAATGTCAAATTTTCTTACAAATAAAGATAATTTTGGGTCTTCAATTCTAGTTAATTATTTAATAAAATTCATAAATAAGAATGAAAGCGGGAATTAAACGTTAATATTTCATTTTCATATAAATAACAAATAAGAATTATCCCATATATATTTTAAATGTATTATCAAATACATATACATGCATTATGTTATTAATAATACTTTATTTCAATCCATCCACATATAGTACACGGCAAGTGTTAAGGCCAAGTTCGCATAAAAAAAGCATAAATAATGTTAGCTGGACAACATGCAGACCACAAAATATAATAATATATTATACTTTTCTAAAACAAAAAATATATTATAAAATATTAAATCAATATAAAAAATATGTATAAATCCAAAAAATACTTTTAAAACGAAACATCATAATATATTATTTATGTGGTTAAAATAAACAATTTTCATGCAAAAATTTAGATAACAATAAGACCTTACAGATTTTTAAATACTGTAATAAAATGGTAAAAATATATATTCTCTAAAATTAAAAAAATATATATTTTCTAAAAAATGGAATATTAATATTACCATGGACAAAAATTTCTATAGAGTAAAAAAAAGATATATTTTTTTGTAAAATATTTTCACGATTAATAATGGCACACAGTCTTTTTATCTTTGGCATTACCACTATCGCATACATAATATGGAAATGACAGAAATAACCTTTGCCATACGAAATGCAAATATCATTGTTCAAGAACATATTATAATTTTATTTTTACAAGTATGATTGAAATTGTTATTCATAGCAGATATTTGCAAAAACAATTGATTTTGTTTTTGTTTTTAATTAAAATTGTATCAGAGGAACTATAAAGAATATGGCAACGATAAAAACAGAAGTTAGATTAATTGTACGAAAAAGTATTTGAAGATTGTGCAGTGTATAAAAAAACTATTAGTTAGAAATTTTTATCGTCTGGGTGCCATCGTCCAATAGCTGGTGGAATGAAATTTTGACTGTGAAAGAAATATATGAATTATCTAACACAAATAATAAAAGATAAATCTACACATAGTATAAAATTCTGAGTCGAATCTGTATATTAAATATTTTTTTGGAAAATCTTATTAAAATGGACATTATTATCGATACAGAGGCCAAATCTATAGTTTTTAGAATTTTTGTCTGTCTGTCTGTCTGTCTGTCTGTCACAGCATCACGGAAAAGCTAGTGGAGGAATTTTGAAGAAATTTGGTATTATATATACATAAAGGATACTTTTTACTGCGGGAAAATATATCATCGCTGAGAAATCTATACTAAACGTTAAAATGTAACTAGGGATGAACGACGAATAAATATATTACTATAATAAATATACATGAATATTTGACAATTTAAATTAAAACAATAATTCTCGAATTTTTTCGCGATTTTATTTTGAACTTTTGTTCCCAACATTTTTAATTGCTGTTGCAACAAACGTGGTCACGGACGAGATTTACGTTTTTGACGGTTTAAAAGTCATAGTTAACCCCAAATTACTAATAATAACATTAAAACTTAAGATACATCGACAAAAATGCGAAAAAATACCAAATAATTGTTTCATTCTAAAAAATAAATTATTTGTATATACACAAATTAAATCTAAAAATAAATTAACTCCTCTTAGCAAATATAAATATCAAAGCAAATAAACTTTGCTTAAATGTTTATATTTTCTTTGCATGCAAATATGGGGAAAGGATACTTCATATCGTCGATTTTTTTCTAGAAAATTGATGAAGTGAATTAAATAGACTCAAAACCTACTTTTTTTAAATTATGTAATCCCAACAAAAATCGAAAAGATGTATAATTGATCATGCAACAACAAATATACACAAAACAATAACATAGCATTACCCACTTAGAATCATCATGCAAAACATTCTCATTTTTCATATAATTAAATAATTTCATCATTCAATTTAATTCTTTTTTCATATAAAAATCGATATCATTTATTATCTTGTTATTTTTGCAAAATCAATTTTAATAACTGAAAGTCAACACTTTAATTACATAATAACACCAATGCCAACACTACCAACTAAAAAAAAAGTGCCAAACAAAAAAAAATGTTTACTGGAGTCCATTTTTTTTCTCTACCAAAAAGGTTGATATTAAATTGTAAAAAAATGGAATCGATATTTTTCTCAATCAAATAAAATTGATATTCAATTATTTAAAATAGTATGTTTTTTTTAATTTAAATCAAACGTCACTTACCACCATATCAGCCCTAGGGAAGGGAGAAAGGCATATAATTAACACGGTCATGTTGTCACAACCTAAGCCGCCGGTGGCGCAGTTGGGCGCAAGGCACAGTTGCATGAGCGCCTCGCATACGGTCGCGGGTTCCCAACCGCTGAGAAGACGTACCCGACAAAACGACAGTACTTCCTTGAAATTAAAAATATATAGTTATATCGTCATATTTATTGCAAAAAAAATCCGCTGCAAAATCCGAATAAGAAAAGCGTGTGTGTGTGTGTGTGTGTGTACTTATGTGCGCACGTAAGAAGTTATACTTCTTTGGCGTAACAGAACAAAAATAGCTAAAGATTTCATCCCCTATGTCACAACTCTCTGTTTGTAAAAGGAATTCAGCTAACTTCATCATGTCGCTTTTTGGCTGTCGGTGTGCCGCAAATCGTAAAAGTAAAGGTGGCGCGCATCGTAAAAAGTTTTACTCTCACAATTTTTTCCAAATGTGCCAAAAGTAGTATAAATTCAAAAAAAATGTTTTTTTTTATTCTTATAAAACGATACCTTAATAGGCAAACCAGCTAACTCCATATGAGCAAATTTTTCAGGAGACACTTAAAACTTATAATATTTTTTTACACTAGTCATTAAAAAATCTAAAATACCGTTGGTAGATAATATCGTAAACTGTTATTTTTGATACTTTAAGATCCTACTAAAATAATCCAATTGAATTACTGTTGCATACAATCTGAACGAAAAAATATTTTTTGACGAAATGTGGAGTTGGCTGGTTTGCCAATTAAGGTATCGATAAATACTTTCTTTAGGGACTATTTATTTGCAAGAAACAATATACTCAATCTTTTCTCCTACTATATCTACACAATATTACAGAACACTATTATTGCACGACGACACGCTTGGCTCAGTTTGTAGTGACCCTACTTGCTGTGTCAGTGGTCGCGGGTTCGAGTCCCGCTAGGGGCATTCATTTGTGTGATGAGCACGAATGTGTGTACTCTAGTCATGGGTGTTTATATTTATAATATGTATATATTTAAAGTTATATATTTGTAGGGTATCAACTGTCTGGTATCCATAACCCAAGCCTCGTAGCTTACCATGGAACTAGATGGTGCTGTGTGTTAATGTCCCAATATATTTATTTGTTATTATTATTGCTAACATCGCCATGGTCTAGCGCTTGGAATTACGTCACATGCCATATATTGTCATGGAGTACATAAATGTTTCTTTTAGTCTTCAGAGACCTTGCATATTTAGGTTTTTCACTTATAAATTAAATATTTAGATTAAATACAGACACAGAACCCAAAAAAAATGTACATTTGAATACATCATTATTTTTAATTTATTTATTCTTGTATTTTCAATTTTAATTGGTATTAGCATATTAAAAAAATATTTATTAATACAGTATAGAGAATAGTTTATATAGTACTTACTTCATTAGATAAAACTTCCCAAATCCCATCACAAGCAATCACTATAAACTCCCAATCATCATTCAACTGTCGTACTTGAACATCAGGGTATGCTGAAAATAACAAAGAAAAATATTATTAAGCCACATTTTTTGGTTTTGAATGTCAATTTCTGTGATGCACACGCATTTAAACAACTTTATGGATTTTAATACAATTTACATTAATTTTAATTCTGGAAAGACGACCGAAAACTTGCTAGGTTCTCTCAGACATGTAGGTTTCCTCACGATGTTTTCCTTCACCGGAAGACAAGTGGTAATCATGTTGGAAATGATTCGCGAAAATATCAGAGGTGCGAGATGCGGGATTTGAACCCGCTTCACTCGTTTTCTTAAGCGAGCGCTTTACCACTACCATGATGGACTACAATGCCAAGACGAATATAGAATATAAAAATATGGCACGATTTTGCTATCATCGAGTAATAACAAGTATCTGGGCAACCGAGCTTCGCTCGGAGCTTTTGGACAATAGTACAAATTTCTTTTTATTTTGGCTTAAAAACGAAAAAACTAAAAACTTGAATAAATACAAAAAAAAAACAAAAGCAAAAACTTTGTATCCGACCGGGATTTGAACCCGTGCGCCTCGGCCGCTTGACCACGATGCACAAGGCACGCCCGAGCGTGCCAAATTAGCCACCATATTTTGCGTGGAAAATGCGAAAAAAAAAACGCATGAAAACTCTAAAACACGCATTTTCCCAGAGATAAGACTAATCTAGATCGATTTTTCGTCCCAGAAAACCACCACATACCGAATTTCAGCGAAGTCATTAGAGCCTCTTCCGAGATCGCCGGTATATATAAACAAATAAAGAAATATACAAGAATTGCTCGTTTAAAGGATAAAATATTAATATAAAAAAAAACATCTGTACATAATTAAAAAAAATACAATTACATGTTTTTACCTGTAACTATTTGATCCCTCGGCGATAATCTGTAGTTCCTTTTGAATATATAATCACCTAAAGCTCGAGATAGGGCCAAGTTTCCATTAACTCTGTTTAGCTGCACCCAACCTCCCCCCGCTGTGATCCTTCGCAGTTCCTCCTCATTGTTCGGTTTATGGTCGTATGAAAGCACCTCAACCTACATTAATAAGAGATTAAATAATATTAATAATAATAATTAATAACCCTTTATTCTATACCCAATAACAAAAAGAAATAGTACAAAATATAGGAGAAAGTACAAGAGGTGGCCTTATCGCTAAAAGAGCTATTTGTTCCAGGCAACCTTTAGGTGTAGATAATAGTACTAAGACAGAAGAGGCGCGAAAAATAAATAGATAGTAGAAAGAATATATATTTATTAATATGTTCATATAACACGCAAATAGGCGCATAGTCGTCGAGTTGCGAGAAATAGCCCGACATACCATACCATACCAATATGTTCATATGTATCATACAAATCTATATGTATAATAAAAATGTAACTGATTGCTGTCTGTACATTGGAATTATTCTGTCGTAATTGAGAAAAACTATTATTGAGGGTCATTATTAACGTAATAGAACCCAAAACAATGGTTTTTAGAACTTTAGTTTGCTTGGACATGTGTGCGCGCTAATCTCAGATACGGCTTAACCGATTTGGGTGCTATAAAATACTGTCCAGTTGATTTAGCTGAAACTTTGGTTAACTATATATTTATATAGTTTGTAAACCGATGATTGAAAGTTAGGCGCAAAAAAATTAAAAACCATGACATTCTAAAAAAATTAAATCTAAACAAGCAATGCGATGGTAAATGGCTAGTATATAAAAAATACAAAGTAATTAAATATATTAATTAAAAGAATATATTAAAGATTGGTTAATCAATTATGGAATAAAGAAATATTATGTATTTGATTAAAAATACAGTTATAATTGCTAAAGCAATTCAAATGTTTTCAACTAACAATTAAGTTGATGTACAATTTGCACCAATCAATTGAAAAATCTGCTTATAAGTTATATTAAAAAAATTAAGTTTGCGATTTTTTATTTTGTTTGCTAAACTATTCCTAATTGCTCAGATATTTTCATCATAATAAAAAGTATTGCAAAAGTTACTGGAATACATATTTTATTATTATAATTATATATTTTCTATATATTGTATGTTTTATAAATAAACATTTTTATGTTATCTTTATCAATTATAATAATATTTATATTTCACTATGACATCATCTATTTAACTATTTCATTAATTACATTATTATAAATACACTTGAAAAACAACAAAACCAAGCTAGATCAAACTAGAAATTAATTTATTATTAAATTTAAGTTGAATTAAATAATAGCTTTAACTATTATTAAAATGATCCAAAAAAATGTTTATCATATAATAATTTGTCATATAATTGCCCGCGTCTCCGCCCGCGTTCACATGACTAAAAAACAAATTCTTAGGTTTTACATATTAGTATACTCTTACAATGCAGTTTTTGTATATAAATATATAAAAAATAAATAAAATAAAATATTTTTCCGCGGTAAAAAGTATCCTATATGTTGACCCGGATATCCAGCTATCATCATACCAAATTTCATCAAAATCTGTCCAGTGGTTTTCTCGTGATTCGGTAACAGTCAGACAATAATTCTTAAAACTATATATTCGGACTCTGTATCAATAATAATGTCCATTTCAATTAGATTTTCCAAAAAATATTTAATGTACAGATTGAACTTAGTTACAATTTTATTATATGTATAGATAATCAGTTCAAAAAGGCTAACCTATAAAAAGTCCAAACAGTATTCAGAAAATTAAAATGGCGCTGGACAGGACATATTACATTGAGAGAAAATAAAGAGAAATGGACCAAAATTAAAAAAATATATAACAGAATGGTACCCTAGAGAAAGCAGAAGACAAGTTAAAGCAATGGGAAGATGATTTTAAGAAAGCAGCAGGCCTTGAGTGGTTACATACAGCAACGGACAGAAAAGTTGAAAGACTTGAGGTGGCCCTTGTCGAAAGACAAGCTGTAATGAAGGGAGACTAATTAAATGTCGACCAACATGAGTTAGTTTTAACTTAATTTATATGATTTACTTTTAAACTTTAAAGTTTTTTTAGTGTCATTACCCATAATGTAACTTAAATAGTTGTTTTCTCAAATAAGTTAAAAATCTAACACCAATAAAAGCCTATTGAAGTGAAACTTCTTTAGATTCGTTGTGATTTGGAACTCTATAAATCGAAAATGCGATACGAGAGCGACAAACACATAAATGATGATGAGATTAAGCTGGCGAGAGAATGATATAGAATACGTTACACAGGAAGTGGAAAATAATACTGAATAATATGTTATGTAATATATGTTATATAAAAATGTAAAATAAATTTTAAATTTCGTAAAAAAAACCAAACCTTATAAATATCTTACTCCTGATACTCTATATTTATGTTAATCTGATTCTCTTGTAGATTACTTTTCTGAAGTTTCGCTTCTTCCGTAAGTGAATTGCATACACACACATTTTGCCTTATTATATTTTTATTTAAATATAATATAACCAGTAACATCTTTGTATCAAAATTACAGTACATCAAAATTATTTTATATTTTATTTAACTTACCGCACCCCTGACACTGGCTATTGCTCTGGAATCGCCAACATTAGCACAATATAGTGTATTTTCTTTCACTAGAACAACTACTGCTGTGCTACCAGCTACCTTTTCTTGCATGTCCTCTTCTAACATAGCTTGATCAAGATCAAGAAAACCCTGTACATAAGAAAAATCTATTATTATTTATTTTATTTTAATTTTTCCCAGAAAGTTTTTCATATTATTTTATACCATAAATATAGTATAGGAAAAATACTATAGACATTATAAATAAATTAATATATTTAGAAATTACTAATATTTCATTCAATAATGCTATTTGCCTTATGATATTATTTGTTTTTACTAAAATATATATTCTTAAATAGAATAAATAGTTGTAATACATTAATCAAACAAAGAGATGCACAGAAACAAAGAAAACATTAAACACATTTATAATTATTATTCTGATATTAAATTGGTTTATTGAATTATGAAAATTATCTAAAGCAAATATATCAATCAATGTTTAGTGCATTTATAACAATTATAGCAATTAACCTGCTTTAGAGCTTCCTCAATATTTCCAAGGTGATACTCGGGTCTAGCTGTAATAAATTTGTGAAGATGCTTCCCAGCATATTCGGCAATGTTTGAGCCTATAATAATGTTAATAAACTATTATTTTTTGGATATATTATGTACTAATAAATTTTGAGCAATCAAATATTAATTTAATATTCCTAGCTCCTAATGTCAAAAATTATAAAAGTTATTGTTTATAAAATTTATTAATATTAAAAAGATACAAACACACCTCCATGCCCATCATATACAGCAAAGAAAGCTGTTCCAGGGTCATCAGGCAAAGATAGAATTTGTGTATGGGAATCATCCATGGAAACTCGCCAGCCTTGCATACATGAAGAACCCACTAGATATCTGGAATCCTGACATGTTGACGACTGCTTCTCTGTTACAGGTTCTGAAAGGGTCTGCCCCATCACTCTGCTACTTGGAAAAAACACATTAAAATTATATTTCCAGATTGCCACATAAAACCTTTCAAATATGGAAAGTCTATTTATACACATATTTTTTTTAAATAGAACCTGTTTGTGTCTAGTAGATAATCTTTAATTTTAACTTAATAAAGCAAGTTTTTATAATAAGTCTAATGAAGTGCATAATAAAAACTATTGACAATAGTGTTATAGTTTCCATAACAAATTAAACCGCGCAATCTCAAGACTAGTTACTGATATATAAAAGTGTTCCAATAAGCTTTCTATGAAATATTACACCTAAGACTTTAACCGTCATACATGACTAAGGACTGATGTCATTTACCCTTATAATACACCATCATTTTAATGATTCCTCTAAATAAACAATTTGACAAAGAAAAAAGTTTACTACTTACTTATTTACGTACAACGATAACTGGGCTTATTGATATTACCACGAAACAAAACAAGAGATAACTAACACTTATCTTTAGAAAAATAAAAATATATAGCATCGTTTCTACAATTATTCATATAGAATTGATAAGTATACTTACAAAAAGTTTAAGTTGTTTGTGAGAGTTGTTATTTATAAAGTTAATTTGCTATTTATTATTCACAGCCACAAATTCAGAATAACACATTAAAGTGCGTAGGTAAATATCAACTAAATAAATGTCAAAAGTCAAAAACAAACCATAGACAATTGTGATCTAACTCTCATATAAATAGTCTTGGCAGTTGGCACTCTATGTAACTCTACTATGTAAAAGTTACTCTTTGGGTGTTCTATCTATATATAATCTAAGTTATTTTATTTTCAGGATATAAAAATAAAGTAGGTATACATAAACAATTAAAGCCTAAAACTTAAAATTAGAAATATATTTCTGTATACCACAATAAACAATAAACTATATCCATCCAAACCTTAATATACGCGATGTTGCAAGCATAATTATTATATTATCTTACGTTTCGTAGCATCAATATTAGCAATATTTTTAAATGGCACGTAGATTTTTAATAAAAAGAAATAAATAAATATTAAAGAAGAAATAACAACCGATCACTAGAATTTCAGCAATAATGACATTTTATTTGATTTTCCTGAATTCAAGTTTTATTCATACCAGTAATAAAATATTGTTATAAAAACTTTTTTCACTCTTATATTATCATAGAAAAGATTATTTTTGAAAACTCAAAATGATATTGTGATTTTTTTATAATAATTGACCAAGCGAGCGAAGCGTCTCTGTTTAAAATCTGGCAAAATTTGCTTTCCCCTGTCAGTTAATTGGTACTCCTATAAAGGACGTATTCTTCAAATCTGGCAAAATATTATAAACAAATTTATTAAATTCCTCAACACACCAGCAGCTAGAGAACTTATCAAGCAAAAGTTTGTGCTTTATAATCTACTATTCTTATAATCATCTATACATATAACATACTAGCATTGCCCGCGGCTCCGCCCGCGTTCAGATGACCGAAAACCAAATTCTTAGGCTTTACATATTAGTATACTCTTACATTGCAGTATTTGTATTTTTTCTCAGAAATGAGATATTTTCCCGCGGTAAAAAGTATCCTATATGTTGACCCGGATAACCAGCTATCACCATACCAAATTCCATCAAAATCCCTCAAGTGGTTTTTCTGTGACGCGGTAACAGACAGACAGACAGACAAAAATTTATAAAATAATATATATAATAATAATAGATAATAATGTTTATGTGTTCAATAAGATTTTCCAAAGAATATTTAATGTACAGATTCGGCTTAGTTACAATTTTATTATATGAACAGATTATTAACAAAGATATTAAGATTACAGCCCACAACATAATCTATTATACTAATATTATAAAGAGGTAATGTTTGTGAGTTTGTGACGTTGTAGGGGGTAATCTCTGGATCTACTGAACCGATTTAGATGAAATTTGGTAAGAAGATAGAGATTTGGTAAGAAGATTGAGACCCTGGGAAGGACATAGGCTACTTTTTATCCCGAAAAATCATCCCTTAAGGGGGTGACAATGGGGATGAAAGTTTGTACGGGGAATCAACCTAGGGACGAACCCTAGCGAAGTGAGGGTGAGTTGCTAGTTTAAGATAATGAGATACAAAGAGATTTGAGAATGAGTTGTCTTGCTCACACATAATGTCTCAAACAAGCTCCCAAATAGCCCAAGGGTAACTTTTAAAATAGTGCCTCCCGATACACATTCTTACAGATGATTTATGCCCAAAAATATTTTCTCATAAATGAACTATTTTTGGTTTCTAGATTTTGTCTAGTTTAGCCATAGAGCTCCTTCCTGATCATTAGCGCTATACAACGTGCTGGAAATTGGCATCATACAAACTGGTTTTAATTAAGAGGCGTAGATGTTTTATAGTATTATCAGTACAGTAGTGACTCAATCATACTTTCAACCATATTTGACGAAAACATTGATGACTAGGTAGTTACTTTTCTTAACGACCTCTCTTAAGCATTCTAAATTCAGTAACTGCTTTTGCGCTGAAAGAAAATAATCTATTGTGTGCATAAAGATAATGTCGATGAGGAAAACCCTCGCACTTTTTCCCCATAATAATGCTATATCCATGGCAAGTTAGACTTATAGAAAGAACTAGTTATGGTAAAGTCACAGACATTACAACATTGTATTGTCTGTAGGTAAAGTGCAATGTCGAATGTGGCCAACAGTATCCAAGAACTATAATAATAATAAATAATACTAACTAACCTAGAATATAAAATTTTCTGTAATAACAAATTAAACTATAATCCATATCCATACTGATATTATAAATGTAAAAGTGTGTTTGTTTGTTTGTCCTTCTTTCACGTCGACACAGAATAACGGATTGGCGTGATTTTATCTCATTTCCACGGAAAAACGTGTTATAATACAAACCAAAAAAATATTTATGATCAGAATTACTTGAAACTTGATATTAATGTTCTTCAATACATTTAAATAAATACGGGTTTTAACATCTTTCGAAATTCATCCCTTAAGGGGGTAAAATAAGGGATAAAAGTTTGTATGAAACCTAACTTTTTTAGATTTTTTTTTGTAGTTTTAGCGCGAGCGAAGCTTCGGGTTCTGCTAACTATAATATAATAAAACGTGTAGATATAATTAATTTTACGAAGCTACGTGGAATAGTTTTTAAATATAGGATATTTTCGGTAACATGATTTGATAGTTTAGTAACACTTTAGATTTTAGAACACCACATTACTGATATATTTTTATTTAATTACTTATAACTCCTCAAAATGTATTATAAATTGGCGGCGGTTGGCAGTTATATTCTCTTTTCTATCTCATTTTCTACTTTTGTTTTTATTTTTTGTTTAGAAGTTTCAAGTTTTTCAATCTATACTAATATTATAAAGAGTTAAAGTTTGTGAAATGTGAGTTTGTGACATTGTAGGGGGTAACCTCTGGGTATACTGAACCGATTTAAATGAAATTTGATAAGAAGATAGTTTGAGACCCTGGAAAGGACATAGGATACTTTTTATCCCAGAAATTAGGTTTTTTATTGTCCCTTAAGGGGGTGAAAATGTGGATGAAAGTTTGTATGGGGAATCAGCATGGAGACGAACCCGAGCGAAGCGAGGGTGAGTCGCTAGTATCTTATATTTGTGTTGTAGGTTTAATGTTTATCAAATATTTTAAGGGTATAAAGTGTAAAAATATAAAATACTAATAAGAAATTCAGTGTCCAGTTGTTATTATTTTTTGTAAAATTGAATCACTTAAAGTGTAACGAAAGTATGCTGCATGCTGATATGAATTATAAGCTTATGGCATCAAATTCGAGGTTGAGGCAATTTGTGTATTTGTTTGCATCAGACAATTAGAAGTGGAACTGGAAACGTGACGCTGCGTTGGCATAGTTGTTAATAGATTGAATTAAATGTCGAATATGGTAACAAATTCATTTTCGTTTTCACATATATCATGGTTTGTCAATAAGCTTTACTTTTCTAAGTGAAGATATTTTTTCTTGCTTTATAATTTATAAGAAAACTTGTCCATCTAATTCCGTAACGAGCGAGTAAATGGAATTCCTCATTGATTTGATGCGCTTGTTCGTCTCTATACAAATAAATAAATTGAAGTGTCTGTTTGTAATGTTAAAATAAGAACTTTTTACTAAATGCATTTTTAGAATGTATATAAGGTGCTTATAAGAAAAACCCAATTTTTGAAGTCTTTCTGTTTGTATGTTTGTTCCGAACTGGATCGATTTTAACGGAATTTTCACAGGCACAGAGCTGATGTTGTAAGGAGTAACTTAAGCTGCTTTTATTTTAGAAAAGGATTTAGGGTTAAATTAAAAAAATGGTATTATGAACAAATTGTGACGCACCCAAGCGATGCGAGGGTAAGTCGCTAATATATTAAATACGTTTGAAAGAACCGTACTTTTTACAAAAAAAATACCTACTAATTACATCGTTTTTGTATTCAAAATATAATTCTTTTACTGAGTGCAAAATAATTTTCTTACTTTTAATTACTTTGAAGTCTCAGTCTAAAGAAACTCGTGTAGTTAAGAGTCTGAAGTTTAAGGAAAAATAAGGACACAGTAACAAGTTTAACTATTTTTAAATTAAAATCTTTTTTTTATGTCTACCCAATGTTGTCGAGACACAGCTTAGTTATTATTAAGCTCTGCTAAATAGTAGACTATTTAAATAATCTTTATTATACATTTGTAATAATTGTATTAATGTTAGATAACATAAATAATTCTTCTTCTTCGTCCCCTCACTAATGAGGATCGCGAGCACTGATGATTTTCTTTCAGCTTGATCGGTACAGTTACATATGTAGATATCATACCCAAAAATATAAATTGACTAGCGGACCCGACAGACGTTGTCCTGTCTACACGTCTTTAATTTGAAAATTTCAAACTATTTTTAATAATTTTTTTGATGAAAATTATTATTCAAATTGTGAATCTAAACCATTCCCAGATCCCCTTGAACACACACAAAAAATTTCATCAAAATCGGTCCAGTCGTTTGAGAGAAGTTCAGTGACATACACACTCACAGAAGAATTATATATAAATGTTCTTCTACTGTTCTATTCAATCGATGATCATGAACTAATTGCGCGTGCTGAGTACGTCGACCAATATTTCTTGCTCTTCCACGAAGACGTGGCATTTTTCTACAAAAATAAAATATTGCAAAATAATATACAATGAATATGAGTTACTTATTGATAATGAATTTTTAATTAATTAACTCAAAAGATTTATTATGACAAATTTTAGATAAAGAACATGTAATCGCATTTTGTGAGTTTTTTTATTTAATATCTCCAAAAATGAATTAATTGTCAATAAAAATAATTAAAAAAATTCAATCCTCTAACTACACAAATAAACTTGAAGGTTATGTTGGTTGTTAATAAACGCACGTGTAAATTAAAAAAGCTAATTTATAAAAAATATACTCACTTCGATTCCGCACTAAATTTACAAAATGTATAAGTTATTTATATACACTTCAGAACTCTTCGAAAACTAATTACATTAAATATTTTAATTAGCAACTTCACTTGAATAACACAATTATAACACAAAATAACGAAATACTTTTTCAAATTGATCGTAGCACTATCTGTCGGGACAAACTAAAATTAAAATAGAATAATATTGAATGCGATGGTAGCGCCATCCGTCGAATCTGATGTAAAACATTCCAAAATCAAAAACTCCTTACAAATAAAAATTAATTAAAAAAACATCTGAATTCACAAAATTATTTATACACACTTCAAAACTCTTTAAAAAATAATTACATTTAATATTTTAATCAGCACATGAATTGAATAACAAAATTTTTTTCAAATTAATCGTAGCACCATCTGTCGGGACAAACTAAAATTGAAATAGAATAATATTGAATGCGATGATAGCGCCGTCCGCCGGATCTAATGTAAAACATTCCAAAATCAACAACTCCTTATAAATAAGAAATTAATTGAAAAAACATTTTCCAGTAGACCAAACTGTAAATCTAAACCATTCTCGAATCTCCACGAACACACACAAAAAATTTCATCAAAATTGGTCCAGTCGTTTAGGAGGAGTTCAGTCACATACACACGCACACAAGAAATATATATATTAAGATAAAGGTTTTAAAATGTTGCTCTTACCTGGAGTTCGCTACTATCTTTAGAAACAAATCTGAATATTAATTACCAAAAAAAAACTTACCTGCCTCGTTTTAATTTCATTTACTTTTTTGTTTACTTGCAAAGGTTGCAAAGATATACAACTTTATTTGTCATCCATGTTACGCAAATAATATAAAAATGTGCATCTGACAATACCCTAGTTATCAGACTAGACTCTAGTAAGTATAACGGCTTAGATTATTAATATGTACATATAAATAGTCTAAGTGTAACGGTAAAGTAACTGTCTAGTACCAACGAAGGACAAACATTTAATCATCTAAAATAGATAAAAAATGATAAGAGCACAATTTAATTCACAAGCTATCGATTAAAAAGTTCTAAGCTTGATAGCTTCGATATCACTATACATAGTATAAAACAAAGTCGCTTCCCGCTGTGTGTCTGTCCCTATGCTTAGATGCTTAGAACGGATTTTGATGCGGTTTTTTTAATAGATAGAATGATTCAAGAGGATGGTTTTAAAATATAACTTGTTAAGGTTTTGTATACATTGGCTAAAATAAAACGATATTTGTTGGAGGTGTCGGAAAAAATTAAGCCGTCTGGGAGCTTTCAACGAAAACGCTGCCTAAACCCTTTAAAATATAACAAAATAATGTATGGTGGAATTGTGTATCTTACATAGGTCTACAGAAAAGTCCGTGATGGCATATGTCTATTTTTTAAGGATAACATACTATATCCATTTTAATTTAAATGTACCTAGGGAGTAGGGACGAACCCGAGCGAAGTGAGGGCGAGTCGCTAGTGTTTATATAAAGAAGATAAAAACTATCATAAAAATAAGTAATTTTATTATTATCAAAACAATTCATATTATTTCAAATATTTAATTATTTATGTCAAAGTAATTTATGGGTACTTGAGAACTTAGATAAAGTTTCATAAAAAAAAAACAAACAATAAAAGCCTTAGCATTTGTTTTTAGATTAAACCATAGGCATAATAAAAATATTCAACAAAACATTCCGTTAAGTATAAAATAACAGTAAACGAATTCTTTAACTGGCTGATGAAATCGGCGTCAAAAATACGTATAAAGTATACGTACATCACTATTTACTTCCGAGCTGCAGCCGGCGGGAGAGACGCAAGTATTTCAGTTTCGCGCGTACTCGCGTTGAGAGAGTGTGTTGTGAGTTAAGTGTCCCTCGTGTTTTGAAATTTCGAATACTTTGAATATATTTATTTATAAAAAATGGCCTGTCCTATGAGGTGAGTAAATATATCACACTTTTCTATTGTACATATATATCTTACTAAACTATTCAACTGCAAAGAAATACACTTAATTGCTTAAATTTTTTTATAAACCTGTCAAGACAACATTAAAGTCAGCATTATAATTTTTTGTCACGTTACTTTTTAATTTCTAGATATTAGGCGAGCTCTATTTCTAACATTTAAATATAATTATTTCAATGTTATACAAATGAACAATTTTATATAACTCTTATGACTTACACTATCTAATGTCTTCAGAACTAGTTGTGTTGTGTTGTTGCGTATATTTATTATTATTAATTATTTATACGGATACTTACATTAAATAAATAATAATACACCAATTAAATATTTCAATGTAATAATAAATTAACAGCAGTGATAACCCAGTAACACCACGGTAATACGCTCGTTTGAGAAACTGAGTGAAGCGAGTTCGAATTCCGAGTCTCGCACCTCTGATATTTTCATGAACGAATCACTTCCAAAATGATTACCACTTGTCTTACGGTGAACATCGTGAGGAAACCTGCATGTCTGTGAGAACCTAGCAAGTTTTCGAAAGACATATTAAGTCCGCCAATCTACACCACAGCTGGCGTGGTATACTATGGCCTGATGCCTTCGTATAATACAAGGTAGGTCCATGCTCAGCTTTGGGACGTTAAAAAGGGCTGACACAATAATAAATTAAATAGGTAATCTAAAGCGTTTATTTTTAAAATATGATTCGTAATCTACCTAATTCAAAGTAAAACTATTACTTTAATTTAAATAAAATTAAAACGCTGGACATACAGAGAAGCGGTGTTTTTACTTTTTATATATGACAGTGTTCTATTTTTATTGGATGTACGGAGTTGAATAATAAGTAGTTAAAATAATTTATTTATCACCCCCCTTTAACCACCTTAAAGAAAACTTTGCTCTAAAGTAAAAAAATATGTAGCGCGATACGATATGGCTGGTATATATTAAGAAAAAATATAAGCAAATTAAACATTATCGTAAATATATTTTATATGCATTTAATGTTTTCAGTATCATAAATATATATCATTAAAGTTGGTCGATAAATCGAGGTAAAGATGGTTGCTCAGATTGAACTACTTAGATTGAGATGCTAGTTAATTATTAGTTTCAATAACAGTCGTAATTTATGTGTGGCTATCACGAAGACATTTTCTCGTTCATTTATCTATACAGATAAATAAAATTGGAGTGTCTGTTTGTAATAAGCTTTTTAATAAATGCATATGAAATTATATACGGTCTAGGTACTCGTACTTATAAGAAAAATACAATTTTTTAAATTTTTGTCTGTTTGTTCCTAATTTTGGAAACGGCTGGACTGGTTTTGAGGGGACTTTCATTGGCAGACAGCTGATGTTATAAGGAGTAACTTAGGCTACTTTTATTTTAGAAAAAGAATTAGGGTTCTGCTCAAAAACATAAAAAAGTACATAGGGACGCACCCGAGTGAAATGCGGGTAAGTCTCTACCATTATAATAATGATTTCAAACCAGTTATAATTTTATAATGATTAATTGCAGTAATTTCACTTGTGATAAAATATTGTAATGACCACTGACCAGTACACAGTCTGAATGAAAATATATTTTTATTACTATCTAGATTAGCTTAGGTAGCATTTATTTAGGACTAGCAACTCACCCTCGGTCCGCTCGGGTTCGTTCTTAGTTTCGTTTTAACGTTTAGTATAGATTTCTCAGAGATCAGATAATTTCCCGAAGTAAAAAGTTTCCTATATGTTGACCCGGATAACCAGCTACCATCATACCAAATTTCATCAAAATATCTCCGGTGATTTTTCCGTGATGGGGTAACAGACAGACAGACAAAAATTCTAAAAACTATAGATTCCGCCTCTGTATCGATCATAATGTCTATTTCAATAAGATTTTCCAAAAAATATTTAATGTACAGATTCGGCTTATTTATAATTTTATTATATGTATAGATGTAAGTAATATGATATAGAAATATAGGTTGTTTTGAGGCAAGTTTTTTTTTCAAAGTATTTATAGACTCGTAATAGGCACAAGTAGAGGTTCTAACTGAATCGAATCTTTACATTAAATATTTTTTGAAAAATCTTATTGAAATAGACATTATTATCGATACAGAGGCTGAAACTATAGTTTTTAGAATTTTTGTCTGTCTGTCTGTGACCGCATCAAGGACAAGCCACCGGAAGGATTTTGATGAAATTTGGTATGATGATAGCTGGTTATCCTGGTCAACATATAGGATACTTCTTACTGGGGGCTAATCATCTCAAACTCATAATCATCATAAACGTTAAAACGCAAGCAGGGATGAACCTGAGCGGAGCGAGGGTGAGTCGCTAGTCTATACGAATATTATAAAAAGGTAAAGTTTGTGAGTTTGTGTCGTTGTAGGGGTAATCTCTGGATCTATTGAACCGATTTAGATAAAATTTGGTAAGAAGATAGTTTGATACCCTGGGAAGGACATAGAATACTTTTTATCCCGGAAATCATCCCTTAAGGGTGTAAAAATGGGGATGTTAATTTGTATTGGGAAGCAAGCTAGGGACAAACCCGCGCGAAGCGAGGGTGAGTCGCTAGTGTATTTATATAATTGTAAGTGTCAAAAGTCAAAACTTCTTCGTTTACTAAGTCGTATTTTGAATTTATGACAATTATTTTTTTAAAAACAATGCGTGATAATCAAACACGGTATCTCTGTCCATGTGCTGTGAAGCGTCATATGCTAAAGAGGTCATGAAACTGATATAGTAAAAATATACCTATCAGTTAAGTATTCACAAAATATTCATTACAGCGTCACACAACTTGAGATAATTTGATGATGAATAATCGTCGTCACAATCGTTATCTGAATAATAAATAGAGTTGAAATGATAATTCCTCTGATAAAAATTTTCTCAACAATTTTATAGAACATGGCTAGTTGATACATGCGTTTTTCAAAGACGGTAAAATCAGAACTAGATAAAAAATTTTTTTTTTAAACTTGTCAGTGGCAATGGGCTATATGCCTATTTTTCCATAGTTTGAAAAAAGAAAAATAAATATATTGCCATGCAAATATGTTAAAACTAACTTTTTCATTTAGAGAAAAAAATATTTACTTATATTACTATTACTTACATAATGTATTCACTATTCAGTCCTTTTTAACGTCCCACTGCTGGACACGGGCCACCCCTCAGTATGAGGGGAATCAGGCCATAGTCCACCACGCTGGCCAAGTGCGGGTTGGCGGACTTCACATTTCATTTGAAAACTTACTAGGTTTTCTCAGACACGCAGGTTTCCTCACGATGTTTTCTTTCACCGGTAAGACAAGTGGTAATCATGTTGGAAATGATTCGCTCATGAAAATATCAGATGTGTGAGACCCGAGATTTAAACTCGCTTCACGCGGTTTCCCAAGCGAGCGCGCTACCACTGGGCTACCACTGCTCCATTACTTACATAATATGTACTCGTATTATATCTTCACATATCAAGTAAATTACAAGAAATGCGGCTCTTTAAGGTTTATCCTTATTGTAAATAATATTTCTTATTCTTATAAAGTTTACCTTATTCCACTAAAAATAATTATTTTAAAAAAAGATATTAGTTACAAAACATTTAACTCAAGCTTTAACCAACTCAATCTCGAAACGCAATATTTCGTCTGAATATAGCGTCTCGAAAAACCGGTCTTCCTGTACGAATAATATAAAAGTATCTACATACTAATTAAACGTTGAATTGACGTATTCGAACCTGTTAATAAGGATGTTATGAAATAGATAGATAGATATTTTTTGATTCATGGCTTTTAGGTTGTTTACTTTGTAAATTACGCATAGAGAAAAGACGTTGGGAATTGACCAGTACCTAGATATCCATACTAATATTATCTATAATGTGAAATATGAAAATGTGTTTGTTTGTTTGTCCTTCTTTCACGTCGAAACAGAGTGACGGATTGGCGTGAATTTTTGTGTGAAGATAGTTGGAGGGCTGGGGTGTGGTATAGGCTACTTTTTTATTGTGGGAGATTATCTCGTTCGAACGGGAAAACACGTTATAATACTACCCACAACAACTCATCATACTTATGTATGTATATATATAGTCTATTTATTTCATCCCCATTTGAACCCCTTTAAGGGATGATTTTCGGGATAAACAGTATCCTATGGTCTTGCCAGGGTCTCAAACTATTTTCTTACCAAATTTCATCTAAAGCGGTTCAGTAGATCACAAACTCACAAACTTGACCTCTTTATAATATTAGTAAAGACTAACCTTTAAAATGCACTTAGGGACGAACCTGAGCGAAGCGAGGGTGAGTCGCTAGTATAAAATATTTTTGCACTAGATCTTGATCTTAAAGCTAAAATTATATTATAAAGGACAGTCATAAGATCCGGTCTTCAATAAACCGACGTCACTAAATAATATATGTATGTATGTGTATAATATGATGAAATAAAAACTATGACTATTGACTTATGACTAAATATGATAATTAGATATGTTGGTATAAAACATTTAATTTATAATTAACTTCTATTGCCTGAGGTAATATATTTAGATAAGTTACTTTTTAAATGAAACTATATTTTCGTGTAATGCTAACAAAGTATTATCTACTTTTTAGTAAACATAATATACCGACATCAAAATCGTTTAAAATAGCATTTATTTCACACTAGGGGTTGATATTTTTTAAAATACTTAACACATCTGAGTATTCATTAAAAAAAGTTTTTTGAAATTAATAATATACACACAATACAAAAAATAGATTTAACAAAATAGGACAAAGACTACAAAACCCCACTGTGTAAAATTTTAGCACTACATTTATAAGCCAGTGCATCATGAAGCTGACTTGATCTATCTGATATACAGGAGATAGGCGTATCTGAAAGGAAATACATTGAAATTACAAAAATAAGTTTATATATACAAAAGAAATGTTTCTATAGTTTTGTGTAATCTATACATATAATAAAATTGTAACTAAGCGGAATCTGTACATTAGATGTTTTTTGGAAAATCTTATTAATATAAACATTATTATCAATACAGAGGCCGAATCTATGGTTTTTAGAATTTTTATCTGACTGTTACCGCATCACAGAAAATGCACTAGAAGGGTTTTAATGAAATTGGTATGGTGATAGCTGGGTTATCCGGGTCAACATATAGGATACTTTTTACCGCGGGAAAATATTTCATTTCTGAGAAAAAATATAAAAACTGCATTGTAAGAGTATACCAATATGTAAAACCTAAGAATTTGATAAAATTGTAAATCGGCTGCGCAGTAATTATTTTTTTTAAAAGTTAAATAATACCTACGAACATCTAAACTTCTATATGATTTTTAAAGTTCTCCTTTTATTTTACAGGTCAGCCATAGACGAGTCCAGCGGACAGGATGGCAGTTGCTTGGGAAATGAAGCGGGTATGCTCTACGGGGAGTACCTGATGCTGGACAAACTGCTCAACGCCCAGAGAATGCTCAGCGCCGAGTCTTCAAAACCTGTACACGATGAGCATCTCTTCATCATCACACATCAAGGTATTATTAAAGAAACTAATACTTAAAATAAAATATAAAACGCTCTTACAAATTAACCTATCTTAAAATTAATGTTGCATATTAAAAACTTTTTCATCATAACGTTTTAATTTATTTACAAGAAACACACTGAAATTACAAATATAGGTAATTAATTATATATACAAAACTACACTTAGATAATGCTATGACTGAATGGTAATGTCGAGAAGAAACGAGCTACCTCTCTTGTCGCTAGTAAAGGTGATAAGAAGAGGTATTATATTATGTCTTTTAAGAACTTTTATGTGTTTAATGCCCGATTTCACCAACAACCCATAAGCTACCACCTACGTATGGAATCCCTAGCTTAAAAGTTCCCCTAAACTAGCCTCTACATTAAATTTCGTTTTACCATCGACTTTAAGCCCATATTTCGAGGACCTAAATTTAGGGGACCTTTCAATATTTAGGTGACCCCTAACTGTCGGTGAAACAAAAACTATCCCCTAACAGCCCCCTAACCATGTTTAGGGGATCCCTTAAACTTAGGTGACGTTGGTGAAATCGGGCATAAGATGTCTACTGCATGTTTAGATAGAACTTATTAATGAAATAAATTTTACAAATAATATTTCTCTCATCTATTATTCTGTATCATATATAACTACCTATATATATTATACTACACAAGTGTACTCCTATTGCTGTCACTCCCATATTAGGGTGGGACGACTACTCAACACGAACGATCAGAGTTAAGGCGTAGGACCGACCGCTGTACGTGCTTTTGGAATTACGGGGTTAAACACCGTCAACTACCCAACTCCGGACGGTTGGTATTGAGAATTTCTTGACAGAAATACTCAATAACTGAAGTGGCCCTACCTTTTTTTTTAACGTTGGGAAATGCATTTACGCACGAGGTGTGGGACTCACCGCCAAGCGAGTACTACCCACTAAAACCCAACAAAGCCTTCCCCCGTCTTAATGGGGCGTCGCAGGATCGCTTACGCATTCAACTACGCACACAGTACAGTTTAAAAGTCTTACGAAGAAACCTATAAATAATACATTATTTTTTCATTTTTGTCACTTAGATCATATGATTAAGTATTTAGATTTCTATAAGGTAGATAAGTATAAAGATTAATACATACCTAATAGAAATGTAATTTTTTTTACAGCCTACGAACTTTGGTTTAAGCAAATTATCTTCGAAGTAGACTCCGTAAGATCACTACTAGACGTGGAAGGCCTGGACGAGAGTCACACTATGGAAATTCTAAAACGACTGAATAGAATCGTCTTAATTTTAAAGGTTAGTTTGCTTTTTCGTTTAAAATATTCAAAATTATTATACAGATAAATAAAATTGAAGTGTCTGTTTCTGATGTCAAAATAACAGCTTTTTACTAAATGTATATAAAATTATATACGGTACTTATAAGAAAAACACAATTTTTAAAATTTTTGTCTTTCTGTCTGTTTGTTCCGGCTAATCTCCGAAACGGTTGGACCGATTTTGACGGAAATTTCACTGGCAGATAGCTGATTTTATAAGAAGTTACCTTTTCATTTTTAACAAAGAATCAGGGTTCGACGAAAAAAATTAAAACCCATGAAATTATGAACAAAATCCTCGTACCTAGGGACGCTCCCGAGCGAAGCGAGGATAAGTCGATAGTTTGTTATAAAAGATGTCTTGTAGAATTTTTTTTAATATTAATAATAAAATTAAGTTCACATAGCAGACATTAAAAACAAGTCCATATCGACTAAAGCCTAGCTCTATCTTAAACGCCAATTCAAATATTTTTATTTCGAGTATAATTAGTAAAAGATTTTCTAAGTCAAAACTTTATCGCCATTTTGAAAAGGGAGTACTTCGATCTCAGTATAATTCTCATTAAGTTGGAAAAGCAAATTAACAATTATTCCAGTGCAGTGCAATCATAGTATCAGACTAATATTACAAACAAAAAAAAAGTGAAGGACGAATGGATTGACGGTTCAATGATTCAGAATACATATATCTTATATCATACAAGCAATGGACACTACGGATAAGACTTATTATTTATTCGTAGAATTGACAAAAAATCTTATTTTGTTAGAATAATATAAATACGTCATCTAACATTTCGCTTGTCATTTTTAATTAATGACATGAATATCTTTACTATAGAAACGTATGAATTAAATAAAACATAATATTAGTGTAGTAGAGTTGAAATGTTGTTGTTTTGGAACGTAAGTTTATCTGATGAGCACATAATTTATCGATCGAAATTAGGGCCTATATACAACACTACGTCGCCTGCTAGAAGGGCATATACACACTACACCGTCTACTAAAAGGGCAAGTACACACTACCCCGCCTACTAAAAGGGTCTATAAACACTACGGCGTCTGCTAAAAGGGCCTATACCGTACACACTATACTTCGTCTACTAAGAGGGCTAATAACAATACTGCCCGATTTCACCAACAATTCATAAGCTACCACCTACGTATGGAATCCCTAGCTTAAAAGTCCCCTAAACTAGCCCCTAAATTAAATTACGTTTTACGATCGTCTTTAAGCCCATATTTCGAGCACCTAAATTTAGGGAGCCTTTTAATATTTAGGTGACCCCTAACTGTCGGTGAAACATAAACTGTCCCCTAACAGCCCCCTAACCATGCTTAGGGGATCCCTTAAACTTAGGTGACGTTGGTGAAATCGGCCATACGTCATCTGCTAAAAGGACCTACACACTCTACGTCTTCTGCTAAAAAGGTTTATGCAGACTATTTTTACGTCCGCAGCATCAGCTACGCGCGTATCATAAACTTACATTTTTTATGCATATTCTGGGCTGATAAAGTTAAAAATTTAGATTAATTGAGTTCTTATCGATAGAAGCGTTACACTTTTTACTTACATAAACATTGAAAACGCGTTTATAAATTAACTTACTTTTTTACGCATATTCATGGTTGATAAAAAATTTTACATTAGGTACTTGTCATACAAACAATAAAGCTACAAACGCGTTACAACGCGTTTGCGGTTCACGTACAACTCATTCACATTGCATCTGAAACGCGTAGACTCTTTAGGACATTAGATGTCAAACGAAAAGTACCAATAATTTTTGCAAACTTTCTTTACTTTCTTATTAATCCAGTTGGCGCCACTGTCGAGTGAGGTCCTATAGCTGTCGTTCAAAAGTATTTGTTAGTGCGGCAGGGCCAATAAATTTAATAAAATAATGATATTGTCAGCGCGATAACAATTTCAATTTCTATCTGGATTTTAAATGCCGTACCGTGTCTGCCATAGTTAATCAGGAATTGCACAATCTTTACAATAATCGTGAATTTTAGTGGAAAATCGCTCGCAAATAGCTCGCAAACTGTAAACGCTCAGTACCATTTGACATTTCTAGAGACCTTACTTTACACAAGCGTTCTCAATATTTGTTTCAATAAGATTTTCCAAAAAATATTTAATGTACAGATTCGGCTTAGTTACAATGTTGTTATATGTATGTATTGAAAACGTTAGCCCCCGTTTTCCAATTACAGAGCATAATGTCACACTTTGGCGCACAAACTCGAACAACGCGAAAAAACACTTTTTATATATTCTGCTACTGAGTTGGATGGTCACACCAAAACAGTACTTTAGTTTTTTTACTTTACTTTAGTTGAAACATTCGAAGTTCAGCATTATGCCGCATAATGCGCTTTAGTGCTGTAAATGGAAAACAGGGAGCGTCTACTTGGCGTGGATGAAAACTAGTAAATTAATATATGCTAAGTCAATAATGTTTCGAATGAAAATTACTAAGTTATTAAAATATAATATTTTATTTTTTATTTATACTTTAATAAATAAATGAAATATATAATTAAATAATTGAAAGCATTTTTATCATAATATCTATTTATTAAAATATTTCTTAATTTTAATTTTAAATGAATTTTATTTCGAATGTCAATGTGATATTTATTCATAAATCTCCGAATCCGAAGAAGTTGTGTCAAATTAATTAATATTCAAGGACACGTAATATATTTGTAAAAATGCCAATAATGGCATAATATTAATAATAATACAACTTTAAAGTTTGCGGAAATAAACCATCACTTTGAGTAGGTGATGAAAATTTTAATATACCTAATATCTAGTACTAAGCAATTATTATTGCATATATTGTAAGTATTCAGATTTCTTAACGTCCCACAGCTGGGCACGGGCCTCCCCTCCATACGAGGAGGGGGTCCATCCATAGACCTGCAATATGGCCAAGTATGGGTTGGCTTCACATGTCTTTCGAAAACTTACTAGGTTCTCACAGACATGTAGGTTTCCTCAAGATGTTTTCCTTCGCCGTAAGACAAGTGGTAATATTGTTAGAAATGATTCGCAAGACCCGTCACCCGGGATCTGAAACAGCTTCACTTGGTTTCTTAAGCGAGCGCGTTACCACTGGGCTACTGTCTGCTTGTTATTTTTATTTTTAATTAATTAAAAATACTTTTCGTATATCAAATGAAAAAAAAAAGCTCAGCAAAAACGATGTAGGCTTCATAAAAGCTCTGTAATTCCAAAATATTAGACAGAGAGAGCAAGATAGAGGCAGAGAGGCACTGCAAGGAATAAATCTCAGAAATTAATTAACAAATATAAGGAATTATTTAACAAATTCTAAAAAATCCTTTACTTCTAATATATTACCCTAGTGTTAAATCACATACTCGTATATTATTCAAGTTAAATACGAAAAAATTTGCAATAAAAAATAATTTCTCTATCTCCTTCACGAGAGAAATATCGTAAAAGTGTGTTTTGAATATATGTAAGAATCTAATAAAGATAACTATGTATATTGTTTTGGTATAAAATTACGCATAGGCCTGATAATTCAATACTTAAAGCAGTGACATCTGACCCGGCACATCACTTTTTATCGATAAACAGCTTTCCGCTTCGAAGTAGTTACGTCCTGTAATAGACAATTAATTGATGATGAAATTTTAATGATAATTTAATGACATTGCATTTTTAAATATTTTATCATTATATTTAATGATTAATAGCATTTTTTACAATCATTTTTTAAATGTGTAACCTAATTATTAACGAGCGCGAATGTTAACGAAATTATATATTAAATTACTAGCAGAACCCGCGGCTTCGCTCGCACTAAAACTACAAAAAAACTCTAAAAAAATAGGTTTCATACAAACTTACATCCCTATTGTACCCCCTTATGGGATGAAATTCGTAAATACTAAAACACGTATTTATTTAATTGTATTGAAGAGCATCAATACCAAGTTTCAAGTAATTCTGATCATAAATATTTTTTTGGTTTGTATTATAAGTTATAACGTGTTTTGCCATGGGAATGAAATAATCTTTCTCTCTCTCTATCTATCTCTCTCTCTCTCAAACTGTCTCTACACAAAAAATTAAACCAATCCGTCAATCCGTTCCCACGTAAAAGAAGGACAAACAAGCAAGCAAACAAACAAACAAACAAACAAACAAACAAACAAACAAACAAACAAACAAACACACTTTCAAATTTATAATACTACTATGGATCTTGCTCTATGTTATCATAATTCCCAAAAAAAAAGGTTTGGATGGGAATCACTTACATATTCGATATTAAATTATTTTGGTTTTATCATTTTATTTAAAACTAGCGGCTCACCCTCGAGTCATCCTCTAGAAAAACAAAAAGAAATCTATCCCACGGGAACCGTACATTTTTCCGGTACATAAAGTAGCCTATGTGTTATTCTGATGTATGAGCTATACTCTTATTATTGTAAAGTTTCACTAAAATCCATTCAGTTTTTGGGTGAAAGGGTTACAAACTATGGCCCCGATGACGTATCCTACATAAAATAAAACAATAAAACTACTCATATTGTAAACATATATATGTTATTGTATGTATGTATGTATGTATGTATGTATGTATGTATGTATTATAATTAATCAATGAATCGCATGAATTAAAATGTCTCGACGGTATAAAATTATTTCTTATTATAAAAATATTATTTTTTCAGCTTTTAGTAGATCAAGTAATGATTTTAGAAACTATGACCCCTTTGGACTTTATGGACTTCAGACATTATTTACGGCCTGCGTCTGGCTTTCAAAGTCTTCAATTCCGACTTTTAGAAAATAAGGTAAGTAACAACTAGTCAGGTACTAAGTTAATGTAATATACCTTTACATATATGTACATACATATATCTATCCGGACGAATCGATTTCTATTGGACTTGTTCTATAGAACTTCTCGAGTGTTGACATTGACAAAAAAATTAATAAATATTATTTTGATCATTAAATAAATCCACAGATATTTAATCTTCCCATTTATATAATATTTATAACTCAAATAGAAATAACATTATAAAGGCGACTTTGCAAAATAATATAATTCTTTCAGATGGGCTTAAAACAAGCTTTACGTGTGAAATATAATCAAAATTACCAGACTGTGTTCGGGGATGACCCTGAAGCAATGGAGTCTCTGGTCAAGTGAGTTTTTTTTTTTATTATTGTTACGCTTAAATAATAATAATATAAATTATTCATAAATTATTAATGACATAAACATAGGATTTATCTTTATGTATAGGTATAAAATAATAATTTGATCTATAAGTCGTCATTCCGATATAATAAAATACTTTAGTTTTCTTAAATCTTGAGTGCAAAAACAGCGGGAAACCGTCGTGTTTTGTTTTAAAATTGAATGAAATACGCCATTCACGTCATTCCACACATGCTCTTTGGTCATTCCACTTCGTAATTTTATTTGAGTCGTTACTCTGACTCTGTACAAAATAATAAAAAACTGTGAATATTACTTGGTAAAAGAACTTTGCAATTACATGAGGCCAATATATATTTCTTAACCTGTTTTCTCGTATATTTGATAGGTATACATAATTCACGTTATCATGATAATGGTAGAAAATTCCGATATTTTTCCGGGATCAAAAGTATCCTTACCATCTTAAGGATTCAATGCCCGATCATACCAAGTTTTAACAAAATCGATTCAGTAATTTCCAGTCTATCGCGTATGTAGGGACAGACAGACAGGTATTTTTGTAAATTATATTTTTGGAACCTATATCAATGATTTGTCAACCCCTGATGATTTAAAAAAAAATATTTAATTTACAGTAATTTAAACAGTGTTTTTTATGAAATTTAAACAGGTCAGAGGAAGAACCTGCTCTCTTAGCCCTCATAGAGCGCTGGTTAGAGCGCACGCCCGGACTCAACACTCACGGGTTCAATTTCTGGGGCAAGTTCCAAGCTGCCGTCAATAAGATGATTAAGGAAGATATTGAAGAGGCTATGGTAGGCTTATTTTTCTTTAAAAACTTTATTTATGGTGTTATTAGGGTTCCGCACTGGATTGGGATAAAAAAACCCTTATCACTTCGTAATCCGTTTGTCTGCCAAGACTCTTTTTCTCAGACATACGTATAGGTACCAAGTTGAAATTAATATCATATACAATACACATAAATACATCAATACTAATTAGGTCTGCAATCCCTTGAAGCTGTGATTTTTTTTCAAACTTCTCAAGTCTATGCAAATAAAAGATATAGCCGTTTATGCCGCATATTTTGACACTTGCGAGGGAATCAAAACCTATAGGGATTAGGGAGGTACTTCCTGTTGACTCAGAGTCATGAAATTTGGCAAGAATCAATGTCTTATAGTACAAGTAAAGGAAAAAATCCGAAAATCGTAAATTTGTAGTTAGGTACATTACAAAAAAAATATTATTATTTGTTTCATGTTACGGAACCGTCGCGTCAGTGTGCGAGTCAGATTCGCACTTGTCCCATATTTTTTTTTAAATCTTTGTTTGTGTGTTATTTATGATATAACCTTTAAAGATATTTATATTTTAATTTTTTGTCGTTTATTTTGGAAGGTTTATATTTCTACATGTACACGATTTATAGTGTTTTGTGATGGCGTACTAGATATTTATGTTAAGAACGAACGCTCATGCAATATGCGCTTCATATCATTATATTTGTAGGGAATGTTGAAATATTGTCGTTATTCCCTACCAGCCCTCCTAATTTTACCATACTGTTTAGGTTCTCAATAAAACAGTATAAATTAATTAACCAATCAATTTCCAGAAAGAACCAAACGAGGAAGTGCGCCGCCACCGGCTCAAGGACGCGGAGAACCGCAGCGAGATCTACCGCTCGATATTCGACCCCGCCGTGCACGACGCGCTGCGCGCGCGCGGCGAGCGCCGGTGCGTACATACACACATACATATACATACATAATACATCTATATACGTGAAGCAAAAACTTTGTACCCCTTTTTACGAAAATTTGCGTGGACGGAGGAGTATGAAACCCACACTCATAGTTTATATAGAGAAGGAGTGCAGAATGCTTATTTTTTTTTAATTATGCATAACTAGCATTGCCCGCGGCTCCGCCCGCGTTCAGATGACCAAAAACTAAATTCTTAGGTGTTACATATTAGTATACTCTTACATTGCAGTTTTTGTATTTTTCCTCAGAAATAAGATATTTTCCCGCGGTAAAAAGTATCCTAGGATCGCGCGCTACATCGCCCGGTTTATATAGCTTGAGCAGGCGGTCGAGCGATGCGGGGCAGAGGGGATGGACTCGCCGTAGGCATCTCAATGCTCGCCAAGCATTAAAAATGTTTCGCTACTAATTACTTCTAACAACGATATCTCAAAAACTATTCATCTGATTGATTTAGTGTAAAGAGCAATTTTAATCTGCATTAAATGACTAAGCTAACTAAAATATTCATTTGGATAAGGATTAATACCGAACTAAAGAAAATAACTTTGAAAATAACGTAATGTTTTTAATTAAAAATGTTAACATAAAAGTGGTTATTGTAAGTCAACCGTAAGAGATAGAGATATGCTATCGCGGACTTTTTTGTAGCATTTTTATAGATTTTGAATTCTCTAGTACATTACTTAACTGTATCTTTGCTAGTTTACGCGGCGTTCGCGTGGAAAGTTCCCATTTGGCGAGATTTTTTGCGACCTCTTCAACATTTGTCGCCGTATTTCAGCTAATTTACATAAAAGCATAATAAATTATATACCTAAACCTTCCTCAAGAATTACTCTTTCTATTGTTGAAAACCGTATAAAAATCCGTTCAGTAGTTTTCGAGTTTATCGCGTACAGACAGACAGGAGGACAGACAGGAGGACAGAAAGACGCGGCCGGGGGACTTATTTTTATAATAAGTATAGAAGAATACATTAAATCAATAAAAAAAAACTTTACACACACTACCATGTATTTGACACACACACGCATATATACTCTTTTGTTTATTGTTAAAGTCTGTGTTCAAATTGAGAATTATGTATTAATAGGTGAAGCAAAAACTTTGTAACCCCTTTTATATAATATAATTAAGGGATACCGCAAAACGTTTACAAAAGAGTTGCTTCAACTCAACAAGTATAAAACCAGTGCGATAACCAGAATATTTACTGGTCACTGCAAACTCAATAAACATATGTTTACCCTCGGCCTCAGTCAGACCGCAATGTGCAGACTATGCCATGAGACAGAGAAAACTGCTATGTACATCCTCTGCTCGTGCGGTCCACTCATGCACCGCAGAAGTATCTATCTAGGGCAGCTTATTATGCAACCGCAAGAGATACAGATGCTCCCCGCTCAGAAAATCTGAAAGTTCCTGGAGTCAACAGGACTAAGCGGAGAACTTTGAACTCATTCTAAAAGGAGCTACAATGGTCCAAAACTGGTCGACATAGCTAGGGCCGACCACGGCACCACACCCAACATAATAATAATAATAAAATAATAACCCTTTTTAAGAAAAATCGATAATAATCATGGCGAACTCTAGTACATTATAAAGGCTCAAATCTACACAGTGAAGAAGTAACAACAACACACGCACGCACGCACACACACACACACACACACACACACACACACACATACTTTTTGGAAAATCTTATTGAAATAGACATTACTATCGATACAGAGGCCGAATCTATAGTTTTTTGAATTTTTGTCTGTCTGTTTGAAAACGCATCACACGAAAACTATTAGACAGATTTTGATGAAATTTGGTATGATGATAACTAGGTGTCCGGGTCAACATATAGGATATTTACGGAGAGAAAATATCTCATCTCTGAGAAATCAATACTAAACGTTAAAACGTAACTAGAGATGAACCCATATGTAAAGAGATTTTATACGCGCGCAGGCTGTCGCACCGCGCGCTGCAGGGCGCCATCATGATCACGTTCTACCGCGACGAGCCGCGCTTCTCGCAGCCGCACCAGCTGCTCACGCTGCTCATGGACATGGACAGCCTCATCACCAAGTGGAGATGTATGTTATACTTTCTTTGATTTACGCTAATATTTGACATTTTAAATAAAATTATCTTTTCGGAGCTTTTCGCGGATTTATTTTGATTTTTGGTGCCCTTTTTTCCGCGAAAAGATAGTTTTATTTAAAATGGAGATGTATGTATTCAGGCCTTTATAACGTCCCACTGCTGGGCACGGGTCTCCCTTCAATACGAGGGGGATCATGCCATCCACCACGCTAGCCAAGTGCGGGTTGGCGGACTTCACATGCCTTTCGAAAACTTGCTAGCTTCTCTCAGACATGCAGTTTCTTCACAATGTTTTCCTTCACCGTAAGGCAAGTGGTACTCATGTTGGAAATGATTTGCACATGAAAACATCAGAGGTGCGAAACCCGGGATTTGAACCCGCTTCACTTGATTTTCAAAGCGAGCGCGTTATCACTGGATTACTACTGAGTTTTCTGGAGATGTACGCTCATTATATTACTAATTGTATACCTTATATTTACTAATAGTACTTGGGTGACCGAGCTTCGATTGGCGTTTTACGGAATAGATAATTGCGAATGGATAAAAGATTAAAAATTGCGTTTTTTTTTTTTAATTTAGAAAGACACCATATAGAGATAACCTTAAAAAGTAAAACCCTACCTAAATACAAAGTTTGATCCAAATCGTGAAAACCGTTTCCGTGATACACAAAATACAAAAATTATTGCAGTTGTCGTCGAATTCATCCATTGGTTTTTGAGATAAAAAATTTTGAAATTTAATTTTTTTTTCCCATACTATTTCTTTAGAAATTGGAAATTCGCGATGCGCGACCTTTTAATATTAATATTAAGAGTTCCGGGTTTCGGTTTTCATAGGCATCTATTCTCACTTACCTGAATCTATTTTCGAGGGGATTTCGAAAAAAAATTATAGTCGATTTTTGTTAAATCAGTCGTCTAATATCCATACTTACTAATATTATAAATGTGAAAGTTTTGATTGACGGATTGGCGTATTTTTTTGTGCGGAGACAGTTGGAAGGCTGGAGAGACATAGGCTACTTTTAACCGTGGGAATTATCTCATTCCCACAGGAAAACACGTTATAATACAACTCAAAAATATTTATGATCAGACTTACTTGAAACTTGCCATTAAAGACCTTCAATACAATTAAAAAAAAAACGTGTTTTAACATTTCTCGAAATTCATCCCATATGTGGGTAAAATATTACATAGGAGATGAGTTTTAGAACGAGTGAAGTCGCGGGTTCTGCTAGTACACACTAAATATATATATATACATATATATATATATATATATATATATATATATATACACATTGTATTGTTATATTTATAGATAACCACGTGATAATGGTACAGAGAATGATCGGCTCCCAGCAGCTCGGCACCGGCGGCTCCTCCGGCTATCAGTACCTGCGGTCTACACTCAGGTATGATATATATTATTTTCGTGTGTGTGTGTATGTATGTGCGGCGTGTGTGTGTGTATAAAGCGAGAGCAAGTCGTTAGTAGTATATTAATTAACTAGCGCACGCAAAAAACGCACACACATATTAGCTAGCTAACTATATATCTGTGTGCGTTTTACGCAAAAAGTACTAAATCGATTTTAGCTGTGTAGTGATAAGTTATTACTGCTAACATTTAGGATACCTTTTACACCAAAACAATGAAATTGTAAATCTTAAAGAGGCCTACAGAAAAGTCCATGATAGTATGTGGCTATCTTCTAAGATGCACTGGCAATAACTATTTATATCTATTTAACACACCTAGAGTCGCTAGTTAATAATATGACCATGTTTTTATATCAAAGTGTTCTCAATCAATTTCAGTGACCGCTACAAAGTTTTCTTGGATTTATTCAATCTATCAACGTTCTTATTACCGAGGTCACTCATCCCGCCCCTCGATGAAGGGATGAAGAGAGATCTCAACCTCACGTGGGGGGATAATAAGGAAAACGGGAAAAGCGAACAAAATGGACTAAATGACTCGGTTTCTAAATTAAATCTAAATGAATAATTTTGATTTGTTATTAGTTAAGTTTGTATACAAATAAATTGTGACTTCATTATTATTAACTGTTAACGTTCAACGTATCGTTGTTTCAGTGCTTATTTGTTCTAATGACCAATTTACCGAAAGAGTTTTTAATATAGAATTTTAAACGTTAATTCTATTGGTATTACATACACATTTTACTCTAAATGTATTTTATGTATATATCTATACAAATAAACAAAATTGAAGTGTCTGTTTGTAATGTCAAAATAATAGCTTTTTACTAAATGCATAGGAAAATATACCTATCTATAAGAAAAAAAATTCTGTCTGTTTGTTTATTGCGGTTAATCTCAGAAACGGCTGGACCGATTTTGATGGGACTTTCACTGGCAGATAGCTGATGTTATAAGGAATGACTTACGCTACTTTGATTTAAAAAGAATCAGGGTTCCGAGGAAAAAAATGAAACCCATGTAATCGTGAACAAATCGGCGTATTGAGGGACGCACCCACTCGAAACGAGGGTTAGTCGCTTGTAGAAAATAGAACTAAAGTACAAGTATTGGTCGTTTGAACAAATAAGCATTAAACAGACATTATGGCTCTCTCGGCCGTTAGAGTTTAAGAGTAGGGAAATATCAAGAGAAAGGACACTTATCTCCAGGGCTGCCAGATCGTATAATTGGATACGAAAATTGTAAAATATGGTTATTGGTTTTTCTATGTACATATATTTCATTTTAAGTTATTACGTATTTTTATTGAATTTTTTATATTCATCATAGACTATTTCTCAACAGTTTTATTAATTTGTATAATAAAATTTCATTTGGTATAATTTGAGTAAGCCAGTTTTTATAAGTTGGCTCTACTGGCAGCAGTTGTCTCTACTGGCAGCCCTGGTTATTTCCTTCAAATGGTTGTTTTAAAATTAAAAAAAAAAGAATTAATAATTTTAATTATTATTTTATTATTTAAAGCAAATAAAGTGATTAAGCAATGGCTAGACCTCACATGGGGAGATGTCAAAAAGAAAATTTTAGGTGAAAAAGCAGTGAAAGTAATTTTAAGTTTGTATCAAAAATGGCGGCGTCCACCTCAGCATAAAAAGACTAAAGCTAGAAGTGGAAAATGTAAAGGATAAGGCAAAACTAAAATAAATAAATTAAATGGCAAATTCTAAATTTAAATAAAATAAGTTTTAATATAATTTCAAGTTGTTAGTTGTACTTTTATTTTGTAAACAAACAAACACTGACTTTATCGATGCCCCAAAATGTGTGAAGCTCATTAAAACTCAAAATATAACCTCTGTTAGGAGTATTTTTTCTTCCAAGTTAAATGACGATGAATGCAATATATCCTAAGTATTTAATAAGTCATTTAAACAACATTTAGGAAGAGAGTGGAAATAAAGCATTTCTGTCGAGATTGAATGAATGAAAGCCAATTTTGTTCCTTATATTTAGCCATTGATATATAAAAACATAGATACACATTGCCTAACAAATATTTCTTCAAAAAGTGGCGTTGACGTGTGACGTTAAGTCAAACCAAAGAATAAAATTCAAATATCGAAAATTCCAATTGTCTAAACACAAATTCGAACTTAAGCACACCACATAAAGTACTTTTTTAAACGAAACAATGTGCGTTTTAATTTTGTCATCCGAAAAGCAATAAACAAAAGCATGAACGAATTGTGGTTAATTCGTTCATGAACAAAAGATATTTGTAAAAGCGCAATTGTTCCAATTGTGCACTTCTTTTTGAGGACACTTTTGAGACGCTAAATTGTGTATCTTGAGTTTTTTTTATATCAATTAATGTATTTAGCATAATTTAGATAAGTATAATTATGGTAATCCGTAATGACATTTTTTATTAATAAACCTTTAAATGAAGTTTTTTTTTCTTCTATAACTATTAACTAACAGCTTTATAATGAAATAAGTACAACTGTGTGTAACATTTTTAATAAATATAATAAAATAAATACATTTGTAGCAAAATTTTCATATTTAAAAAAAATTATCAACATTTTGATATATCATTTAACATATTATTGCCTCTATTATATTATGTAATAGGTAATTCGTTGATTGCTTCTTTACAACTTATTATTAATAAAAAAATTAAAATGGCACGAATGGCAGTTTGATAGATAAAATCACTAGCATCTGAAATCAATTTGAATTGAATTGAACTGAATTTACGATTGAATAACTTCAGGCACACCATTCTTTTTAGCACCGAATCTATAGCTGACTACGTGGCGATAAATTTGTCCAGGACTCAGTATGGGACTTGGGAAGTTCCTATGATTAATAGCATCAGGGAAGTTCTGGGTTTCTAGACAAAAAGCGCCATGGCGTCTGTACCCTACACCATCCTTTCCTATTAAAGCCGGTTCACTTGGAGACGGTAAGAAGTTACTGGTATAAAGCTGAACTCCTGGCTGGTTACTGTATACTTCTAAATATCTGCCTGATGATGGATGGGTTACGCGGGATACGAAGTTTAGACTCTAAAAGCAAGTACGTATATATAAATAATACATTGTAATTAATGTTTACGACTTTAGATGTAACTCGGCAACAGTCGTCGTCTCAGTGCTTATTTGTCTAAACGACTTTACCGAAAGAGTTTAATACAGAATTATTTAATTTTTAATTTTAATTTTATTCATAAAAATACACATATTACTTAAATAAAGCCGATAACACATATTTTTATTTATATATTTGTATCAATCTTAAAAATAACGCTTTGTTTTAAAAAAATAAGAAACTCTACTGTAGTAAAATAAGTATTGGTTGTTTGAACAAGTAAGCACTAAAGCCAACAATTGGACTGAACAAAAATTCGGTCGTTACAGTCGTCTTTGAAATATCTTAAAAATATCTCCTATCCAGAAATAACACATGCTTATGTGAACTCATATTTTTTTTACTATGTAACTATACATTCTTGATTTTTCATAATTTGACTGCAGAATTGGCTAGCGGTTTGACATAAGATATTTACCAATGTATCCAATTTCAGCGATATCGCTCCAATAGTCTCTAAGTAAGATAACGGTGACATACAGACAGACATACGGACAGAACGTAACAATACGAGTATTTTTGCCTTGTGGCTACGGAACCCTAAAAATGATAAATTACAATATTTTACCTGTTCATTATGCGAAGTAACACAGAAGTTATCATCATACAGCCCATTATCGCGGGACATGGCGTCGCCAAGGCGAGTGGGGACGCGCAGGTCAAATGGCGTACCTCCAACTCTGATAAATCGTCCCGTCGGGATCGATTCTGACGTTGTTTCTGTTATTCTGTAAAAATAAAACAAATGTATAAAAGAATCTCTCTTGCGTGAGAAGAAAGGTAAAATTTGGTCCCATCTTTTCGCCTAAGACTGCGTGTAAGACGACGTTATCGAACACCGCTGTATATTGCTCCGCTGATATGCAGTCATTTTTATCTTCACTCTTTCCTAGTAGGTATATATTTTAACATTATACATATTGCGTATCTATCCAGTAGTGTTGGTACCATAATAAATTTTAAATAAAATTATGTTTAGATCCAGGTTTAAGCGAGGACTATCGGGGCCCAGCTAAAAAAAAGGTCATTCTACTTTTTGACATTAACCATGGTGTGATTACTTAATAGCATTAACTATGCCAATTTATACAAAAAAAATCTCCTTTTCACACAAATTATAATATACACAGATTACAATAGTACACTATACATTTTGCAGCCCTTTTTAACGTCCCCCTACTGGGCATGGGCCTCACTTCAATACGAGGGGATCAGGTCATAGTTCACTAGGCTGGCTAAGTGCGGACTTCACGTATCTTTTAAAAACTTGTTAGATAAATTTCCTCGCGATGTTTTCCTTCACCGTAAGACAAGTGATAATCATGTTGGAAATGATTCGCGCATAAAAATATCAGAACGAGATCCGGGATTTGAACCCGCTCACTCAGTTTCTCAAGCGAGCGCGTTAACAATAGGCTATCACTTAGCCTAATGGCTTCCATATACTATATATGTACCTACTACTTACTTATCAGCATTGATAACAATATAGTGCTTAAACAGTTCCTCGGATCCAGCGTCGTGACCCGCCAGGTTGAAGTATGAATGGTTGGTCAAATTGACAACAGTTTTCTTAGTAGTGCTCGATATATACTCTATATTTAACGTGTCGTCATCAGTCACTACGTATTGCACGTTAGTTATCAGGTCGCCTGGGTAGTTCTCCTCACCGTCTTTGGACAGGTAACTGAATGTTACTTTAGTGCCATCTACTGTATAATTCCATACAACCTGGAAATTATATAAAATTGCCTATTAATAAGATATTCTCCATACCCATTTTCCAATCACTCGGGGTCGGCGCAGTACATCTTCCGAAATGCTGATAGGATTTGGCAAAAGTTTTACGACCGGCCGCCTGTCTGACGTCAACCCTCCTTGGGACTGCTATTGTCTCTCTTTGTCTGAATGGTGTCGCGGAAGTCTTGTAATTATTATGCACTTTCAATTTTGTTAACAGACATTAATAATAAATATTTAAACCATTGATGAAATTAAAGAAAATTAAATTAAATTAACATATTAATATCTTATTAATTAAATTAACCAATTGATGAAATTGAAGACTAATTCAATTGCCAAAGATATTTTTCGCCAATAATATAGTATTCGTTGAGAAGTACTTGTAAAAGTCTAATTGGGTGTATTTATATATCAATAAAAAAAGTAGTAGATACACAATCGTCAATCAGTGACAAAAAAATGTCCTCACCGAATGAGCGCTCATTTGAACATTTGAGCGCGCTTTTAACTTTTTTTTTGAGAAAACAACATTACGCATTGCATTTAAGGTTCAATTTTGCTAAATTATTTTTTTTTCCTACCTGATCAAAACCGACCAGACCTCCATGCAAATGGTCCTTGCCTACATTCTTAGCCAGGTTGTAGGTAACTCCATCGATAGTGAAGGTGGCGTTGCCGATCCTGTTCGCGCATCTCCCTATGGTGGACCCTAGATGCGGCGAGTTCCTTTCTACGTACCCGTCGATATCATCGAAACCGAGCACCACGTCACTATTCGCGCCATTCTTATCTGGAACCTTGAAATTCATAAAACCGTTTAACATTCTATAGAATTCTCCATTATTTATTATAGGAATGAGGGATTTTAATATGGGAGATGATGATCATATATATCATCTCATCAAATGGGCAGCATTTCCCAATTATTTGGGGTCGGCGCAGTACCTACATTTTCCGTAACTACTGCCGATAAAATAAAATAAAAATACTGCCAAAAATATATGATGGTCTGATAAAATTGGGATTATTGTTTTATGGATAATTCCGAAGAAAGTTAGATATAATAATAAATATTATTATTCGCCCAGTTGTTGAAATCCGACCAAAAAATTTATTATTGAAAATTTTAGGAAAACATGTGATTAGAATTTACCTATCGATATTCTATATACAAAACTTTTTCCAAAATTTAATCGTCTCGCTTGTCAATAGGCAATTACTAGACAAAAAAAGAAGAAAATCGGTTGACAAACAGAGGAAAAAGAGGTACTGAAGTTATATTTTCACTTTGTCTATTTATACAGATTATATAAACAGTTAGACAACAACATAAATCAACGCAAAGAACTTAAAAATAATAAAAGTTAATATTTTTATAACACCAACATTTTTCTAGGAAAAGATTGGTTTTAATGTTCGCCAATTATACCTAGTAAAACAATTTTATCGTAAAAGAAATTTCATACACTTCCTTATTTTAGAAGCAATATGAATAGACTTAAAATAGCATGTATAAGTAAGAAAAATTACCTCAATAGATTGTACGATTGCTCCGTACGATATAACGGAAACTGAAAAGCCGCTGTCGGTGGTCCAAATAAACCTCTTTACTGGCTCCTTCTTGAACGTGCCGAATGGCTCTATATTTAACTGTACCATTTTCTAATTAAAAAATAAAATATTTATATTAATCTACGTCTAACATTTTACTTTTGTAAAACCTATTTTGCTGTTAAAATATAACATATTAAAATTAAATTAAGAAAAAAATAATTTTTTTTTGGTAATCTTAAGTATTTATTTGATAATCTTGTAACTACATAATAATAATAAACATATAAAAATGTCAAAAACCTCGAACCCACTATCATCGTCTGACAACATTACGGCATATAAGTATTATTATCTAATATGTAAGTATATGTTATACTTTAAATATTAAGAAAAAACAATGATTTATCTAAATTGAACAAAACATTATCAGACGTTGTTATCACACGATTCGTTCGCCTAAGATTATCTCACAAAAACACCGGCAAATGACAACTTACCAGTTTAAAATTGTTTCAAAAAATATATAAAAGTATTGTTTTTATGCTATATAATGCTATTTTATTATATTATTTTACGGGTATTTGTTACTATTAAAATAATGATATGTAATAAATAAAAGATATAACTAAAACACTTACATCGCGCAAACGATAGAGACCCAACGCCTTGAAGTTTACAACGTGACTGATTTGAACTTGTTCCCGTTCTGTGGAGTGTGGACTGAACTCTGAAGTGAGCAACGCTTGAGAGTCACATATATATTTTGTTGGTGTTTGATATCTGTCACCCCCACACCAACGTTGCATAACACTAGTTAAATACTGCAGCTTTTTGCGGTATTTTATATTCTACATATTATGAATTATCATAATTAAGCTAAGCATTCAGAATCCTGGCTATGATCATCAGTCGAATGATGAAAATGATTTACTCATAAAAATATCAGAGGTCCTTAGTTTTGAACCCTCTTCACTCGACTTCCCAAGCGAGAGCGCTATCACTGGGTTATCACTGTATTTTACATATTAGAAAGCTCTTTATTAAAGACAACATATAAAAATATATACAGTTTAAGTTTAGCGCGCAATACGGGTCTCCTGTTATATCTATGCCTCGTCCCGTCTCTATTCTGAGAGTGATCAGTGACACTCGTTGAAAAGCCTAATGCCTATCGCGGCCTCTCAATATAAATTAAAGAGTCATTGACCTTTATTGATTTTTTTATTGACTTATCCTGTATAGGTAAGGCAATGCAGAGTGTATACTATTTATCGAAATCTAATAATAGATATGTAATTAATAATATTAATTCCATTGTTTTCATTTAATTGTTCCAGAAGGTCATCCATCATTTTTATTAGTTTAAATATAGCTACTAAGGATTTGACCTTTTTTCCTAGAATAAAAATATAATACATGCAACATATGAAATGGCATAAGAAATTAACGATTACGTACATACAGATAAACGGAATCGATATATAAAAAATAGAACTTAGTTTTCTGGAAATTATTTTAGTAAAAAAAATAGCTACATATATTTTCTGTCATTTTGTGGTCAACTAAAATGTACTTGAACTCTCCTTGACTGATAGAAGAAACCAAAAACACTGTTACCAAATTATATTATTGAAACTGTTATTTTATCATATAAATAAAGTGGTATATTATAAACACTTGAGTGGTTACTTATCTTATCGAAATTAACCATTAAAATTTTACACCCTGTGATTATTAACAACATTTCATGACAAGTGCCTGTACTATCACTATTGAAATAATAAATATTAATTCTTTCTATCTCGAGATAAAAATCAGTATTTTTAAATTTATTAAATAGTAAAGAAAGGTTTGAGTAAAGGTGGATGTAGTAAATCAGTAGATTGTCAAACTATGCAATTCATACTAATATTATAACATATTAAAAATTAAATTTATAAATGAGTGTTTTTTCTTACTTATTCCCTGACGGAATAACTTGATAGTTGGAGGGCTGGAGAAAATGACATAGGCTACTTTTTATAGCAGGAAATTATCTCATTCCCATAAATAACTTATCATACCTATGTATATATATACATAATAATTATATAGTCTATCCATTCCATACTAAAACGTATCTAGGGACGAATTAGAGCGAAGCGAGGGTGAGTCGGCCAGTATGTTATGCTATGAATCTGTAAACTAAAATATCCTGCATTTAATTAAACAAATTGAAGTAAAAACAACTTTTAACCTTAAAAACTTAACATAAAATAAAAGCGCCATCTGTTAATATGCACTATAAACTATGACTTCGTTTATTGATTTAACAATATTAAAGTACGCTTTGATTTACGAACTCATTATTTCCTTTTCTTTCACTTATTGTTAGAGTATTTCTGAAACTAATAATAAAATTAAGGAATTATATTTTTATCTTGTGTTTTGAGTTTTAACACAAACTTTAATAAGGAATCTATATAACGCCATCTATTGGCATTTTTTTGAACTATTTTTTTATTGACGGGATCTTTTCATAATAATATCATAGTTAATTACCAAATTACTTAAGCTCATACTGAATATTTTTTTATTTTGAAATATAAAATTTTGGGGTGAAGATATAATAAATATATGGGAAATAAAACAAAATAGATCAGCGGCAAAAGTTTATTCGAATAGCAAATTGTAAATTCTTTATAAAAAACCTAACATTATATAATTTTGTTCTTTTTTCTAACATAACAAAAACAAAACACATAAATACTTATAATAATGGCACACATATTGTTCAATAAAAATATTTAATAAAAAAAGTAAATAATGGAATGTAAAAAATATCAGTACTTGAATAGCTGCTTAGGATTTAAATACAAATAAAAAAAACAAAATAACATTTTTGGAAACCAATAAATTCAACAATTTTTACAAACAATAACTTATTTTATTCGTTTTAGTACATTTCTTCAGCGCTAATAACGTCCCACTGCTGGGGGTGGGTCTCGCTTCAATACGAGGGGGATCAGGCCATAGTCCACCACGCTGGCCAAGTGCGGGTTGGCGGACTTCACATGTCTTTCGAAAACTTGCTAGGTTCTCTCAGACATGCAGGTTTCCTCACGATGTTTTTCTTCACCGTAAGATAAGAGGTAATCATGTTGGAAACGATTAGCATATGAAAATATTAGAGGTGCGAGATCTAGATTTGAACCCGCTTTACTCAGTTTCCCAAGCGAGCGCGTTACCACTGCCTCGAATAGCGTAAAATAAATACATTATGTATATATACTGAATGTTCTCGGTGAAATTATAATATACCTAACCCCATGATATTGTAAGAAAAAGAGAAAAAACTTGGGGTAGTTATAAGTTCACTAGTTAAATTAACGATTTTTTACAATTACCCTGCGACATATGTATATACAAAGGAGGACATACATATATGTTTGAGGGGTATTCTTGAGATGGCTCGGGACATCTGCGTTCAGATAATAGTTACTATAGAGACAAGTATGACATGAACGTAAAACTAAATTTATTCAAATTTACATTTTTATATACATACATATAGGTATGTGGTAATAATTTATAGAAGCCATACTTATAGGCTTTTATAAATTATTTGACAATTTTTGGTTGTTATTTAAAAAAGATTTAATAAAAAATGAAAATATCGGTAAAGATCTTAATGCCTGTCGTTTCGTAGGTATTTTTAAAAAACGCAACAAAGTTACTTAATATATAAAGTATAATTATAATTCGTCAATTTATTATTATTAGTTATAGATTATTGTTTAAGTTTTTATGAGAATATTTTTCCTTTATTTTATTAACAACCTTTATATAATCAACCACAATTATTAATATTTACTGTTAAAGAAATTACAAAGTGACATTATTTATAACTAGGTTAGGTTGATTCCCCATACAAACCTTCATCCCCATTTTCACCCTCTTAAGGATTGATTTCCGGGATAAAAACTATCCTATGTCCTTCCCAGGGTATCGAATATGGTATAAAAATATGGTATCTTCTTACCAAATTTCATCTAAATCGGTTCAGTAGTTTCGGAGCTTATTAGGCACAAACAAATAAACAAACAAAAAATCTTTCCTCTTTATAATATTATAGTATAAATTAAGCTTAAATAATCACATATCTTAAAATTGACAAACACGTAATTCTATAGAAATATTAAATTAAAGAATTATTAAAAAAGTATTCCTATTTTAAATAAAACTTTGACCTATTTATTTTGGTTTTTGGTTGCTGACATTCTAAATGGTCACAGGAGAGACCAAATCAGAATAAATCGCGAAAAAATCCAAAGAGATAGTTTTATTTAAAATATCAAATATTCGCGTAAATCTAAGAAAGTATTCTTATATTACTCAATGATACTATTTCAAACATTACAAAAACCTTGTACATAGTATATTACTGAGAAAAAATTACATGAAAAAATGGCAAGATTTTGGAAGGCACTTATTCACATCACTCATAAACATGTTATATTATATTTTTATAATTATCTCATAGAACTACAATTATTGATAAATTTATTGCTTAAATGTACATTCTAAGGTACCTTTGAGTCTTTTACAAAATTAGCTTAAACACTTTTAGTTACATTTATATGCGTATAATTATATATGTTAAAAATAACATATATAATTTTAGTATTAATAGTAAAAATGACGGAATATTTGATAAAATATATCTTACTTATTAGGTATGAGTGTGATTTTTAATGAATTTTAACATTTAATCAAATATCTATTTTGACTTATAAAAAACAGTACAATTTCTCGTACTCATTCAAAAATCACAATTTTGTACAAAAAAAACAAAGTAACCACAATAACTTGGCAACACTAGACTACAGTTTAACCTCTATACTGGCAACCTCGTTGGCAAGTCCGCACACATTGTTGCCAATAGCCAGCTGTATATATCCCGCTTTGCCAAAATTCTTCCCCCATGAATTCTTAGCAATATAATAAGGCACTTCTGCTGATAAATCATAACCTACCAATTCTACCGCATGGTTGAGCTCCGCGGGACTACCACTGAAAAAGAAATTTATATTTATGTTATTATTACTATAAATAAAAGACTAAATATTAAACGAGCAATTCTTGTACATATAACATAATCATATACATATGTATTAATTTATTTATTGTATTTCGGAACGGTTGTATCTCGGAAACGGCTCTAACGATTTGGATCAAATTTTGCATTTTGTTAAGATTTGGCTTTTGAATTTATCTATAGGTGTCTTTTCCGAAAAAACGCAACACATTATAACTAATTGTAAGACTTTCTATCTGCTGTTATGCTGACAATGTTATATAGTACCATCTCGTAAATGTTTGTGGTACTTGCATTGTGGTACATGCCAATGGATAATAACCTACTGAACGAAGTTTGGGTGTGTAATCAATCCTGCAGCGCCCCATTTAGACGAGGTAAGATCCGTTGGGTTTTCACTGATAGTACTGGTGTTTCTAGCTGGTGAGTCCCAAACCAGAGTCGTATTAACCATGTCGGGGGCCCCCAGGCAAGGCAGTTCTTGGGGTCCTCTCACCCTTTTCTAACTTATTGAAATAAAATTTTTCTACCACAATGCAATCATATTTATAATTACGCTATTAGGTACATTTCATAGAAATCTAACTGTAACTGTTATATAATTTTGTCCTCGTGGTGGAATTTTAACCCCTATTTTGAATTTTTTTTAAATAAATATTCACTCGATAAACCATTTTCAAATGTTTTTTTTTCGGTGCGTGGGGCCCCTAGGCATTTACCTACACTGCCTTATGGATAATCCGGCCCTGTAACTACCTGCATGTATACAGGTGGTATGCGTAAATGCATTTCCCAACATTAAAAAAAGGCACCAAGAGAGGCACCCGAACGAAGTCAGGGTATTTTCTAGTGACAATAAAAGACAAATCACCTGCAATGGTACTGTATTACACCGCCGAGGTAGTTCTGCCAAGTGAGCGCGTTCACCGCCACCGACACCGGCCCGTGCGACGCTATCAGCTGCAGGATCTTGTCCTCAGCACCCACGAAACTGTACATAACATATACGTACATACATAGATATATTTAGAAAGAAAAATAGCTTCAATTTAATGTTTCTAGTTCATATAAAGTATGAAACTTGAATCATTCTTAGGTTACGGATTTTCTTTTGCAGATGAGTAGTCTATTTCAGGGATCTAATAACAAGGGAGGCAAAATCCCATATAATGCCAAACGTTGATTATTCGATTAAGTCTTTAGATTTAAGTTTCTTAGTTAACTGACTTGTTTTAGCATTAAAATACAGCTTCAAATAAAAGATATCAAATTCATACTTTTATAAATACATTATAACCGTAAATATTTTAAATGTTATTAGTTTTTTGTAAATGACTTTAACTAGACTTTGCCACCTTTGTTATTAGGCCCCTGATTTAATGATAATAGTTTCCCTTCCCTCATCGTAAGGCCACTCAATGATATTCTTGTCGAAAAATATTTGCCCATGAAAATGCTAGAGTTGATAGACCCGAGATTTGAATTCGCATCGTTTCGTTTACCAAGCTAGGCTAAGTTTGAGCTACTACTGATCTACATCCTCCACAAGCCCGACGATCTCCAATTCCCTTCAACCCAAATCAGATCCTAACAGGTTTTACCGGAAATTTCTAACATAGGCCACAATTCGAACTTTTGTTATAATAATGCCATATCATGCCAAGACCATATGATCAGCCGTACATTCTAGCCATCAGGCCAATAAGGCAGTAATTGTTTGTATAGATACCATATCCCTACTAATATTATAACTGTGAAAGTGTGTTTGTTTGTTTGTCTGTCTTTCTTTCACGTCAAAATAGAGTGACGGATTGACGTGATTTTTTGTGTGGAGATAGTTGGCGTACTGGAGAGTGACATAGACTACTTTTTACAGCGGGTGATTATCTCATTCCCACGGGAAAACACGTTATAATATATATAAACTTAGTATTAATGCTCTTCAATACAATTAAAAATACATGTTTTAGCATTTTTCTAAATTCATCCCATAAGAGAGTAAAATACAGGATAAAAGTTTTTTTTAGCGCGAGCGAAGCCGCGGTTTCTGGTAGTAAATTATAAAGTTAAAATATCACTTACTCATCGCAAGTGAACGTCTCGACCTTAACGCCAGTAGCGTTGACCTTCTTCATACAGGCCCCATTCATGAGTCGCAGAGGGTACGCTTTGTCTGACTCCACCGCAGTGTCAGTCATTAATAGCCAGTCCAATAACAGACAAATATCGCCTCCCGCACACCCGCTGTTCCCCAGACCCGCACAATCTATCACCTCCTGGAATGTTCATGAATTTAAGTTTAAAATTAAAAATATATCTATACTAATATTATAAAGAGGCAATGTTTGTGAGTTTGTGATGTAGTAGGGGGTAATCTCTGGATCTACTGAACTGATTTAGATGTTTGGTAAAAAGATAGTTTGAGACCCTAGGAAGGACATATGATACTCTTTATCCCGGAAATCATCCCTTAAGGGGGTGAAATTGGGGATGACAGTTTGTATTGGGAGGCAAGCTAGTTATTGAATAAAGCTCATTACACTATCACGGAATACTTTGAGAATGTCAATGTGAGGACTAATGTCTGGTTGGGTCTCACGTAGGATAAGTAGATAATTATTGTATTATAATATTGTAAGCAAATATTATTTTAAAAGAGCAACTGTTGAGTTTCTCGCCGGCTATTCTCAGCAGAACTGACTTCCGAGCCAGTGGCAGATTCCTCACAGAGGTTTAATTTAACTTTTTTAAATGTAAAATTGACAATTAAAAAGTGCTTGTAAAAATCAATTTGAATAAAGTATATTTTGATTTGATTGATTTAAAAAGAAACAAGAATATAGTAAATTATTGTATAATTTTATGGGTAGTTGCCGTCTGTAACAACTATATAAATAACTTTTGAGACGTCTAAAAAAATTCTCTCCAGTGACCGTGTTTACTGCAGAGCATGCGAAACGTCGGGAAAAAATAAATAATATAAGCGCGATTAAATCCGCAAATATAATTTCATTAAATTGTATATTCAGTTCAAGTGTCTTGTTGCTGTGTTTGATAGCGTTTTCACTGTTTAGAAGTTATTATGTATTATACATACAAATTGTATTTATTTAAAGTGAAGAAATTGATATTTTCTAATTAAGTCGTCAAGCGAAGCGAACGGGAGTTGTAATATTATAAACCCAAATGGCACTTATTATAAAACTAGCATTGCCCGCGGCTCCGCCCGCGTTCAGATGACCAAAAACCAAATTCTTAGGTTTTATATATTAGTACACTCACTTTACTACAGTTTTTGTATTTTTTCTCAGAAATGAGATATTTTCCTGCAGTAAAAAGTATCCTATATGTTGACCCGGGTAACCAGCTATCACCATACCAAATATCATCAAAATCTCTCCAGTGGTTTTTCCATGATGAGATAACAGGCAGACAGACAGACAGACAGACAGACAAAAATTCTAAAAACTATAGATTCGGCCTCTGTATCGATAATAATGTCTATTTCAATAACATTTTCCAAAAAATATTTAATGAATCGTTCAATAAAAGCGTCGATGGCGTGTTAAAAAGGTGTCGTATGCAATGCGAACCCAAAACAATGTTTTTAAAATTGCTGTCTGTTTGTCTGTCTATGCGTTTGTGCGCGCTAATCTTAGAAACGGCATAACCGATTTGGGTTCTGTTTTCACTAATGTATTGTGTTAAGCTTCACTTAACATTTAGTATTTGTTTTATTTCAATCGGTTCTATATCACTAAAAAATAATAAAAAAAATATGTCAGTTTAAAGAATCACCAGTGACGAAACCGAGTGAAGCGAGGGTGGGTCGCTAGTGTTCAAAATAAATATAGAAAATTTGAACAAGTTATAAGGAAGTCTATTACTTAGTAAGTAAAAAAATATTCGAAATGTCTAGAATAAGTTCACTATATGACGACCGTCTCGACAAAACATCCTTAACATAACATTTGCATTTTGAAAATTAAGTTGCACCTACCTGTTAGGAACCGGATCGAAACCGAAAATATCATCATTTTAAATGAGTTTTTAAATTCAAAGTATGTCAAAAGAACAATCTAACGTAATATAGATAGACTAGCGACTCACCCACGCTCCGCCCGGGTTCGTCCTTACTTATGTTTTAACGTTTAATATGGATTTCTCAGAAAAGATATATTTTCCCGCAGTAATAAGTATCCTATATGTTGACCCGGATAACGAGCTATCATCATACCAAATTTCATCAAAATCCCTCCAGTGGTTTTTCCGTGATACGGTCACAGACAGACAAAAATTGAAAAAAAACCATAAATTCGGCCTCTGTATCGATAATAATGTCAATTTCCATAAGATTTTGCAAAAAATATCTAATGTACAGATTCGGCTAAGTTACAATTTTATTATATGTATAGATATATAAATAAAAGCGTACAAAAAATACTAGGAATGTAAAAAATACGTTTTTTTTATTGTTTTTGACCTAGGTGCTGCCACAATAGTGTTAGAAGTTTCCTTATTAAATACAGACAGACAGAGTAGGTAATGGGGATTTACGCATAATTCATGCGAGTCATCTATACATATAATAAAATAGTAACAAAGCAAGAACATGAAATATTTTTTTTTTAAACAAAGACTGTTACGTATTGTGTACAGAATATACACCGCAAAACAATAGTTATTGAAAATTTTGACTGTTTGTCTGTATATCTGTTTAATTTTTGAAAGTACTGAACGTGTTTTAACTAAATTTTGTGTAGTGATAAGTCATTATTCGGATCCATATATAAGATACCTTTTAGTACAAGGCAATATTTCATTCCAACGGGAAAACAAAATAACTGGTTCATCGACTCGTCCTTAGAAATTTATATGGCTAACGCAGGTTTAAGAGATAATAATCAAAAAAATGTATAAAAATACCAATTTTCTAAACTCTTTCCATTAGTTTGACATTTCTAATAGCTGGTAAAACGAATAAAAAACGTGATATTTTAGAAATTTAATGAATGCACGACAGGCGCTGGCCTCGCTTGGCAAATTTTTACATAAGTTATATATTTTCAAAAAAATAATTAAACAAACGAGTTTGACTTCTAACTCTAGCTCTGTAGCATTTTAAACGAGGAGACGTTTTATGAGAGACATTATGTGATTAAAATAAGAAATCTCATCTCAAAAATTAATGTAGTTAAATGAAAAATCCGGACAAGTACGAGTCAATATAAACATTAAATATGTTAGAAAAAATGCAACCCACCTGCACGCTTAGTTCGTTTAATTTCCCAGATTGGATAGCCGCCATCGCCTCCATAGTTCCTATGGTGCTGAATGCCCAGCACGCACCACATATTCCTTGATCTTTTATGGGACCGATGACACCTTTTTCCCTCCTGATTGAAAAATGAAGATATTTGTACATTTATTTTTAAATATTAACAAAGATACAGTACCTATATTACAATAGCAAATATAGTGTTATATTATTTCCTTGCAACGGCACCTTTACCTATCTTTGTGTCCATTAGTCCTTTGACTAACCGTATCTTTATACGGTATAGAGTTGTATGGAATTTGTATGGGGTAAATAGTCTCAGCGGTAGAGTTTACATATCTATATATGGCATTCTGTTGGCGAAATTTTCTCTAACCATTTTGGATTTAGTTCTTTGATATAGACGGATTAATATGTTAATTAAAACAGTAAAATAGTTAAATTAACAAAAAATATATAACGTCTAGGTGCTCCTGTAAGGTTTCGCTATTTTAATGTATACTAATATTATAAAGAGAAAAGATTTGATTTTGTGTTTATTTGTTTGTACCTAATAAGCTCCGAAACTACTGAACCGGTTTAGATGAAATTTGGTAAGAAGTTAGTTTGAGACCCTGGGAAGGATAAAGGATAGTTTTAATCCCGAAAATCATCGCTTAAGGGGTTGAAAATGGGGATGAAAATTTGTATGGAGAATCAACATAGGGAGTAACCCGAGCGAAGCGAGGGTGAGTCGCGAGTGTATAATAAAACAGTTATTAATTTATTATACTGGCAAAACTGATGACGCGAATGCACTTATGATATATGACTTTATAAATCAGGCAGTTAAAATTACGAGAATGGCCAGGCCGAAAAAAAAACAAATAAAAATAGAAAGAGAAAATAAACAAAAGAGGGAAGCGGAGAGTGGACATAGGTGGATGCGATCCGGGATTAATCTGGAGGAAAGAAATCATTTAGAATAAGTGTTTCATAATAAATTGTAACTAAATCTAGTTAATATGTATATAAGTTCCTGAAAGTTGATGCTTGTTTCTACTGAGATATCCTTCAATTCTAACCACGAATTGCAAAATGGTTTATTACATATAGGATAGTGGTAGGCCGCCCAGTGATAACACGCTCGCTTGGAAAACTGAGTGTGAATCGTTTCCAATATAATTACTACGTCATGTCTGACGCGCAGGAAGACATCGTGAGGAAACCTGCATGTCTGAGAGAACCTAGCGTTAATTTTTTTCATTTTTCCTCTTTATTAGAACCTTCCGTGGACCTTAAGGAACATACGAAAAAAAAAATTGCCGAATTGGTCCAGCCATTCTTGAGTTATGCGCTTACCAACATTCATTTTTATTTGTGATGCGGTAACAGTGTGTGACAGACAGACAGACAAAAATTCTAAAAACTATAGATTCAGCCGCTGTATCGATAATAATGTTTATTTCAATAAGATTTTCCAAAAAATATTTAATGTAATAGATTCGACTTAGAATTTTATTATACACATAAATAACGCTTCAAAATAAATTATAAGCGCATTTTAACCGCATAAAGTTGCTGATACCTCTGCCATTTTTACAAAAACTTGTTTATCAACTTTCATAAAATCGAATAGCACGTGCCACTTATTAACATATGTTAATGTAAATGTCATTATTTTTCTACATTTATAAATTATTTCGAGTCTAGAACTATTTTTAATTAATTATGTATTGACCTTCGGCAAAGAACACCTTAAATGAAATACTTTTAGTGAACCAATTAGAAGTAGGTAATTATGTGTTCTCTATCTACAAACAAACTGTCTGCAAGAAAAATACTGTACACGTACCTATATATATCATATATAGAACGGAAAAAAACTAAAATTAACTTTTACATTTTGATACATTAATTCCCAAAAAATCTATTCTCTTCTAGTATTAAAAGAAAATGAAGACGTAAATTTTCACGAGAAACAAATAGCAAAAATATAGGTGTTCAGTGTTCTAACCCATAGGCTACTTTAGACGGTAGTGGGGATAATACTTAATCCTTCTAAACAGCCCTACAACTAGTAAATCTTTAACCGCAATGGGCCATGCGTTATTATGATTACTGTGTCTAAGTACCGGCTTTAGGAAGACAAACACATTTCATATACTATAGTACATAATATATACTAGCGACTTACCCTAGCTTTGCTCGGGTGCATCCCGAGTGGAACCCAAATTCTTTTTCTAAAATTAAAGTAGCCTAAGTTACTCCTTACAACATCAGCTATCTGCAAATGAAAGTCCCGTCAAAATCAGTCCAGCCGTTTCGGAGATTAGCCAGAACAAACAGACACTAATTTTATTTATCTGTATAGCTGAACCTACCTAGAAGTACAAGAAATTATAATACAATATATTTTACTATCCAAAAACATTGAATATTGTTGCGTATATATGAAATTTTAATTCACTCCTACGAAGAAGAAATCGCAAAACTATATGAAGTAGACCCTTACGCTACTACAGACGTTAGGTGAGGAAGATCCGTCTAAATAACCCGCCACAACACGTAAATCCCTAACCGCAATAGGCCATGCGTTATATTGATTCATGTCTAAGTACCGGCTTTATAAAGACAGTCATATAGTAGGCAGTAGCATAACTAGCCTTTTTGGACCCCAGTGCAGAAAAGAATTGAAAATACCACTCCTTTGCCCATTATGAAATAAAATGCGGAAATTTAGGACACTTTTTTCTTGGCGTTTTTTTTTAAACTTCTATGATATATATTGTGGCTTGCTGAGGCCCCCTTGGATCAGGAGCCCCATGCGACCACATTAGTTGGCATAGTTACGCACTGATAGTAGGTATATGTAGGGACCTACATAGAAATGAGAAAGTAGAGAAAATGTTTTTAGCCATTAACAATAATATTTTTTGGTGCGAATATTTCAAATTCTATTATCACGATACTTATCAAATGTCTTTGGCTAAGATTAATTTTTTCTACAATTGCCGCAGGTTACTGGTCAGATATTTAACGAACCGGTTCGCGGTAATGTTTGACGAACATTTAACCAAATTTCGTTAACGATTGCCTCATGTCGATTCCTGTACAGAAGCGGGACAGAAATTTTTCTTTTCTTATATTGCCCAATAAATGCAAGTGCCAAAAATCCCTGAAATGAATATACAATGTTGCGGACACATTCAAAAATTTCTTTGATACGGTTCATGGGACAAAGAAAGTTTATGGGAGAAAGAAAGACCACGTATAATGGTGTTCATTGGGTTCTAGCCCGGGTGTTGCACATCTAATAATTTCATGGTTAAGGAAGAAGGGATATGATACTCTTTCTCAAAAGTGGGTAGTTAAGCAATCACAAGGTCCACAGATAGATAGATGTTTTTACCAAAAAAAAGTGTTAATGAGCACGTAATAATTTGCTTTTGTTATTGATGTTGTAAAATGCATTTACGGAGGTGGTTATGTGGACGTCCCACACGATAACGTGCCTTGGGTGAATCGTATTGATTTAGCAAATCTAAAGGCAAACTTAAGCCGAAAGCAGAGTAAAGCGGATTAACATGGGGTTTCAGAAACACAACTACGTCGCACGATAGAAATCGACTATATATGTAAATATGAAATCGATCCCAATGAATACGCGATTTTGTTAAGACTGTGGTTACAAATGCCGTATTAGATTTTTTGTGAAAACCCATTATACTATTCTCGGCTGAAACGGCATATTCATGCTGTGCAGAAGTCATAAAACATGCCGATTATAATGCTTTAGAAAAAATAAATATAAATTAGCTTGTAGAATTTAAAAAATATACAGACTAATATCATCATCATCACCCTGCCCATTTCCCAGGTTACTTGGGGTCGTTGCAGTATTTCCTCTTTCACTCTCCCCTATTACTCGTTATATCATCATTCACGCCTTTCTCTTCCATGTCCAGTCTCACACAATCTATCGATATATATTTCTTCAGTCATCCTCTACCTCTCCATCCATCTAAACACATTTCCATCACTCTTCTCGTCACACGCGTTTCTTCCCTTCACAAGTCCATACCAACTTCCTATAGAAAGAGTTATATATGACGATATTTTTATTACTGTAAAATATATATGTAGCGAACTTATCAGAAAACTGAAACTCATGTCTCGAAGTTGGACGCGGCGTCTAACGTCAGCTAACAGTGTATATTTCAGACAGGCCACAGGTAACGTGCATTTAAGCAAAATGTTATCATACAAACAAATTCTGATTTTTTGAAATCAATAAGTATCGGATAAGGATACATGATTGAAAAAGGGCAATCCGTAGGTTAATTGCAATAACGATCCGGTTAAATTGACATTTAAGAGTTTTCTTACATAAATTTTGCCCGAGTCGAGATGAAATTAGCATATTTCAATATTCGGTGAAGAACATCGCCATCTATACCTATCTAGATATTTATATAATAATAGTATTTAATTAATCTTTTGTGATTTGCACAGCAACGCGACAGTTTTAATATATTATGTATACATAGCTCCTTAAAAGGTTTAAATAGTCTAGTAAAAGTCAGTAAATTTATTAATTATGGAAATGTCATATTAATTAAGGCAGTAGGCTACCACTGCCTGGCTACGCGCTCGCTTGGGAAACCGAGTGAAACGTGTCCAAATCCCGGGTACTACTATCCCCTGATATCTTCATGTGCGAATCATTTTCAACATGATTACCACTTGTCTTACGGTGAAGGAAAACGTCATGAGCAAGTCTGAATGTCAAAGAGAACTTAGCGAGTTTTCGACAGACATATGATGTCCACCAACCCGCACTTGGCTGGCGAGATGGACTATGTAATAATCCACCTCATATTGAAGGAAGACTCGTGCTCAGCAGTGAGACGGTAAAAAGGGCTGAATACATACTAAATATAGGTAGTACACTAATGAATAAATTATAGTTTAAAAAAACCTAAGGAACATGCTTTTGCGGACTCAGCGTCGTCCGTCCATGTTTTATACTGGAATAATACTTGATCGTGATCGTTGATCTTTTCTTTGTCGCGACCTAGCTACCTCGACCATGAATAGTCGTTACGGCCCTAAGGGCCTGTGCACACCACGTTTTATAAAAGCGCCGATGTTCCGCGTATTCTTCGTTTATTGAGATAGATACCCTTATAAGGACCTATGAAAATAGATGCACTTTTAAAAACGCTTGTAAAAATTTCAGCTAACTTGCGTTGGTATTAATACAAACGCCCGACAACCGCGCGTCGACAGCGTATTACTGCGCGTCGACAACGCGTTAAAACATTATTGTGTGTATAGACCCTCAGTGTGGGATGAGATTTACTAAACGGCTGGACGTTACTAAACTTAGTACACACATAACTTATGACCTAGACTCCTAATGTAACGCATAGGTTTAAACAATTAGGAACGTACCCAAGCAAAGCGAAAATAAATCGCTAGTTAATAATAATAATTATAATTAATAGATTAAGTTGTGTAATTTTAGATTAAAATACTTGTTTGGTAAATACCAATAAAAATAATTATGTCCATTAAAAGAACATCAATGTGTAAAGATTACATATTATGCGTATTGAATGCAGAACGAGTTTTTAAATTTTAATCAATAGTAATATTACAAAGAGACAGAGTTCGTTTGTTTGTTTGAACGCGATAATCTCAGGAACTAATAATCCGATTTGAAAAATTATTTTTGCATTAGATAGCCCGTTTATTGAGAAACGCTATAGGCTATATATATCATCATGCTACTACCCAAAGGAACGGAGCAGTAATCATAAATGTCATCAAATTGGACAGATTTCCGTACATTATTGTAAAACTGATGTTTACATCGGAAGTTTACTGTGTACTGCTAGTCTATACTAATATTATAAATGTCAAAGTTTGTAAGTATGGATATATGCATGTTTGTTACTCTTTCAGGCCAGAACTGCTGAACGGATCTGGATGAAATTTGGCACACAGATAGATTATAGTCTGCAATAACACATAGGCTACTTTTTATCCCGGAAAAATATACGGTTCCCGTGGGATATTTGTTTTCAGTAGGGGCGAACCCGAGCGACGCGAGGGCGAACAGCTAGTAGTACATATACAATATAGTAATCTTTCTGTCCTCGACTTTTAAATGATATTTATTTTACTACTGGTATAATATTTCAATATCTATTTTTATCTTCATCAGCCACTTGATATAACATAAATACAATATTTACATATATTATAGACTCATCCGACTCTGATATATGTATATAATATGTAAGTTATTTTTTCTGTTGCATCGGTATCAATTATTTTGTTATCAGTTTGCGACTATGTTTTAAAAATGCATGTTCAAATTATTAAACTCTTTTATTGGATTTATTTTGTTAAGAATTATTTAACTTATTCTATATCTATCCAAAAGTTGGATTAGATATTTAGGATCTAAATAATTTCTAAATTATTACATTAGTTGCTTCCTTCACAATCATAATATAATCATGTAATATGCGGTATTGCATTATGTCTGTTCGACAAAACAGCTATTATTACTTAAGAAGCAGTAACAGATATAAAACAAATACAAGATATAAGGACAAACTGATAACATCAAGCTTTTGTCTTTAAGAGGTGAATATAAGGTGCTCCATATTCAAAAATGCTTGTATAAGTCTAATTGAATAAATTTTAATTTCATTTCAATTCACAGGGCAAGGTGTATGTACATATGTATAATATAATGCCATAATCAATATTGAGCTTTCCATTTAAATATTTTTTTTCAAATAATAAATATATATTACTGCACAAAGCATTATCCTGTTACAAAATACTTTGCAGTTGTAACTTTTTGGATACTCGTGTACAATAAGTAAATGATTATTGTATGGCAATATTATGGAAAAATATTTCATTTATAAAAGCGACAGTTTATAATTTTGCAGGTTCAGCAGAACTGTTTTCCTAACTGTAGTAGCTAACACATAGACTTATTAATTTAAATTTAGAAAAAAAGTTAAAAAATGACTATTCGAAAGTGCTTTAAAGAGTATTTTTAAATAAAGTATATTTTAATTTGATTTTTCGTCTTAAAATTCAAAATGTGCCATATTGAATGTCTTGTATGTCTCATCATCTGATTAATCATGTTAAAAGTCCTTAATTATTTACATTAATTTGGTTTCGTTTCTTTAAAAAAATCATGTAAAAACAGCACTTAACTCAATGTCTCAATGTTACTTCTGTATTCTAAATACAAATGTATTTAAAGATAATTTTTACATTTTAATATTACAGACCTACTGCTTCATTTAAAAATATCACTCTTGCTATTGTATTAAAACAAAATTACTTTTTATATTTTACATTTACACCTCCTATAAAGTTCATTGAACATTCGCTATCAATATCAGTAATACCTTTAAATAAACATTGGAATGATATTATTATGAATTTTTTTAGAGAATTTCAACTGAAAAAAAATTGTATTTAAATCTTTCATGTCTAATATAAAACAATTGAAATAAAAGGTATAATTATTGTTTAACATAAATTGATGTTGAAAAATGAACTCACCAATCAATCCGCAGAGGAAGTGCTGCCCGCTTTTTCCTAATAAAATTATGTATTCTGTTACGATGATTATCATGATCACTTTCAGATGATTTATCACCTATAAAATCAGATGTGTCATCTCTATTTTTATCCTGCCTGCGTCGATTATGATGAGGTTTCTCATCAGATAGGTGGATTTCTTTAAATTCAGCTTTAGACATATCTGAGAGCTTTGTAAGTCCATATTTCGCTCTATGAGCCTCTGGTCCTCTAGAAGCAGCATTTAACTTTTCAATTTCTTGTACTGAGGCCTTGAAGAAATAAAAGTTTATAAAATTTATAATTTATTTATAAAGTTAACAAAATTTTCTATATATAAAGTTATTTAATATTATTTGAGTAAACGAATAATTCAACTTTAAATTAAAAAAAAAATATTTCAAATAAATTTGTTAAAATAGAAAGCTGTTTACCCTCAAAAACTTGTTTTTATGTTCATAAAGTTTAAATCTAATCGTCAAAAGTAAAAATTAGTCATTAAATGTAATTTACTTACAACAAAATGTTCTAATCTCGTTTCATATTCTGCTAGATTGTTTTTGTAAGTTTTATTATATTTTTTAATATACTCGTCGAACATCGGTCGGATTTTATCCTTGGTACCACTTGGACTTGTGGTATATGTTAAAGGAACAGCAATAAATAACAAACACAGTAATGCAATAAAAAGAACCCAATTCCACCATTTTTGCATTATTGTAAACAATTTTTACGTTAAATAATACAAAACATGAACACGTCCGTCCCACAGGCCACAACTTTGGAAAAACATTTATGACATTGACGACTACAAGTAAAAAAAAAGTGTGACAGCTGTCCATAAATAGGCAATATGAGCTTTTTCCTCTATGGTCTCATATTGCCCATCTTTTATGACGTATTCTTTATACCTGTACTGTACCACAGATTATATAATAATTAATGTTTTGTTGTAATCAGATAATTGGTAAAATGAAAATATTGATTTATTTAATAATAATATATATTTCTTATATTCATTGAAGTAGTCATACGTACATAACAAAGGTCTGTGTTACAAAAATTAACCAAGAAAACTATCAAACGAATTTCTATGCACTTGCATTAGCATAATTAAAATTTAGAAGTAACAATCCCAGAGAAAAGACGCTCTGAACAAATAATCCCTCCACGACCGCGGACACGACGGCGTTACAGTTACAATAGATTTCCTAGAAATTTACCTGGAGGTGATACTGCTTTCTGGCACCAAACACGCAACAAACACATCGATACAAGTTTTCCCGCCACAAGTTTTACGCTGACTTTTACTTTTGCTAGCTGTACCTAACTACCATAATTTACACAAAACAATCAAAGATAAACAAATATACAGAGCTATAAATGAGCTCTTGTAAAAGAAGTAAAACGCGTAGGCCTATGTTGAGGATTCATACATCGTTAGATTGATCTTAAAAACGCGATCATCGGCTATATAAAAATAGTTAAAAGCTGGCCAAATGCGAGTCGGACTCGCGCACGAAGGGTTCTGTACCATTATCTATAAAAAAAGCAAAAAAATCATGTCTGTTGTATGGGAGCCCTCCTTAAATATTTGTTTTATTTTAATTTAATTATTTATTTTTAAAGTGAATATATAACTAAATATTCTGTGAATATCTCAAGTGTCTACCTCTTGTAGTTACCAATATCGATCAAAAAAATCACGTTTGTTGTATGGGACACATCTTAAACATTTATTTTATTCTGTTTTTTAGTATTTGTTGTTATAGCGACAACAGAAATACATCATCCGTGAAAATTTCAACTGTCTATCACGGTTCATGAGATAAAGCCTGGTGACAGACGGAAAGACGGCTAGACGGACAGAGGAGTCTTAATAATAGGGTCCCGTTTTACCCTTTGGGTACGGAACCCTAAAAATTCAAATGGCGGATATCAGGCGCTAATTTGTGTTTAAAAAAATATTTCTTGGTAAACAATTGAGGGTGGTATCAACATAAAGGTTTTAAAGCGGTGATCACAAAAATATATGACAACCACAGATAATATAATACTATACCTGTATTATTTTTTATATACTACAAAATAAAACATTACTCTTAGTAATAAAATAAAGCAACATAATTCGCTCTCTTTTAATGAATGCATTTACATTATAAAGGAAAATATATGATATTCAAAATTGTTAAATAATCTTTGCGATGCCGTCGAGAGCAAACCAATATAGTTTTAGTATTTTTATACATAGATTCTAGGCTCTAGATCAGCCATACTCAACCTTTTTTTTATAGGAGCCACAAACACGTTTCAGTCATGGTGTCGAGCGCCGCAAGCAAAAATTATTTAGGTCTTAATGAAAACGTAATTCTAAGTTAACGATGGATTTACTTTTTTAACAAAGATATGTTATAATGCGATTTTTGATTCTGCCGCATGCGGCCCGCGGGTCGCAGGTTGAGTATAGCTGCTCTAGATGACCAATGACAATAAAAAAATATATGATTCCGATTGTGAATATTGCAAAGTAAAGCCCTTGCAATCTGTACCTGGCTAAAAAAATACTTTTCTGATTGCTATATTAAAATAAAAGTCTCATCTTGAATACTTGAGATCATTTACAGTATTCACAAACTGAATAATATATATTTTTATTGTCTTTTTATAATATATATTTTAATATTTTAATTAATAAATTAATATTTTATTATCCTTAATATACATAAAATAAAAAATCACTTATTTTTTTTAATTGTATCAAAGGAGATAAAGGTCCACTTGTGTTCGATACAAGCCCCAACACCTGTAGTGGAGCAGTGGAAAATATTTTCATATTTTTTAAGAGTTGACAATACCGTGGATTGCGTTATATTTGATATCATTGACTTTACGTATGATACAAGATAATCTAAAGACGCTCCTAAAGGATGAACTAAAAGGAAAGCTGTCAAGATGCTGATAAGCATTGCTTCAGAAGAAGGTACCGACGTGTCTGTTGCCACAACTTTCTTTTTATCTATTAATGGTGGATTTGAAGTGGCTGATGTTGGGGATATTGAAGTCATTTGATGTGGGTAGATCTGGAATTTAAAAAATGATTTATTTAAGAATCTGCTTACAATTTTAACTATTAAATACGTATTATAAAACAAAGTCCCCCGCCGAGTTTGTACTCAAAAACTACCCAACAGATTTTCATACGGTTTTCACCAACAGATGGGGTGATTCATGAGAAAGTTTTAGGTGTATAATGGCTGAAATATGAGGATGATTGTTGAAAACGTCGGAAAAAACATGCCGACTGGGAGCTTTATCGGCGTGTGCCGCGTAAACTAATAAAGTTATATGAAAACGATGTATTACAGAATTATTCCTCTTAAAAAGAGCTTCCTATAATACTGTAGCAACACTATGTGCACACACCTAGGGACGCACCCAAGCGAAGTGAGGGTAAGTCAATAATCTTACTAATATTATAAATGTGAAAGTTTAGATATTTAGATGTTTGGATGTTTGTTACTCAATCACGCCAGAACGGCTGAACGGATCTGGATGAAATTTGGCACAGAGATAGATTATAGTCTAGAATAGCACATAGACTACTTTTTATCTCGGAAAAATTTACATTTCTCGTGGGATAGACTTGTTTCTGTTTTTCAAGAGGCGAACCCGAACAAAGATTTATCTCATAAATTGAAGTTGATTTTTTCTATAATTGAATACCTGGTTATTTTGTAAAGCTTGTTGAGCAATAAAATGTGCTTTGAACTTTTCGAATTTTCTCTCTGCTTCGTCTTTGGCGAGATGTACTTCATTCTTGTACTCTTCCAGTTCATACGATAAGTTTTCATTTTCTTTCTAAGGGAATGAATTAAGTTAATATGACCTAAACATCCATTCATATTTTTAATTATATTCTTATAAATAAGTTAATAGACTTAATTTAATATTAGAATTAAGTGTTGATCTTTTTCATTACTTTACTATCTTTCAACTATTCACTTCTTTGCTCTTTGCTACATGTTAACATGTGCAAAACGATAATATCAAAATATATTACATTTAAATTATAAGTACCTATATATTAAGTATACTCGACCAATTGAAACAAAAATCCGATTTTTCTAAATAAGACGAGTAGAATAAAAGGTGCATTTTCCATCCGGCCGTCAACGATAAGCGCCATTTTATGTGTAGATAAAGACAAAATGTCCAAAATATTTAGACATGGCTTCATTTCAAGTATTTTTTCTACTTGTTTATTAATTATCAGTTTTAACCACATAACAATTTACTAAAAACTATGTGAGACGGCTTCCCTAGACGCGCCCCTTTATATAGAAGACTTATATTGTGGTGAAAGTACTCAATAGAGTGCAAGGTAACCTCTTTTATGTTAATCTACCGCGCTTGAGTAACTACAGAAAATCCCCTCTTGGGCTCCCCTACTATCATAACAATTTACTAAAAACTATGTGAGAATCAATAATAAATACATTTCGTTCAAACCTTTAACTCCTCATATTTTTCTATAGGCACCATGTTTTTGCCTAATTTTAGATCTACATCGTCATCATCGAAGCTTGCATAAAATTCTTCTTTAATATTCTCTACCTCCTGTAAAATAACTTTTCCAATCAAAATTCAGGCTTATTTTTATTTAAACTTGATGAAAATTTAAACAAGACACGTTTTAATAAATATGTACATTTATATATTAATCTTACATACATATACAAAAAATAAATATGTGTACTATAAAGTATAAAATGATTTTTTTTATAGGTAACGATTTTTCGTATTTTCTTATTCTAACGAATCCTAAAAATTATACTTACACAGTCCAGTGATGAGCTAAATTTCAAATGATATACATACCGTCAAAATGTTAAACAAATACATCACAGTGAAGTTTTTATTTCTAAAAACTTAGGTTGCTTACAGACTACAGACTTTTTATCGACAATTCTGTCTGCTAAGTGGTAATTGTTATGAAGATTGATGCTGAATGCTGATGATGATACATACCTAACTACTAACCTAGTAAAGTTACAGTGCATTTAAACGAATCATTGACAATGCTTGCTAAATTAATATGGCGCAATACAATGCCCACACACTTGCTGACTGTTCAGTCTGCCAACTCGGCGTACTTTGAACTATTTTAAGCAAATTATTTTGGAATGGAGTTTGAGGTTCTTTTCAAGAACAGCTTACCAACTAGCGTTCATCTAGTGCCATCAACCGACTGGATGAGTGCCTAAAGCCTAACTTGACATAAATAATGTCTGACAGAAAGTGTGCAGTATATGTGTATATTCTTTCCAAATTAGTTTAATTTTACCAAATTGTTTAATTTTACCAAATTGTTTAGTTTTACCAAATTGCTTAATTTACAAAATACTTACCAACATTCTGATGTAACATTATACCAATTATTATATTGTGCTAGTTATTCGATTTTTAGATGTATCTTAATTGCAGCTATAGTTAGTTGTTGGAAAAAAATCTATTCTGTGTTTTTTTCCATGTATATAACAGTTAGTCACAAGAGTTCGTTGAGTTTTTTTTATTAAATACATATATTAGAAAAACATAACATATACAAACTTTAGAGATTCCTCTCCATTCCCCTAAGGAATATTTTTTTCTCAGCAATTACCGTCGCTGTTAAAATTACAGACCTTTAGTTCAAGCGATTTGGAGTGGGCGTTAATCAATGAGACAAGTTACTTTGTACATATGTATCTATATGTATGTATGTACATATCCTTATGTATAAAATTATGATGTGCGTGTGTTCGTAGTTCCTCTCTAAAAAGACTTGATCAATTTTGATGAAATTTTTATGTGTACTATGAGATAGTTATTAGCTATAGCTGTATCCGGTAGGTGGCGCCTTGGCCTTTAGATGATCTTCATTATTATTCTATGCAGCATTGACTTCTTACTCGACCGAATAAAATAAAATTTAATATAATGTTGTCAAATCAGTGTAGTGTCGCATAGTAAAATACCCTTATTAGCAATAAGCATGTGTATTTCTTAAACCAAAATTCATTTTAACCGATAGAGATAATTTAATCATATAATATGTAAGTACAAAGAGAACTTTGATTCGATTAGAATAAAGAAAGTAATACAATAAGGTTACTTCCAAAAACTGTCACTAGAAAAATGTTATCACTGCCAAGTTTTCTTTACATGACGAAAATATATTAACAGACTAAATATATGTTAATTACAAAGATATTTGAGTATTTATAATATATTAAATAATATAATTACTCAATTATCTTTTTTTTTAATTACTGTAAACTAGCGCCATCTATCCGTTATCGTTATTATTGTACGTATTGATACCATACCTCAGTCATTTTGAGCCACATCTCGATGTTCCTGCGCTGTTGTTTGGAGAAATGATCTGACACACGTTGGTCTTTCGCCGCAGATAGAATTTTCGCTACAAGCTCGACTGTTATGAAAAACTATTGTATTAAGAAAATATAAAATATCATACGCTATATTAGTATTAGCATTGGAGTTGTTATCTTCTCTCTGGATTTCTTACTTAATAATGGCTTAATTCGCTTTCTCTTTCTGTCCCGCTACTTAACTATTTCCCACATACATGAGTTGACTGGAAGAGATCTCTTATAGAGATAAGTCCACCTTTGTCCACATCATTTTATATGTATTTTTTTTATTACTTGTTTAGTGCAATAAAGAATATTAATAATAATTCGGCAAAAACATCACATAGTTGTTTACATACAACAAATGAAATTTACCTTCTAAATATCTTATTTTATAAATATACATTTGGTACATAATGGATGTAATGACATAAAGTTAAAATCTTCATAATATGTTGAACCAGCAACTCCAATCCACCATTACAATACATTCACTGTGTTTTTTTATTGGCCATTCACTGTTAAACTATACTTACGATTCTTTTTCTACAGACGGTTAGAGACGGATCTCGGACATCATCAAACTTCAAATTATGATTAAACCCACTTACCTTAATGAGACGAGACTAACCACTGCACAGGAGTAATATAGTGCAGTACTCAATTATCTTGTTAAGGTCTTTTAAAGCGTGTCAGTTTAGTTCAGATTGCTTCGCATGTCATGTAGAATTGAGAAAACACGAGAGAGATATTGCATTCTTAATTCTTCTCACTCTCAAACTCTAATAGTGACACTAACAACTCTAATAATTCTACACTCATGGTGCTTTGCCTTGGCATCCCAACTCCGGGCTGTCACTGAGAATTTGTCTACAATGAACTCATCAACTATACTTGGCTCGGCCCGGGATTCGAACCCGGGATCTCCGAAACAGCAGCCGCACATAGCCACTATACTAACAAGGCAGTTAAATTAGCTGAATATATGATGTATCTACAGACAGTAGCACTCACATACCAAAGTTATCGGAATCCATCTTGATAAAATTAGCTTATGGCTGATAGAAAAATATTATACAAATAGCCATTAAAAACAGTGTGTTAAATACTTACACTGTAGCACGACAAGTGCAAATTTGTCTTTTATAGACGTTTTCATATTGTTAAGCTCCTCATCCAGATTCATCTTTTCATTGAACAATCTCCTCACTTGGTTGTTGCTGGCTTGGATGAGGGAGTAGAATGTGTTTGCGTTCAATTTGTTACATTCCCCACCTTGCAGCCACGCTGCTAGTGTCTGGATATTAAAAAAGTATAACTTGTACACAGTTATGCAAAAAACAGCCATGTGCGTAAAAGTACCAACAGCGTTATAAGCATTTTATTATAAAAAATAACATAATTATAAAAAATAAACAACACTCATATAAATATTGTTCAATTTTTAAATAACCAGAAAACAAAACATAACCCAAGTGCAACTATTGACAGAAAAATGCTTATAACTCTGTTGGTACTTTTACACACATGGCTGTTTTTTGCATAACTGGGTCCACTTGATGCTTTTTGAAATTGACTTAAATCCATACTAATATTGTAAATGTGAAAGTGTGTTTGTTTGTTTGTCCTTCTTTCACGTCGAAACGCAGTGACGGATTGGCGTGACTTTTTGTGTGGAGATAATTGGAGGTCTGAAAAGTGATATAGGCTACTTTTTACCGCGGGATATTATCTAATTCCCACAGGAAAACATTATAATGCAATCCAAAAAAATATTTATGATCAGAATTACTTGAAACTTTGTATTAAAAGTGATATAGGCTACTTTTTACCGCGGGATATTATCTAATTCCCACAGGAAAACATTATAATGCAATCCAAAAAAATATTTATGATCAGAATTACTTGAAACTTTGTATTAATGCTCTTCAATAAAATTAAATAAATACGTGTTTTAGTATTTTTTTTAATTCATCCTATAAGGGGGTAAAATATGGGAAAAGTATGAAACTATCTTTTTAGAGATTTCTTTGTAGTTTTAGCGCGAGCGAAGCCGCAGGGTCTGCTAGTATTTCATATATTTCACACAACTACTAGCTATTAAAAATTCAAAAGTTTATGTGTGTGTTTTAACTAATAATACTATCTTTTAGGGTTTATTCGCAGATTATTGAATTTTTTTTAAACCCAACGTTTCAGATGCTTTACAGCATACACGGTTATGGAAGTGACTAAGGGATTTACCCATAGTTATCACAGATAATATCTACCTATAAAATGGAAAAAATCTTTATATTTAAAATGGAAATTATATTATATGTAATGTATTATCTCCACAATTATTATTATATTTGGGCAAATATATTGACATAGATCTAAAAGCACTTTTATGTTGTAGAATTTACAGATGGCTTATGATGATAATTCAGAATGTCTTTTTACTGAGAAAGTGAGTGATAATTTGCAATTGACAAATAAATCAAATATTTTTAAAACATGTTACTAAACTTAAAATAAACATAACATACCGGAGCAGCAGTAACAAAGTCTGTCTCACTCTTGATCTTCTCACCGAGTTCGGAGAGAGCCGAGGGTGAGAAGGGTTCCACAAGGGGGGGAGTCGGTACTCTCTGACATTGCATCTCATATTCATCTGCATCATCACGATTCTGAATAACAAAAAAAAATATAGAAAAAGTAAGTAGTTAAAATAAATACTACTTGATTACAACAAGGACTGTATCATATAGGATAAATGTTTTTATAACTAATGACTTAACCTCGTTTCACTCGGGTATGACCCTAGGTTCCTTTGTTTTTTTGTGGAACCCTAATTTTTTTTTCAAGAATAAAAGTAAATCACTCCATAGAATATCAACTATCTGGCAGTGAAAGTCCCGTCAAAATCAGTCCAGCCATTTCGGAGATTAGCCGGACAAGCAGAAAGACATAAACAAAATTTTTAAAAGTTGGTTTTTTTTTATAAGTACCATATATTATATAATTTCATATGCATTTAGTAAAAATCTATTATTTTGACATTACAAACAAATCAATTTTATTTATCTGTATAGAAAGATATTTTTTACTTTATACAGTTAGTTTTGCTTGCTATTATGTGGAGAAAAATGATTCAAACAATACTTATGTTGCCTTGTATCAGCTGTAGAAATAATAGATTTTAAATATATTTTTACGAACAAGGGGGTTTAGGAATATTCCAATCAGATTTCTTAATCCTTACCAGAGCATAATCCACAAATATTGTGGTCGCTTCATTATCACTTTGTTCATTGAACTTAAACCTGTATCCCGTAAGGCTAAATGATGACTCCACACTTTCCATTTTTTCAAAACGTATATAATACAATGCCGATTTTGGCGATTTTATATTATCTATGGGGCCATATTTTTCAAATATTTCCTTTAAAATTTCAAAATCAATAACGGGTAAGCCACCAATAAATACGGTCCGGCAGCCATTTGGTTTCTCTTTCCTTTGAGGGGTTGAAACTCCTGGAATAGGGGGTAAGAGTACACCCCAAGAGAATACAATGGGCTGATTTATTTGTGAGTAGATGGTCTGATTCATAATTATCATGTTTTGGTCCATCATATTGTTCATCATGCAATGCATATTCATGTTAGGCATAACTGGTTGTGATCCGTCTATTGATTGCTGTCCCATTACATTGGGCATTATTTGTGGAAATTGCATCATAGAATTCATACCTGAAACAAGTTTTAGTACCCATGAAGTCTAATCAGGAACAAAGCAAAAAATTTGCTTGATTATAAAAGAAAAAACCTTTTATCATTTAATAGGAAGCAAATATATATAATATGAAATTCTTTATGTATTTAAATAATAACCATACCTTTCAAAAAATGAATATGTGTTAAAAAAATGTTGGATGGAATTTTATGATGCTATTATTACACTTTCAATGTGTCTGTTATAACTTATAACATTATTAGACATCCTTATTTTTATGTTTTCCTATCTAAGATAGCCTAATGCTATGAAATTTCCTTATTTATTGGATAAAATTATTATTTACCTGATATCATGCCCATGTTGAATCCAGGAGGTGGAACAATTGGTGGAACACCCATATTTGGTCCTCTTAAAGGGCGTCCACCAAAAAACTGCCCACCCATAAACGGAAGAACTGGTCTCATTCTTCTCATTCTATCATTGTTATCCCAATGAGAACTTCTGTCATTATTCCTTTTATTTCTATTATGTCGATCATTCTCACGAGACCTTGATTGACGACAACCTTGAAACATATAGAATATATTGTATGCATTTTTAAATAATGGAAAAATTTATAATATTCAATTATAACATTTATAACTATGTGACACTGCAGCCACATCCAACACAGAGATCTGATAGTAATGAAAAAGAGAGCTATTACACCAATACACATAGTAGAATAATATATTAATATTTATTTAAAACTAGCAACATGGGCGCATCCCAAGTTATGTTTTAATATAAACAGTTAATGACAGTGGATTTTCTGTAGACCATATTAAGACTTACAATTTTCTAGTATTTTGAATGTATCTTTAAGATTTAACCAGCTTTAACCATGTACAATGTTTAAGGATGACTCAACAGAATCAGTTATGGTGTTTTCCAAGAGAGAACGAAAGATGTAGTAAAAAGCATCCTAAATGTTGACTGAAATTAAAACTTATCACTACATAAAATGAAGTTAAAATTTGTTCAGTACTTTTGGCATAAAATACAGACAGACAAAAATTTTAATAACTATCCTTTTGGTCATTCAGTCATTGTTTTTAAAAATATTTCAAGTACAGATTTTGCTAATTTACTATTTTATTATATGTATAGACATATAAAATAGATCTAAAGATATAAATTGTATGTATGTACATATTATAAATAGTTGAATCTTCTGTTACCTCTTAAATTTCTTTCATTATTATGAGTTTTTTGGTTTAAAGATGTTGAGTTATTAGGTGGGTTATTTTGATCATTCTCTGCTTCACTTGTTAAATCTTCAGTTTCAATGTTCATATCATCTGACATTTTTATAAGACTTAATTTCAAAAATAGGTAGTTACTGTAAAGGTAATGCAAACATATTGTGGATTTAAAGAGTTATTATATAGAGAGAGATTTAGAGATTTACTTATAAAGTTAAATATGATATTGTAGATCTTTTTCTTGACGTAGAGAAATCATTATAATAATGTATCCTGGATTAATCAATGAATTACGGAGATTTCCAGATATTCTTTTACATTTTTTGTTATTTTATTTTCCTATAGGACGCCAATTCATTATAACCGGCGAGAGAGCAAGCGCAAGAACGGCTTTATGAACTCTAGACTCCAATGCTTGGGGGCATAACACATCCAAACTATTACTCCTAAACTAACAAAGCAGTCATAAAATATAAAACTATACCTATAAAGTTTAGTTACTGTGTATCGGTGTACTTGTAAACATATTTATATTCAGGAAAACCACTAAACCACTTGGAATAGCTTCAGTACCTTTTCAAATATTCGGCTGGTTACTTATAGTTTCTACCCAAACGACCATGGATCCATCAGACTTAGTGATTTAGAATTTATATTTTACTACGGGTTTACTATCCTCGTTTTTCACATATTAGGAGCAAATTTTAAAAGATTTAATATCTATTATTTAGATTTTACATATTTTTAAATTGACATTTGTTTTCAATTTTTTAAAGATTAAATTCACAGAAAAGTAATAAGTAATAACCAATAAACATAGATAATAAAAAGTTAGGGTAAGTCATATGTGATACTATTCAGAGCTAGCCATGGATGACAAATAAAATAGCTAGTTCTGGAAACTAACACAAGAGAAAAGACTACAAAGAATGAGAAAATTAGGAAAATCTAAACTGCGAAATAAGGATCGTAATATTATTTACAATGGATATCAATAAATATACTCAAAATAAAATGACAGCGAAGAACATAGTTTCTTTTTGAATTATTACGATCTGATTAAAGTAACTAAAAATTAAAAATAATTATTATCCAGCAGCTTTACGACGAATTTCTGTATGATTATAGTAAAATGTTTTAATTTATGCAAGTACTATTCAACAATGTCTTACAAAAGACTAACAAGCCAACAATAAATTGATTAAACAAAAAATAAAAGTTTTAAATAGATAATTAGTAATGAAAGGTATAAATAAGTTTTTTAATATTACTCTAGTCAGTTATAATTGAATCAAAATTTTATATATTTATTTTTGTTTGAGTGTATGAAACTTTATTTAAGTGATATATATCACATCCATGATATATATTACTAAACTACCTTCATAGTTTATGTAATTTGCTCTATAGTCTATTGTAGCTAGGTATGTACGGTGTATAGAAAACATCGATATATCGATTTAAGATGATATCAATATATCGATATATCGGATTAGAACACCGATATATCGATTTTTTTTCTTGTATCATTATTTTCGATATTTTTTTAAAACGTAAATCCAAATAGTCCTTTTACTTAATATAACATGTCATCGATTATGTAATTTTTTATCTGTGAAAAATCAAGAAATATAATTATAAAAAAAGCAGTCATAATGAGGACTGCCGACAGAAGTGAAAACTTCAATTAAAATTTGCAAATTAAAATGGTTTACATTTACCTGGTTTTAACATCTATCGGTACTCTGAGTGTTAGCATTAACACATCACGTGACCATGTCGATAACGACTTACATGAGTTTCCTCTCTATCCAAACCTGCCTATAGAAATTTTCACTTCAAAGAAATGCGTTAAATATTTTTGTATCCTACATTTATTAAAAAAACATTAAGTCTAGTATTTTGTATTAGTCAGCGAACTTAAAAACAATAACTTTGACCGTCTACTTCCACGTAGTTGGTTTCTGCTTTGAGCTATATTGTTCCAGCCTTTGAAAAAGGTGTTCGGAAGGCACGCTTGTGGCTACAATTGGTAAGTGAGTCATTAGTCATAACTACTTTAAATAGATTGGGAAATACACCTTGCATTTCTTGCCACGTTTTGGGAACATTTACTTTTAAAGTGTTTCAAGTACAGCAAGATACTAAGTAAGCTCGTCGTAGCCGTCGGTTTTTTCTTTTTATTTGTGTGTGAGCAAGAGAAATTTGAGGTGTTTCTAGAAGTCGAATTCATTTTATCTTCATCCTCTGAAGATGTTGATGAAGCTGATGCAGCTGCAGATTTATATTCTTTCGGACTAGCATACGAAGGGTTCCGTAGCCCGTACCATAATCGATTTTTTTTAATGAGCATGGCAGCCTTTTTGAAAATCGCTATCTTGGTTGTTTATTTTTATTTGTTGTAATAGTAGCAATAGAAAAAATACACACTCTGTGAAAATTTAACTCTTTACCTATACGGTTCATGAGTACAGCCCTCAGACAGACGGACAGCGGAGGCTTACTAATAGGGTTTCGATGGCACCCCTCGGGTATGGAATAACCTGAAAACCGTCATTTGTCTGATTTAGTGAGTATTCACTTTTGGGCGGGCTCTATTGATTTTTTGTTTCGGTATTGAGATTTTTGATACCGATATCAATGGATCTTCCATATCGATATTTTCGTCATCGATATATCGATATTTATCGGTTATCCGATATGTCGTTCCATCCCTAATGGTAGTAATAAAGCGTTCAGGGCATTTGACAGCTTTGCTTTGTTTTGTGAATTATCAATTGATATTTTTATTGAGGTGCTTCACATTATATACAATAATTTAAAGGAAATGTAACTACATTGTTAGTAGTGTTTTATGTTAGAAAATATTCGTGGGAATATATATTTCTAGGATGTGGTAACGTATTTTTATTAAAGTCAATCTTATTTCTTAAATGCTTATTAGAATTTTTATATCAACAAACAACATTTTTCTTTTAGTTCTGAAATGCCAAAAGAATTTCAGAAAACAACAGAGGTATTACCTTTTACTAAATATGGCATATCTACAGTTGAAGAATTTAAAAAGGTCGAAAAAGATATTCAACATTTGGAGTGGTTAAAAAAGATTGGTTTGACGAATGACGAGATAAAACTATATCAGGAAAATGAGGCGGGCCTCTTGGATCAACGTAAAAAGATTGAATCTACTGTTTTAAAATCTAAATTAGAGGCATTGTACAATAAAATTAATGATTTCCAAAATACATCAGGAAGGTAAGTCTTTTTACAAAAATTAAAAAATAAACATTTAAATCACAAAAATATAACTTTAGTACTTGAAAGGATTTCTTAATTTTCTTATTTTCTTTTCAGTTCTCAAGAGAGTAAGGATGGACCGAGCACATCAAGTGTGTCAGAGGATGATATAATAAACAGAATACACAAACATCCTTTAAAATTTTTCCCTGAGGGTCACCCTATGAATGAGCTTAAAAAAATAGAAGAAGATTTATTTGGGCATTTGAAAAATGATAATCTTATGCCAATCACTAAGCGGCGAAAGATTTTAAGGAGACTTGAGAGAAAGAAAGAAAAAATAATAGCTCAACAGAAGGATCCAGGCATTGCCCCTGTAGCTGGTCCATCACAAATTAAAGCAGGTAGTTTGTGGGATGTGAAAGAGAAGTCACAAATAAAACCTAAATGTCATCAGGATATTATTGGCCCAAAGAAGCAGACTATGTATACAGTGAAAGAGAATAAAATTGTAAGGCTAGAGCCAGTGCAACAAGAAAATGAAGAATATCGTGCAGTGGATATTGTTGTTCCAATAAATCCTGCTGAGGAACAGCTTCTTGAAGGAACAAAGATGTGCTTAGATGATATTAAAAAGATTGACAGGTTCAAGGATTACGAACCAGGGATACCTTCAAAAGTAGGTATTAAAGTTAATTTGTAAATAAGTGATCCCTTAAAGTATTTATTTAGAACTATTGTTTCTATGCTTAGATCTATAAGCATAATTTGGCAAATATAAGCAATAAATATACAATTAAGATTCTTTTTTAATATACTAATAGTGTCTTCCTGATCAATTTCGGCCGTGACGGCTAATCTCCCTGAGACTAGAAAGATGCTCAGGAGATATTATAGTGCACACTATTCCTTTCATGGTCCAATGGGATGATACTTTGACAAGACTGGTGAGAGTTAAGGCGACCAAACTAGAGCTTTACATGCTCTTTGAGACATGGAGGTGTAACAACGCCAACTCCAGGTTGTTACTGAGAATTTCTTGACAGAAGAACACAGTAACCGGCCCGACCCAGGACTTCCAGATCTGCGGCCGCATATGCTAGCCACTAGACCACCAAGGCATCGGCTTAAATATACTTATTAAGCATTCCAATAAGATTCTAACTAGAATATGTCAGATTCTCAAAATCTTAAGAGTTATGATAATATTCCCTGTTGGCTTGTTATATTTTTATTTTTCTTAATATTTCAGGTGCTATACCTTAAAAACATATCTCCATCTGTACCACAAGAGCAACTCTCCCTGCTGTTCAACCAGTTCCATTTGGAAAATGGAGGCCCAGTCAACCTCCGTGTGATGACTGGGAGATTAAGAGGACAAGCTTTTGTTACATTTCAAAGTAATTATATTATGTACATACAAAATCTATCTATATATAGAACTAGCAATATTTCCTCACTTTGCTGAGACTAAGTGCATAAACAGATTGACAAGTTTGTATTTAACTATATTACATAATAGAGCCACAAATGAAAGCTGTTTGTTTTTCAAATATGAGCTTTACAGCGTACATTTTAATATAATATTTAGCAGTTATAAATTATGGATTAAGGTAAAATAAACAGACAAATAAAATACACATTTTATTTTCAGCTGAAGACCTGGCTATACAAGCATTGGATGAAGTCAATGGCACCATTATGGGAGGTCGCCCTATAATAGCGCAGTTCGGGAGAAACAGTAACCGAATACAAGAAGAAAACAGATAAACAGACAAACATTGATTGAATGCATTTTATTTAAGTTTACTCTAAGTAACTAAATATTTATTAATATATACCTAAATCTAATCTTGTAAATAAAGTATTGAATCATTTATTATACTTAATAATACAGTATTACAGTGTATTTTATTTTTAAAAATCCTTTACAAATATAATTTAAAAAGATCCTTATATTTAAAAGATTTTTTTTGGATCCATTTCTAATAGTTTTCATTTAGAAAATAGAAATACATACATACATGATGTGTCAAATACCAGGGTTTTAGCTCGCTCATACAATATAAAACCTAAAACTAAATCCATTATACACAAACTACCCTTATATTAAAAGTTAAACCATTCAAACTTACACGCTACAAGTTTACACAAGTCATATTACAATATTAATTAAAAAATAAATTTGTTTTCGATATCATTTTTTCAAGTCACGAATTTCTAACATCATAACTGCTTAAATCCGAATTACGTTATTAAAATGTCCATTGCATAACCACAAACACTTATAGAATAAATCGCATCTAGAGCTTTTGGATTTGAATTATTCTTATTTATTACTAGCGACTCACCCTTGCTCCGCTCGGTTTCGCCCCTAGTTACTTAAAAGGGTAGAAGGGTGTAAAATACTTTACGACCTATTCTTATACCTACCTTATACAAACAAAAATCATTAAAATCGGTCGAGCCTTTTCGGAGGAGTGCGACCACAACACCGTGACACGAGACATTTATATATTATATAAAGATTTTGACAGTAGAGTACAAAAATTGTTTACAAACCTTATAACAAGTAAACTAAATTATATAATATGGCTTAGCATTTTTAAAATACTAAGTCTAGACCTAAAACTTTAGCTTTCTATAAATTACACATGTTATGAAACATTTAATTAGGCCCTATGAATTACAAGTGTATCTCAGATGCGACTTAATTCTACAAAACGGTTATTTTGAAAGTCCCCTTATTGTGTTGCTTCTTTATTCGAGGACTTTCTGCGCCGTTTCACGACGCGTTTCGGTGACAATCATTCGGCCTCCTTTTTAGCAGGTGGCTCCTCAGCTGTAACACGCATATTAGTGATTAAATTCATATATTTTGTTAATTACTTCGAAAATATAAGGTAGTGGTAACGCGTTCGATTGGGAAATCGAGTGAAGTGGGTTCAAGGCCCGAGTTTCGTACATTTGTATTTTATATTTTCATGTGCTAATCATTTCCAACATGATTACCACTTGTATTACGGTGAAGAAAAACATCGTCATGAAACCTGCATCTGAAAGTACTTTGTAAGTTTTCGAAAGACATAAACTAGCGCGAAAAATAATCTACTAATATTTTTGTAAATTTAATTTGAATAAATCGCCTCATCTGTGAGCTACCCTAATATTATTTACGTCAATATAGGTATTATTATTATTATAAATACAAATCCATCCAAATTTAGCTATTAGGATCACTAGTATTATATAACAGCTTCGATTCTCGGTACTAAAAAAATAAATAAAAGTAAATAAATACACACGCTTAACGTCATGGTGATGGGCGGGCGGATGCGCCGCGGCGGGCGGGTGGTGCGCGTAGTGCTCCGGGTAGTAGTGCGGGTAGGGCGGGAACGCGCCTGCGTACCCGCCGTAGTAGCGGCCGCCGTAGCCGGCAGAGTTGTAGCCACCTAGAGTTGGTTTTTTTTGATTGAATATATATAATTGGATTACTGTTAGAAATGTGTGTGTGTTGGTGTGCTTAAATAATTGATTAAGTTGATGGATTTGGATGGAATTTAGTGTGACAATATAGCCCACTGTTAACGATTTAGGAATGTACAAGTTCAATGAAAACCTAGACTAGGTTCAAATTATGTCGAGAAAAATACAATTATTTTTTATAATTTTCTTAATGGCCAGTCAGAACTAGTCCTGCATCTCGATTTCAATACTGTACTTGTGCAGAGAGATCAGATGTAGTTCTCTGCTTCGACACTGAGGTTAACGTTCCTTATTCCTATTTTGATTTTAGTAGGACTAAAGCGGGCAGGGGGGAGAGTGGCTAGGATGGACGGAACGCGTGCGAATTTAGGTATTTCCTTCGTATTATTAAAACAAATACACATTTTGAAAATGTAAAGTGTGTACGTTGTAGAAAACGTATAGTTTTGTTATTATTAAAAAACTGATGAACTTCCTTGAAATATTTACACCACACTAAGGGTTTATTTTGTTTTTTAGAGATCATTTTGTTTTTTTTTTTCTATCGAGGAAACTACAAGTAATCGTGTTTCTAAAGTGTACGATTTATAGAATAAATCCTTAAATATTCTACATATTAATTGCATAATTAAAGTTTTAGTAATAACAATATAGCAAGGGATCAAACGAACGCAATTATTTCGTAATTACGTTTCCCTGCCTCGGTGCGCCCTTAACACCGTCAACTTCGTCCATGTAAGATAGGCATGCCGAAACATTCATTCAGTAAGAAGGTTGAGTTAATTCCATTGCAATTAAAGTAAATTTAAAAAAATTAAAGTAAATGTATTGTAGTAAGTTACTACACTCTAAATTTACCTGGTGGGGGTGGAGGTCCTCCGTGGGGTTGAGCAGGGTGAGCAGATGGAGCGTTGGCGTTGGGTGGCATCATCATGGTTACTAAAATAATAAACATTTCATATGAATTATATATTATGGTTAAAAAGTAAATAATAAATACATATACGTGTGATTTAAATAAAGGTGAAATATATTTTATTTATAATCTTTATTGCTTTTGAATTAATTACGCCTGTATTAAATATTTTTTAATGTAATTTCTTTTAGATTAAAATAATAATTATTAGAAAGTGCAAAAACAGGTGGGAAAATCAAAGAAGTTGAAACGCAACGCCATTGGCCAGGCCGAATACGACGTCAAAGTATATCATAACAGAGCGATTAGCGATTTTTCACTTGTAAATTGTGACGTCACGCCAAGCGCGTGAAAAGGCGAGCGTTTAAGTATCCGTAAAGGTATGACATATTTTTAAAATAATCTTATTCAAAATGTTAGTTATTTGAATCTGGATATTTAATTACAATTATATAACGGTGTAAGTTATTGTATAAAAAATTAAAAAAAAAATCATGCATATTCCCTATGGATTCCTTTAACCCGCCGTAAAAGGGGGTGAAAACATTTAACTCAATAAATGATGATTATAAGACAGAGAAGACTAACCGAAGATCTAAATAGATAAAAAGTTACAGAAAATAGATTCATTTATTTATAACCAGGTTTTTCAGGTCTTAAAATGTAAAAGCCAGGCAAGATTGTAAAAAGCCAAACCATGGGGTCTCATCACAAGCACAGAAAAATTAGTTCAAATATATGTCAATAAATGACGTTACATGTATCGACTTGTTATTAAAGTGATGTCAAATTAGCAAAAAAAAAAAATAGGTCCCAAAAAGCTATATTATGATTTTAAAAAGTACTCTAAGCGATAGGAAACAATATAATACGCACGTAAATCAAATTTACGTAATATAACTAATTATTGGAATATCAACAATCAGGTGACTTTACATTTCATGACTAGCTTATCGTGGTTAAAAATTACTAAAATCACTGTAAGTTATTTAATCAAATGGAGGGTGAATTTTACAATATATACCAAACATTAGTTTCCACGTATTTACAAAATAAAACAATTCAACTATTTGCAGATCAATGACATCTCTTATTTATTCGAGTAAACAAAAATAGCTCGAAGAATAGCCCGCGTTAGCGCTGTCCAATTTCGTTGTATGGAATGAGGCATCTGTAGTAGTATAGTATTATGTGATCTGTGATCACGTCATCCTATACTAGTAGCCAAACTTATCCTGCCAATCCTACCTGTGTCTGTCTATAACTAATAACGCAAATATATTTGCAGGTAAACATTAATTAACAATATTGATAAAAACAAGTTACCTGGTGGCGTGGGAGAGTTAATGGGTGGTTGTGGAGGCACAACTGGTACTGGCACTGGAACTTCTCTGTTGTTCTCTGTCATCTTCATTTCCAGTGGTTTGTCTTCTTTGCGCTCGCCTGTAGGAAATAAAAGAATTATAGTTAAAATAACCCCTTTAACCAATATGTAATTTTTTTTACTTATAACAATTTACTAACAATAAAGAAAATGTTATATTTATATGTAATGTACTGAACATTGTATATATGGGACTCGTCTTGGGTCCATTATTACATGACCATGATGGTATCCAAATTCTAATTATTGTATTGTCTTCTGCATTTCAAAAAAGACTTCCAGATAACATTGTAATTTATAACTAAACAATTATAATAAAATCGGGTTAAAAAAGTAATTTAAATTATTAAGTTGACTGGTAAAATACTAGCTGTCTAGTAAGGGATAAAATTATTAGCTAATAAAATAGCAAATTTTCTATAAATCAATACAGCCCAGTATCACATAGGTTAAAATTTTTTCGTTTAATATCTCTCTTCTATACATCGATATTTTACCTTCATTCTCCTGTGTGGCACTAGTCTCGGGGGCGCAGTCCTTGGGCTCCGCTTCGGGCTTGTTTAGCTCCGTAGTGTTGTGTGTGTCTGGCTTTACATCAGTAGTTGACACCTTGTCCACTTGCGTTGGAGCGTTTGGTCCGGTGTCGCTTTTGATAGCTTGGTCTTGATCCATCGGCTGTTGCATGAAGTTTTATTTAAACTTTTTTATAATAAATATAATAATATAAAAACTATATTCATATGTTTTTATGTTTTTTATTATAAAACATATATCCAGTTTTGTATATAATTCCTAGTGGAAGATGCAGTTATAGTAAGCCCAAATCATCCCACGGCTGGGCAAAGGGCTCCCCTCTACATTCCCAAGTTTTGCGGTCTGGCCCAAATACAGGCGACATGTATACATACATATGTATATAAAATACCATTATTATGAATGAAAGAATGAATAACTCTTTATCGTACACCCAAAAAACAAAAACAGAAAAGAAAATATACAAAATATAGAACAAGGTACAAGAGGCGGTCTTATAGCTAAAAGAGCGATTTTTTCCCGGCAACCTTTAGGTGTAGGAAATAGTACTAAATATAGGAAAGAAGGGGCGCGAATAATAAATAAAGAGACAGTAGAAACAGTAAATATTTACATATATATGTATCATACTTACATAAATCTATACAGATAAATAAAAGTGAAGTGTCTGTTTATAATGTCAAAATAACAGCTTTTTACTAAATGCATAAGAAATTGTATAACGGTACTCATAAGAATAAAAACAATATTTAATTTTTTTGTCTGTCTGTTTGTTCCGGCTAATCTGCGAAACAGCTGGACTGATTTTGACGGGACTAACACTGGCAGATAGCTGCTGTTATAAGGAGTAATTTAGGCTACTTTTATTTTAGAAAAAGAATAAAGGTTCTACTCAAAAAAAAAACCTAGGGACAAACCCGAGCGAAGCGAGGGCAAGTCGGTAGTATGTAATAGATACAAATAAAATATAATATGAATAGTTGTTCGTTAATTAACACACCTCATGGGGCCGATCCCTGTGGGGTTGCGGTGCGACGCCGCGCCGCAGTTGTTCCAGCGCGCGTTCCACCATACGGGCGAATGTGTCTTCGTCCACTGCTGGCTTGCAATGCTGGAAGGATACAAATCATTTATGTAGGATCCTGAGATACAAACGAAATCGTTTATAAATCACCGATTATTTAATCAATTGAAATTACATGCCGCCATTATCCTAACAAAATCTTTTATTCATCTTTCATTCCATTCTCACAATCATATCATACGTCTCTTTTTACTCTTAAAATATCATTTCATGCATATTCATCCCGCGAACGCCACATATATATTTAATACAACAAATTTACTTGGATGAGTTTTGAAGTGCCAAACAATATCTGACAAGTAATACAACGGCCATATTATTCAGACTTCAATTAAAAATATCATTGCTTATTGAAATTATTATAATTTCAATTAGCAATGACAGTAAACACATTTTTATCGAAAAAAATAGCCAATATAGCACTCGGTGGTAATATAGGTTCCTATTAGTCAAAGAATTTTCATAATCGGATCAGTATTTTCCAAGATTACCCCCTACATACAAATTACCTCTTTATGCATTTATCATAGAGAAGTTGATAGAATAGGGTTCTTAAAGACTATTTAAGCAACTTCAAGCAGGAGAAGAAGGAAATAACTACCTTTACAAGTACTAACAACTATTAGTACTTGATTTATTAATATTTTTTTATTATAATAATAATATACTTTACACACCAAAAAAGAAACATTAAAACATAAAGAAAAGATGCATAGCAGACGGTCTGATCACTGGAACAGAACTCTTCCAGTCAACCTTGAATTTGAAGAAGAATTTCAACGTTTGAAATTTTAACGTTTAGAACATACAGGTGAAACCAGGACATAGTAAAATTAGAAAATATATAATAAGATTTTTACTTTTTTTAGTTCTTCTTGGAATGCTTCACTGCTTTCAATGAATTTACGCTTCTTCGCTTCGAACTTCTCTTCAATCTGTTGCAGTTCATCTTCCAGCTTTTTTTGGTGCATTGTAAGTGATTGTACTTGTTTCTTTAGGATCTAAAATAAATTAGAAAAAAATATGATTTAGTATCATGTTAAAAATCATTAGATGAACTGGAGAGTTGGCAAGTGGTTTTCTAGATAGACCACAAATGTTGACGATTTCATTTTATAAAAATGCCGAATATACAATCAATGAATAAAAACAGCATAAAGCGCCATCTTTGACTGCGTGTACAAAATTTGCTATTTAATGTTTGATTTTTTAACTATCAGTAGTATTGTAAAATTATGCAAATTTTATTTAAGTATTCATCGTTTCATTTTCCTTTACTACTAAGGGTTAAAGTAGCCAGTTTTATGTAAAAATCAATACTAAATTCATACATATGATGCCATCTATTGAAATTTATTGGAACTATTTTTCCTTCTTTCTGATGAGACCATGGGGTCTCCATGGGTAGTCAATATTCTATACTAACAAATAAATCTCACTTCACACGAGAGATTCCCTACGAAAATGTCAACAAAATTGATAGAAACTCGAAATTCAGAAGAGATCTGGGAAGCAGAGCAACCGCAAAAAATATTTTTATATATACATAAACATATATATGTATTTAATCTTTGTTTATTGAATTTAGAAGTGTCTTAATACACATGAATAACACACACACACACACCTGCATCCTGGCAGTGGTGACGACAGAGCGCACGTCGGGCACCACCGTATCGGAGAATATCTCGTTGATGAGCCGGTGGTTGCGCAGGTAGCGGGCGTACGCCACGTGCTTCACTGACAGACCCTCGTCTTGATCTGCAAGTATACATACATATATAGAATAATAGTAAACTTTATTAAATTTATAAACTTATTTATTTATATAATACTAGCAAAACAAAAACAAACCTATCCCACGGAAACCGTACATTTTTCCGGGATAAAAAGTAGCCTATATGTTATTCCAGACTATAATCTATCTCTGTGCCAAATTTCATCCAGATTCGTTCAGTTGTTCTGGCGTGAAAGAGTAACAAACATCCATACATATTCACAAACTTTCACATTTATAATATTTATACAGATTATATAGATTATGTCTAAAAGATACAAATCAGATATGATCAGAAGTTTAGTGGCTAGCATGTACGGCTGCAAGCCTGGAAGTCCTGGGTTTGAGTTTCGGGTCAGGCCATGTTTAGTACTTGAGTTTTTTTATTAAGTCTCAGTAAGCAGACTTAGGAAGTTCCCGGGGGAGAAGCCAACTCCTACCGGGCGCGTCCCCAGGTGGCGGATAGGGGAATGCCACCCGCTTAGGGCGGCAGGTGGTACCGGGGAAATCCGCTTGGATGGGGCCGCTCGTCTAGGCCTCGAGCCGAAGACGTTGCGGCCACCGGTGGTGGGACCGCTTGGTCCCACAACCGGATGATGGGTGCCGGTTGCGGGACTGTGGTCGCAGGCCCGCATCCGGCGGAGGGGTAGGCCGCGGCGGGAGAGGAGTGCCGGTATTTCGGTGCGCCGTTCTCCCTACCTTCCGCGGCCTAGACGGGGCCGCCACCGTTTGATGGCGGACGCGGTGGGGCTGCAGGGGAAGAGGAGTGTCGGTGTTTCGTTGCCGCTCTCCCTGTCCTCTGCAGCCGATTGGAGGTGGCCCACTTCGGTGGGCGGAGGTTCGGTTTTATGAGGCGGCTCCGGGTACCTCTCTGGTGTAGCAGAGTTGACTGTGGAGCAGCCCCATCGGTGTGGCGGTCAGCCGTTGGGCAGACCTGGCGCCGGGGCGCCGTAGTAGTTATGCGCAAGCGATCCTGCGGCGTCCCATTAAGGCGGAGGGGAGGGGAATGTCGGGTTTTAGTGGGTAGTACCGGCTCTTCTAGCCGGTGAGCCCCACATCACCACCTGGGGGATCAGGTGGTATGCGTAAATGCATTTCCCGACATAAAAAAAAAAAAAGAGTTAGGAAGTTGGCGGTAATTCACCCCCGTGCCTCGGAGAGTACATAAAGACCTCATACCGCACCTGGTCTCTATCTGCCAAATTAAATGAAATATGAGAGGCAGGAATAAAGAGAGAACGTTGTATCTATACTTTAATATCAACAGTGCAATTGGCTAGTCTAAGAGAGATTACCTAGAGAGACAACCTAGTAAGTTTCCGAAAGACATGTGAAGTCTGCCCGCACTTAGCCAGTGTGGTGGACTATGGCCTGATCCCCTCGTATCGAAGGGAGCCCTTGCTCATCAGTGGGATGTTAAAAAGGGCTGAATACATACATAAGGTCTATTAACAGATTGCAAGATATTTTTATATATGAGCAGTGATTTTTTGTTAAATATATAAAACTAACCTTCTTCATCTTCAGCAGGCTGGATATCAATTCTTCTGTCTTGCTGCTGTTGTTCTTTCTGCGAACCACCTTTCTTACTTGAACTTTCTTCTTCCAAGTTACCAACTGTTTACATAAAAGTAAAATGCTATCACAACATTCATATATTTAAAAAAAAATCATTCAATTCATAAAAAAACTTCTTTTTTTAATTATATCTCTTTATTTTTTTAATTTTAGAGAGCAATTTATTCCAAAAAAAGTCCTTGAGTAAAGTAATATTAAATATTTAGACCTATCAAAACCAGTTTATTTTATTATATATAACCTGTGCAAATAAACAATGGGATTATAATTGGCCTTTTCTAACTTTTCACTCTCACACAAAAAATAATTAATATAAAACAATTACAAAGGCAGAGCATTATCTGACATACATTGTAATAGCACAAATGCTACAATACTACACTAGTGCACATTCCATTTGACACAAAATTACATGTCATAATCCAGGTCATATTTGGGTTATTTTGTTTTGATTTAATAGATAATAGTAATTCAATGACTAAAAGCATTTTTAGCAAGGACAAACGACTCATAAAATACAAACATAATTATTTATGAATGCACAGTGCAAATTACTCAATGATTGATTTTTGAAATATTACTCAATGATTGATTTTTCAAATATTACTCAATTATTGACTTTTCATGTATTACGCAATTATTGACTTTTCATATATTACTCAATTATTGTTATTACTTAATTGTTGAATTTTCATATGTTATTCAATTAATGACTAAAATATACAAGTTATTTAAACAAATTTGACATTCTTCTTGATAAGACCACCAGACCATAGTCTTAATAAGCTGACCAGTTTCAATTAACCAATAATAATCCCATTCTGTATCTAAACAGGTGATAGATAAAATATCCTTAAATCTATTAAAAGTACATGCAAATAGCTCCATACCCTTACCAACAGCCTTATTCTTCGCGGCAATGTACGCCAAATACGCCGGCGAGTTGTGATAGGTTTTCAAACTCTTTTCATACTCCGACTATAGCGTATGACCCGTGCATTATATATATGAAGTGATTGTGCATGTGGAGATAAAATTAGCCGTTTAGATGTGCGTGTTTGTTAGTCACAATATAACGTGGTTTTGAGTACTAGTGATATTGAATATTCTATGGAACGTACTGGGTACATATTGTTTTAAATATATATATTTTTAGCGTTTGTTTGAAGTTTATGAAATTTTGTCATGGTTATATTAATGGATATAGACTTTTTGTGAACCCAAAGTTAGTTTACATTTGAGTATTTTAATTTGAAATATTTTATACTAGATGTTTGTGAAGGAATCTGCTATAGAGGTCACACATTGTCTACAAAAAATGTACTTTATTCAAATACAGTTTTAGAATCACTTACAAATCTTCAAATATGTAGTATCATAAAAATATATTGTTTATAAGTATTTAAATTTTAAAGTATTCAATGAAAATTTTTGTAACCTCTAATTCCTAGATTTTTGACATGAATATTAAATTATGTATAATGATAATGATTCTGTTTTAAAGACAGTATATCAACATAGCATTGTGTATTTTTACTATATATTGTGCATTTTTTACAGTGATTGTAAAAAAATCCTAGCATTCACTACTGGGTATAAAATTATGTTTGGTGATAATTACCAATATTGATATTAATGACAAAATCCCTTTTCTGATTCATTAAATTATATCGGCGAGAGGTATTATTTCATTAATTACATAATATGTATACCAAAGTAATGATTATAAAAATATAACATCACAGTTACTTATAATCGGTATTACTTACAGATTTTTAAAAATGTTTCAATATTTGAATATTTTCAAGTCATTTTAATGTATTTTTTTATTCTCGCCGATATTAAATAATCAACAGTCCGACACCTAAGCCCACATTAAACAAGCATCACACAAACTGGACCCCTGGTATGCAATGTACCTCTATTCTTGTGAGCCAGCCATTGTATATACGCAGGCGAAGATTGATATGTTTTCAACATTTCTGTGTACTGCGCCTACACAATATTGAACTATTATTTGTATTGATTATAGACTGATGATGGATTCATGATCATCTTTTTTTTACTGATTCTTTAAAAATTATAATTTTGTCTTGCTATGTAAATTTTAATGAATTTTAAGTGCATTGTTTATTATTAAACAAGAAAGTTCTCTTTTAATAAGTTATTAACATTGCAATATAAAAGATATTGTCATTATTAAGTTTTTATTATTTATACCATGGGTTTTGGCTTGGACATTAATAAAGGTATTTTTACTATTTAAAATATTTGTGGCTGGTGTCCTTCTGTTAAATTTAAATTTCTCATAAATATAATATTTATCAATATTTTTAAGAAGATGTAGTAAATTTCATATCAAAATAATAAATTGCTTATAAAAAATATGTATTACAATACAGCTTATAACAGCTATTAAATAAGAAATAATATTTGTTAAGCATTTAATATTGTAATATGAAATTTACATTGTAATAATAAAAAAAAATAATGAAAAACATACCTTCTCAGCTTCATATTCATCAACAAATGCATACTTTTCAGATTGAGGTAAGTCTCTCCACATACCACCGATAATGCGACCAATTTCCCATAGTTTTAAATCTGGGTTAGCAGCTTTTACACTGTCCCATACTCTTCTGGAGTAACGCATGTAAGGCATTAGAGGCTTTTCTGGTGGTTTTGGAGGCTTGGGGAGCCCTGCACCCTGAAATACCATTACAATATAATATTAATAATATTTATTTCTTGGTTTATTTTTGCATTTGTTGAATTATTATATAGTAAATATGGAGGCATACTAGTAGTAGAGGCTAAGTAAGGCAAACATTGGTCAGAGAATTAAAGCTTGTTTTTATTTATTTTATTTTAAATGTGCAGAATGAAATATTATAATGATAGAAATAAACTATAGAAATAACAGCTATTTTAAAGTAATTCCAGTACTGTTTTATTATTTCTATTATTAAATTATAGTGATTCTTACCCCACCAGCCCCCTTTCCAATTTTCTGCGGTTGGAATCCAGGATGAGAATGTATAGTGGATACGAAGGGGCTCGTCTTATCGTCCTTGGCGGCCTGCGCACTCTGCGTGGAGCCTCCGGCGCGCCTCGCACTCTCTGCAGCGAAACGCCCCTGATGTTGCCACCCATAACCCGGCGGGCCCATGCTTGACCCGCCCGGGTATTGGGGGTGGTACTGGTATTGGTTATGCGGTGCATTCATACCGCCTTCAAGCCAAGCGCGCGGCAATACAATGAAAGAAAAAACAAAAAGCGTAATGGACGGGAATGGGAAACGGATCGCGCAAATAATACGAAAATTAGTCGGCGGCCAGCGAGTTTAGTAAGCATTAACAAACATGTGATTGCGAGATGACTCTCTTTATAAATAACCCCAAAACCTATTTGTGTAATTTTGAAAATAATAATAACATACTATTATTACCTTTCATCATACCGAAACTCATTGGGGGCCCCGCAATCATGTAGTCTGTTTCAACATAACAAAACATGAAACAAATCCAACATAAGAATGTAAGTCTAATGCATAAAGAATAAAAGAGAAAATAAAGTATTGTTGCAGATGCAAATTTATTTTAAATAAAAGCGGAGAGAATGCGCCATGCTTGTCTGTACGACAGCGGTTAGATACCAGCATTACCGAGTACTTCAACCAAGCTTGCGGCAGGTTTTGTACTTTGCATATTAAGTATGTTAGTATCTAACATTCTAAACATTAATCATAACTCATAAATAAATCAAATGCAATACAGGCAATCCTAGTGCCTTTCAATCTAATTAATCTATTTCTAAGACATTATATGGTTTACATTCTAGTGATTAACATATTGTAGTGAGATATGGGAATACAAACGCGGATTGTTCTGAGGGCTTGGCATCGACATTGATGTATTTTGTTTATAGCTGTTCGGTGTAGCCATACCACGCAGTTAGCTGAAACAAATAGTAAATTACCTGACTCTTATACTACACATAAGGTTATAGCAAATACGAAAACTTAACGAAAAGTTAACTTTAACCTGCTGTTGTTAATTGCAACCATCAGTACTAAAGTAACTAAGTAAAGGCTAATCATTTTTTTACATGGTTGTAAAAGATGTAACTAAGAATATTAAAATCTATCGGAAAATAATGTACCTAACTAAACAGTTTACGAAAAATAAGATTCAATGGAACTTTCAACTTTCAGAGTAAAGCGTTGAATAACCGGCGAACTATAAATTTGAAAGATTACCTAAAAATAGATTGTGATATGCTATTTTTAATATAATACACTTTTTATACTAATTACAATTCATAAATATACTTTATTCGAAAAATTACAATTCACATTTATAGCGTCACTTGCTAGACGCCATGTTTTTCGAATTTCAACATTTTGATTTTGATGAACATACAGATAATATAAAACTAAATTGACATTGACAGTTTAAGGCGGTTCATAAACTGGAAAATGAATTGATGATTTGGTCGATTTATTGTAAGTACCTGGGCGACCGAGCTTCACTCGGGGTTTTTGATCGAAAAACATTTAAAAAAAAAGCAAACTGAAAATTTGAATAAATAAAAAAAAACAAAAGTAAGAACTTTGTATCTGACCGGGATACGAACCCAGACACCTGGGGTTGTCAAACTTGCGCCTTGGCCGCTTGACCACGATTTTTGTCGCGCTGTCCTAGCGTGCGAATTAGCGACCATATTTTGCGTGGAATAATGCGAAACAAAACCACATGAAAAGTCGAAAACACGCGTTTTCTCAGACATAAAACTAATCTAGATGGATTTATCGCCCCCGAAAACCCCAGTACACTAAATTTCATGAAAATCGTTGGAGCCGTTTCCGAGATTCTGATATATATATATATATATATATATATATATATATATATATATATATATATATCATATGATCATATACCTACCATTCTAATGTTTTTATCTCCGAGAGATTCTCTCATATTTATCCTGACTCCTGAGGAGGTTCATTATGGTCAGCACAGTAATTCTGTAAGAATTTGTTCATAAAAAATAGGGCAAGTGGGAGTCTAATAGAATGTTGCACAGGATTTCGTATCTTATCGGATTAAATTTGTTGTTTTTTATAAATTTTAATACGTAATATGTTAGGTTCATTAAAAGTACCTGGGTGATCCAGTTTCGCTCAGCGACGTTGTATTTATTAAAATAATTTTATATAAAATTTCTTTAACCTGAGTGTTTATTTTATATTATTTTAAGACAACATCGACTTGACATGTATGCCCTAAATAAAATAACATTAATCACAGAAAGGAGACTAAAAACATAAACTCAAGAATATTTTGTAAATAGCTAATAGCTATAATTTATTGCTCCGTGCAACTAGAGATGACAAATAGTGCAGAGAACATAGACAGTAATAGTCGAAGAATTTAGATAAAAGTGGCTTTTAGGCAATATGTAAATATATTATATTAAAAAGTGAAACTAGGTAAATTACAATGTAATTATTTTGATAACGACTTTTAGATATGACGTACAATGTACATTTAAACATTTGATAAATGTTGTAATTTGTCAAAATCTAGTTTAGGACGTACAACATGAAGTGCAATTAAGCAATTAGGTAGATTGGCATAAAACATACGGAACTTGGCTAACTGCGCATCATTGCCCGCCAAATTGGCAATTGTTAGGAACGTTGCAAATGTCAGTCTAAGGGTTGCAAGCCTAAACTACAATTATAACCAAAAATACATGTTTTTTTTAATGCCCCCCCTACTAAAACTTAGAAATATACCTACCTACTTAAAAAAACACTCAGCGAATTTAATACATTTTAAACAATAAAGGAAATTGTCGGCCGTATTATTAACGGGAAAAAACTCAGTCAGCTTTCACTGATCACTGATTTGTTTCATAACTAACACCTAAGAAAGATATTTATTAATTCAACTCGTAAAAGAGTAAAAAGAAGTACAGACACTTTTGTCATAATTAATGTTTTTTGACCAAATGATTGTGTCGTTATTCTCAATTATAAATAAAATATTTAATCGTATTTTCACTTTTTCAACTTTTAATACAGCTGAATAAAGCCCGGGCTAGCAGTAGGCTGTTAGTAATGTGTAGATCCTAATAGATCTTGGGATATACATAATTTTTTACGAAATATTTTAAGACATGTGTATATAATTAAATGATAAGACATTTTAATATTAAAAGCACACAGAGTAAAACATAAAGTTAATTTTACTTAAATCAGTACATTTAATTTTACTGTTATTTATCAATTAATTTGGGTATTTATTATAACCTGGTATCTCAGACAACAGTTAGCCTGGCTAGGCTGCGCATGCGTGGCTATAGGTATGACCGACTAACATTTGACACGGCTGAGCGAAATGAGATCAAAGAACAGGTCACTGCTCTGTATACGAAGGTGTATGTATTGTTTATCGCTTGAGAGCTAATTTATTTATAACATGGGTGGTCTAGATTTGGACGGTTTTGTGCTTTAATAGGACTAACGGCTGTTTACTGGTTTAAAATAACTTACCATACGACGTGTAAATTTGCTTATGTATTGTGTAAAATATGATACATCATATCGTCGTTGAGCCTGCAAAATCCGCTATGGATAAAAACCCAACTTTTCAGGAGAAACAAAAAACTATTTTTTTTCTAAATTGTTAATAACATTTTAAAATTTACTATGCAGAAAATTAGACTTTGTGTCGGGACACCTAGAAATATATATTTACTGCTGTTTACTATGATATTCCAGGTGCTAGAATTTTTTTAAGTGAATTTGGGCACATATCGGATTTTATTTGGGTCGTAAATACCGCTATTTGACTTTTCACCATATGACGGATTTATGCTTCTTCTAAATAATAAACATTTGTGTGCTTTCTTGAACACATAACGGATTTAACAAACTATTTTTAAATAATAAGATTGGTTGAAGTTCGCTTAAAAAGTATTTATTATACTTAATTAGAAAAATAATAAACAAAATAAATCAAAACAGACTAAAATAGTGATACCTCTAAACAGCTTAGCATGCCTAGGTAGTTATGAACAAAATAGGTATTTAAAAATGTAACATAATATTACTAAAATAAATTGCAGCAGTAGGTATTAATTAACGGATGAGTTAGTTATCACAAGAAACATAAAATTATATAAACTAAAAAATAATAAGTAACATAATAAAACAATCGTTCTAAATCTTTATAATATAACAACACTCTCGTATAATATGAACAGATCAAATCAAATCACATTCATTGTTAGGTACACTTAAATATTTGGAAAACTTTGAGATCAATTTGTAACTAAGTAAAAAGTAGGTACTAAACATAGTCCCCCCCCAACGTGCGTTCACCTTGTCGTGGTGGGGGGGGCTCAGTAGTGCCCGGCAACCCAACCGGGCGCGAAGCCAAGAAACGCACAGGGAGGTGGCCCACTTCGGTGGGCGGTGGGAGGCGCCCTCTTCGGAGGGCGGTGAATCATGCGGGTTGCTCCTGGTACTTCTCTGATAGCAGAGTGGACTTTGGAGCAACCCCGTGGTTTTTGTGGTCTGCTTCGGTAGACCTGCCGTCGGGGCGTCGTAGTTGAATGCGTAAGCGATCCTGCGACACCTCATTAAGACGGGGGAAGGCTTTGTTGGGTTTTAGTGGGTAGTACTGGCTTTGCCGGTGAGTCCCACACGTCGTGCGTAAATGCATTTCCCAACGTTAAAAAAAAAAGGTACTAAACATCTCAAATCTATCAAAACTAGTTTTAGAGGAGGTTTTAGCATTAAAGGTTTCAAGGACTGTAAACTATGAAATTTAGCCTTTTAATTTTTTTTTGGCTTAGTAAACAAACACCGAGCTCCTCGTACAGATCAGCCTTTCTTCTTTGTGACAACAAGGTCCATTGAGTGACATGATGTCTTAATTTATAATAAGTATCACCGTTCACATACAACAATGATCTCATATCGGCAACTGTGAGATCACCTGCTCTTTTACCGGGACGAATCGATGAAAAATTGCTAGGCACAGCTTCAAAGTTCCTAAAAAAGGTATAGTCTACATATTTTATAATGTAAGGTTGACTTGGCCTCGCTTTTCATATGCATGCGACATAATCTGCAGGTGTTTATAACGGCGGAGTAAAGAATTTCTCTAAACTCAAATGGACACTGTCAACCTCCATCATGGTGTGCCCTTATTCTAAGATGATTTGTTGAATTTCAACCTACTTTAGCTTCGAAACGTCTGCCAAAGCACTAGACAAAACATTATTCCAGTTTTGGTAACCACAACCATCTGATATGAGACAAATTTTTGTATAGCCTTTGGTGGTATTTATACCAGTGTGGAGCTTTAGCTCCACAAATATTACGATGCATGTAACAAATTTATTACATGTAACACCACAGTCACCTTCGTGCCAAATACACATAAGTACATCTCTTGTGTTATTAATATAT